ATATATACCCAGTTGCGAGACGAAATAGGCCAATCAGATAAACTCGAGCACATCACCGCTTTAGTTATCCAATCAGTACCGCGTGCCTATAGGAAAATCACCGCTGGAGTCCAAGAGAAAAAAGAAACTCATTCTGTCTTTACAATAGCGGCCTTATTGTTTGTATGTAGATCGATTCCAAAACTGCTATGGAAAGACGCTTGACTTTGCCAATTATCTGAAACATGTCGTTATCCGGTACACCGATTTTCTTATGTTGGCCTGCCGTTGTTAACAACTTATTTGGTTCATTGGTTAAGCTCAGTTGGCGTTGTAAGAGTGTGTGTAAAGTTTTTTTTAAAAAGAAGTTTTTGATTTTAATAAGAAGTTTTAAGAGATGAATATTTACTGTTTTTCGAGAGGAGTTTTAAAGTGTAAATATATATTGAAAACAGTTTATAAACTAGTTTTTTCTTTGCAGACTTTGTTGCATTACTTCGAGAACAAGACCAGCTTAAAGGCACAACACAATGACATCATCGACATAGTTGTATATTTTCCAAAACATAGACTTGGTCAAAACATAAACAGGTCATTCAGGTAGGTACTGTTTCAACCTCCCCCTTCCCCCAGGTAGCTGGGGATAAGCTTCGGTGCTCCAATTTCCCTTTCGGCATTATAGCTTCGAATAAAACATTTTCGTACTTACATGTCAAAAGTTTTAGGATCTAGCTCGTTCACCTTCTTTTCATTTACATTTACAAGGCCCCTCTTTTTTCAAAGACTAATAATTTGTACGACTGTCTTTTAGACGTGTACATAGTCTTCATTGCAATAAATGTGATTCGTTGAAATAATGTACTTGCTTTCAAAAATAGCAAAGAATTGCAAGAATCGTGTAGAGAATACGTGTTAATGTAAGCCCTGGAGACATGCTGTAAGCAGCCAAGAGAAATTAGGAATTTCCTGTTGCCTTGAAATTTATTTCACATTTGATTCCCTTTTTGGAGAACACTGGGCACCAATTTAGTCGGGCAAAATAGATGGCCGAGAAAAGCGATTGGCAGCAACCAGACAAATTTGTCATTCTCTATTGCTAAATAGAGATATTGCTTTAAAAATAAACATCATCCCTTACTCTAGAAGTGAGAAAAGAGAAACGAAAAGTGAGGCAGTTTCAGCAGCTGATAGCTTCTTGACAATTTATATAAATAAGGACTGTGCTCAAAATCACCAATCACAGAAGATAAGGACTGAGTCTTTTTTAATCGACCTATATTGAAAAATAATCAAAAAATAATATTTGATTAGGAATTTTGAATTTTGATCGAATGTTTTGCTATGATACTTGAAGGGTATCTAGCCCAAGATGAAGACTATTTTTTAAATTCATTATGAATTTTCAACATTCTTGTTTATCTTCATTACGACATTGTGACATTATGAGATTATAACTTCATTAGGACATTCATCATTTGTTTAGGTCATCGACAAACATTCATCATTTGCTTTCATGTGAAGCTACAAAAACAACATAACCCAAACAGAAATGTTTACCTTCAAATCATACAGCTTGTCTAAATCTTTTTAGCGATTCTTTCGATATTCTCTCGATGTTTCTTTTGAAAAATTAAATCTATAGCTCATCACTGGCGTATTATATTTTTGTGTGAAAATATCAGGTCGATGTGACGCCGCTTGTTTGTCCGCTTGAGGCACAGTTGGCAAATTTTTAGGCCTATGGGTAATGACTCAACACTTGGGTTCGTCCACAGCTTATGAAGGCATCATTAAAATACATTTGATTGCCAGTTCATCAGGTTTGCATCGCAAAAGCTTAACTTTCCTTGTATTTTCAGTATGTTGAGAGATCTTCAAATGGTCACAAAGGAATCTTAGCTAAGTGCAATTTTAGTATGCATGGCATGGGACTTGTTTGATTTGGTCACAAACACGTCAGGATAGCAACTGCTAATTGACAGAAATAATTGAGTGATACAATGCTAATGGTTGTCGTAACCAGATAAATTGTTCCCTATTATTATATAACTGAGAAGAATGCTTGCTGAGTTGTATCTACAGAGGAACGACAAAGTTTGGTCGATCTTGGAGCAGCAAAGCTTTATTTTGCAAGGTATAAGCAAATATCGTTGTTCAATAGACATTGGTAATTGTTGGGTTTATGTTTTTTAACGCAACCATTTCATGAATTGGCTGCATCCAAGGCTTTGTCATATTTTTATACTCAGCCTTGGGTAAATCTCGATGATTAGCACATTCCACCCTTCTTGTCAAGAGTTTTAGTATCGCTATATAGGCTCTAGTGCTGTTGTACCTAAACCTTCATTACTAGCTTAAAAAAGTTAGCTCTGTGTTTAGCAAAAGTTCAAGTTTTTGTCAACTTGACGAATTTGCCCTCTAGCATTTTGAAACAATTTGCTTGCATGTGTAGGCCAGCCAAGATTTCATGTTACTTCGAAGACATTTTATGCAACAAATTTGGAAAGACTTTTTTAAAATCTTTCTCATTAAAAAAGCACGACAGATATTTCCATGAAATTTTTACACGACATTTTTGGAGCAACCCCGTAGCTGTAGATGTCAGCTAGGGTGGACAAACTCGAGCAAGAACCATACCTGAGGGGGCAGGCTTTCAAACAAGATAACAGATATATAACAAACGTATATATTTGGACTAAATTAAGCTCACGGACTTATAGTTATGCCAAATTTTTAAAATATCATCCGGAAAAACCATAGCCAAGTTGTTGTCAAAAGTGTCCCCCTCCCCCTGCAGCCTGCAGCGACGTGGCTGTTTTGGAGATTCGAAGCTTTTTATGTACGCCAAATAATTAAAAAACATCGACCACAAAATTTCTATAGGCCATGAGATGTAGCCATGGGACTTCTTGAAAATCAAGAACTGAGTTAAGAGAGGGGCTTACAAATTGCTTTCTGCTAAAGTAACGCTAATGGATTTCGTGAAATTGCATCAATTGTCAGCTGCTTAATAAGTGCAGCTTTCTTGGTGTGTAAAAAGTTTTTCCGTACAAGAAGAGTTAAAACTTTACCAAGGGTTGGCAGACCGAAGAAGGTCATTTCTGAGGAATCTGCGAAGTAATAGGTTTGAATCCTTACCAGAAATTACGTTGTCATGTAAAAAGAAGCTAAATCTTGGAACGCTAGCAAAAAACATAGCTATTAAAATCATACAAAATACAAATTTTCCAGCTTTATAAGAAGAAAATGCTCTCTCATAACAAAAATTAATCACCGCCGAAGAGTGCAATGGACACAGTTTTGAAAGTAGCTTGAGTAAATGCAATAATCTAATAAAATTGTAGCATTTTTGTTGATTTTGTTGTCTTCATTTGAAACTTGAAAGTTTATTTTGTATTTTTTTAAAAAAATATCTTTGTTATTTCTTCTTTGTAAAAAAACTTTTAATTCCATTTTGGGGATGCGTAGGTTATTTGGAAATAAACTGCCCAAATCTGAAAAAGTTTCTGTTGCAAAACCGATGGTATTGTATACTTCCGAGTATGGAGATTCAGAATCCAAGATGGGATAAAAATTTTTTTGCATAAGTATCATGTGATTGATGACGTCGTCGAAAACGGTAAAAGCAGTCATAAATCCGCTATATATTCATAATAAATTGCACAATTTAGCAATTCTGGGTTTTATGTGAATGCACATTTCAAGAGCAGTCAATTGATGTACCATATAATTGGGTTTGAGGCGTTTGGTTATTTTGTGACGTCATCAGTGGATTTTCCCAAGTTCTGCCACAACCTTTGCGCTGATAACAAAGTGAGTTGGAATTCACTGCAAATGCGCTAAAACTATGTTAATCTAGATATGTTTGATACTTCTTGACGTGTCAGCCGTAGCTTCCGTAATTCCTGTCGGCAGTTCATCGAGGAGTTCTGCCACATCTTTCCTGGAACTATCTGGAAGCACAAGACGACGCAATAGGCGTCACAGAAATGGCTGTTACGTTTCTGGTATTTTCTTTAAGCCATATATCAATGTACTTGGGCTTTTGCTGATTTTAATGATGCATGTACTAAAATGAAAGCTTCATCAGATGCCAGTTTCTACGTTCCTTCACTGGCAACTAGTCAATTGTACCATTTCTTTCTCTTTGGCGTAGGTCTAGTAGAAAACCTGTATTTTTTAACCTTTTGCAATCACTTCAGGAGTCTCAACGGAAGAGGTTGAAAAGGAACGTCAGTATAGTCCAAATTGGACATAACGAGAACCTCAGCAGCTTGTCTCTATGATTCTAACGGAACGAGTTTTCTCTGATTTTTGCTATTATGGATATGGTATGGATCCATTTAACCAAGTGTTCTTGTTGAAGACCCATTCCCCCAGTCTGTAGAAATGGATTGTAGTCTTGAAGACTGTGATGTTTTGAAAGGTGTTTTGTACTCAAAACCATAAACTTTGTCGTATTTTGGTTTAGAGCGAGATTTGTATACGAAGACCAAGAAATTTACTTTTAAAGGTGTTCATTCATGTCCCGGTCGAAGATGGATATTTAGTTTGGCCTTCCATGAGAAGGTATAGCTAAAATGCATGCTGGATTTAATCTCGGAGGTCAGTAACATGGAAGTTGAAGATGAAAGTGCCTTGAGTTGATCCCTGTGGCATTCCACAACTTGTTAATTTCAGTATTGATTTTCTATCATCGACTGGAACAAATTGGTAACAATTGTCCAAGTAGCTTAAAAGCATATTTCATGAAAATTCTTCTTCTTTTAAACACTTCTTCCCACAGCTTTCAAAACTTAAATGAGATTAATTAAAATTCAAACTGCAGTTTATTCGGTAATTTTCATTTTCAAAACTCGGTATTACGGTAATATCAAAATATTATTGCGAAATTACGGTAATAGGGAAATTTTCTTGCGGAAACACGGTATTTGATACCCCCCCCCCAAAGACCCCCCTTCCTGTACCTTTGCTTTTATTTTTCCAAGATTTTTCTAAGTACCGATTCGTTCAAGGCGTTATTGTGGAGGAGCATAGGCATTTCGTCAGGAAAATGGTGGCGTATGGAAAAAATGTTGCGAATGGCGGTAATCGTTTGCAATGATTTCATGGACTCGTTTGAAGATAATGTTTACACGTTCTGATGCTGATCAAAATGGATCTGGATGTAACTTTTTTTGCACAGCCATTTTTATTAGTTTTTACAGATTTTATTATATTAATAGGGTTTGTTCTTGGACTTGGGCCATTTCGACCCAACTCAAGCCGGACCCCTATTGCCATGTTCACACCTCGTATTGAAGATAAAATTACGTAATACAAAGATAGGAAATGCGTTATATGCGTCAACAAGAATTGCAGTCACGCGTTATCAAATACCAAAGTACAGAGCCTTTCTTCTTCCGGTCACACAAGTGCTGGTAAAATTGATGGCAATTGCTTCAATAGGTTGTTCAATTTTGACCTTTAGTGACATTACATAACGTAATTTGAGTCATTTGTCTCTTTATTTAGACAATCCAGTGGAAGGTGACATCGCTATGACAGACATTATGGAAAACGAAGCAGCCTCGATAAATAGAGCATTTGAAAATAAAGAAAAGCCGAGCGAAATGACTCAACTCGATAATTCTCGAAATGCTGACCAGACCTACTTCGTCGAAAAGATTCATATCCCGAAGGCGGAAGGAGATAACAACGTAAGTATCTAAGAAAGCTCAGCTAACAATTTCAAACTTCTTATTATGTTGGAACGTGTGATTTTTATTTCCTTATTGAGTATATATTCGCCCTATCTTAAATTTGACCATTTGATGATGGGTCAGGTTCCCACTGAGAACTCCCAGTGTGACTGGGTTGTTTTGTTTGGAACCTGAATGGATTTTACTTCAGGTCTTGTTATAAATTTCCAAGTCAACAAATTTTATCTGCCTAGGCTCTGTCTGTTCAAGGACTGAAAAGTTGTGTAAATATTATTCTAGGGCAGAGTATTACTCAGTAATAGTTGACAGTAACTATTACTCAACCTACAGGTTGAATCTAATGGGGTCAGACATTTCTTTAATAATCTATTTCTAAAAAGAACACCTCACCCAGGTGGACTCTCATACCCAAGAAATGGCAGAAAACCATTTGTTTTTTCTAAGTTCATGGTAAGAATTAGGGTGGGCAGTGAATTTAGGTTGCTGAAATGCCTCTAATAAATACTTTAATAATTTCATATAAATCCTTATTTGCTTTCATAAAGTTTCCCATTATTTCATGTCATAAGCAGTATCTACTGGCTTTACAATAATTGTTGTACAACTAATGGCGGCACCAAGGATGATATGGAAGCCCCCCACGTTTGTCAAAATATGGTCAACATATTTCTTCTATAAACAGATTACAAAGCGCTAGGTAGGGGTAGTTCACATTTCCAAAGAAAAATTAACCTTGTACAAAGCACTAAACAGAGGCAAAAGAGGCGTCTTCTCACTTGTCACCCCCATACACCTCCCACCTCTCGCATAGCTCGTACACCACCTGTTTTACAACCCTCTAGAATATAATGGCAACAGAATTATAATATCAATTATTCCAATTTCATTTGACAATTCTTTTTAAAAAAACATCATCTGCCCCAAGTATGACTTTTTTTTCACCTTAAAAATCTCAAACTACCTTATATGTTTTCTCCATATCCCCTATCAACACCCCCCATTACCCCAAAAGCATCACACCATACTGGTTTTTTTTCTAGACCGTGTGTTACCTACTACCCTTTGTTTATCTGCACCTTTGATATTTTATTGATAAAAGCCTCATAGACAGTACAGATTGATTGCTGAAATGAGAAAAATGTTTTTCTTTTTGAAATTATTTGCTGATGTACCTGTAGATTTATCATGTATGTATACAAACAAAACAGGCATAACTCTATTTTTGACTTGGTGTATCCTTACCTCAGGAAATGTTCAAATTTTGTGCAATTTACAATTTTGGAATTAATTAAACTGAAATTTTATTTTCTTTTTCAGTATAAATTCAGTTTTAAGAAACTATGGGCATTTACAGGTCCAGGGTTTTTGATGAGCATTGCATATTTGGACCCAGGCAATATTGAATCAGATCTTCAACAGGGTGCTGTGGCAGAGTACAAGGTATTGAATTTATTGGGTATATAATGTGCATCAAAAGTACATTTAGTTTACTAAGTGAGTTTAGAAAGAAATGTTTTCTTTAGCTTCCACACATAACCTTTTTGATAACTTGAACTTAATTCACCCAGCTTGCTGAATTTCAACATAACAGTATTGTAGATTTTTTGAAGTATATGTGTATAACTACCTTGCTTTGTAATGTCCTTTAGATGATGTTACATAATCTGGTCAGCTGTTGGTCTGCTTTAGAATTAAACAATATGTTTGGTTCTTGAAAAGCTAACTTTTCAAACTGTTGTTTGGAATGAAATTTTGCTTATGACAAGCCTGACACCTTCAAGGTAGCTGAAATACCATGGTTGAAGAGACAAGACTCTAGAGGCATTGAACAAATACCCACAATGGCATACACAGTTGTGGTTATACAAGAATAGGGGCATTAAAATATAGAAATGAATTAATACATGTGGCACAACAAATATTATCTCCTACAAGCATATTTTTTGCATCTATATGATAAATATTCTTACCTTGTAGTTGATATGGATCCTTTTTCTGGCCACAGTTATGGGGCTGCTTATGCAGGTTGGTACAATTGAGTCTAGAATGTGTTTTTTCTATTTATTATAAGATAGTTTTCACATGATATGCTTATTATGCTTTTCTTGATTTGGAATGTGTCAGTTCAACAACCAAAGCTCTTTTTATGGCTCAACATTTGAGAAACTTATGGTTGTTATTTCCATTTTCTGTTAGATATCACTGTAGTCAATGTAAGAAGATTTTGATCTCCAAGTTCATGCAAACTATGTTAAATTTTCTTGTCACATTTGAAACTCTCTTCATTGCTTATAAAGACTTTAGCTGCAAGGCTTGGAACTGTCAGTGGTATGCATTTGGCAGAGGTTTGCCATGAAAAGTATCCCAGAATTCCAAGGATCATTTTATGGTTAATGGTAGAAATTGCTATCATTGGAAGTGATATGCAGGTACTTATCCTAAATTATACAATCATTGTGTCAGTAAAGAAACTTTGCTGCTTGAATGTGTAGTCTGTTGGCTATCTTGTAAGATAAAATGCAGTCTTTAGATTTCAAGCCATTGTTGAGTTTGATGATATGAAAAAGTACACTCCAATTAATATGCTTGAATCTAACATTGATTTTTTTGTAACAGCAAAATTACTTGTAAAAATGATTCTAGAATGCAAATTCACAATGTAACTCGTATTAGTAATATCTATTTGTTCTTTTGTCACAGGAAGTAATTGGTACTGCTATTGCCATCTTTCTTTTGTCTGATGGAAGGTAAGCATTAGTATTTATGCAAATGTACAGTCTATATGCTTTCGTCAGAAAAATGTGTGATCACATGTGCACGCCCAGGCCCATGCCTACGGCTTTTGAAGAGTGCAAAATGCCGAAGCAGAGACAAAAAATTTGTCAAAAAACTTTTGGACGTTAGGAACTTTCTTTTTTATGAGGTCACTTCAAACAAAAGTCAAGGCTGAGATGAAGGTTTTCTTTTTTGTGCATTTTGCCAAAAATGTACCTAAAAAGGACCACAAATATAGCAAGATGCTCAATTTATTGAAAGTTAACATTCACAACCTAGCACTGTGTATTTACGTCTAGTGTGCATATGAATGTGCATATGTACCTATTAATTTTTCAGGGTTCCGCTGTATGCAGGAGTTCTTATAACCATCACAGACACATTTGTGTTCCTGTTTCTTGACAAATATGGTAATTTGATTTTTGAAATTTGAATTTTTCAATTAACTTTCTCTCAGTTTCATCAATTGCAACCTTTTTAATCTGTATTTGACAATACTGACATATAAACTATTATGATCATGACTGGAAATTCTCAAAATCTTTTATCTTTGTTTTACAAACACTGAATATTTGGCATCTGCATATAATATGTGGAGTTATTGTAGCACCAAAAGCACTTCTAATAAAACTGATGGCATTTAAAAGTTTCAGATGCATTTGACTTTGTGAAATCATTTTGGATAGTTCAGGTTCTATCATAGTTCGATCTGAGGAATTTATATTCACTTGTTGTTTTCCCTCTTGATTTTTAGTCATTTTTGTTAAATCGTTTAAAATAGCATTTTTTGAGTGCTGAATACTGCATTTATACAAATGTTTGTGTTTACACAAAACCTCTTAAAGATAAAAACGACAAATCCCCAAATATTTTTTAGACTAGAAACTACCTTTACATTGTATTTTTCAATAGGATTGATTGATCTTCAGTCCAAGATGGAACATATTTTTGTAATGATTTGTTTTTTAGGACTGAGAAAACTTGAAGCATTCTTTGGTTTTCTTATAACTGTCATGGCAGTGTCATTTGGTTATGAGGCAAGTTTTTGTCTTAAATGCTTTTTATAACTCTGTAATTTTTATGTATTAGAAATTTTGATCAACATCTCAGGTACATGGAAAGATTTTTAACAGCTAGATGAAAAATACACTTGTCAATTTTGCCAAATTTTGTTTGTTTTAAAGATAAGACATCTTCCCATTAATAATTTTTTCATTTCTCTGTACTTTGTAGTATGTTGTTGCTAAACCATCCCAGACTGAAGTTTTGAAAGGTTTTATTCCTGGATGTGGGAATTGCAGCCAGAAAGTTATCACTCAGGTATGTGGTATATTTCCATTGCCTGATTTGAAATTCAACTTTTTATTGCATATATACAGCCTGGAATGTATCATTAAAGAATTTTCATTTTTTATAGTAGATTGTGATATTTTCTTTTAAGGTGCTTTATTTTTTTAAAGGCTGTTGGTGTTATTGGTGCTGTCATCATGCCCCATAATTTCTACTTGCATTCTGCCCTTGTAAAGGTATGTCAGGTTGTTGCCAATACTTTCAGAAGAAATTGAATATTTTAAACCATTTTGATTTATTTTCCCTGGATTGTTGTGCTTTGTTTTTTATGTTTAATTTTCTGGAAACATTCTCTTTCTATGTATTCCTCCAATTTAACTACCCTAGAAACCAATGTCATTTGTTTTCCTTAACTTTGGGCTTTGTTTTCCTTCACAGTCAAGAGATATTAATAGAAAAAATAAGAAGGATGTCAAAGAAGCAAATATGTACTACTTTATTGAATCAGGTATTGCAAATATTTGGTTGTGTTGTTGTTGTGTTATTTAAAGTACAAGTAAGAAATGATAGTTTTTCTTCCTTACTTAGCTGGTTATTTGAAATTTATTTTGGTGCTGTCTTCTTCCAGTAGTCTTTGAGTTCTTTTATTGGTAGTATGAGCATGGTAAAATGCATCACTGGAACTAAATGCATTTCAACATCTTTTTATTCCAAAAGTTGTTACAACATTTATACCAAAAGTTAATTTGTTAAAGAGCTTGGAATAGTTAAATGAATCGTTTTTTATGTTACATTTACTCATCTAAATTAATCATAAGCAATGCTTTTTTTGCCGCGATGATCCGTTCACCTTAAGTTACTTCAACCTTATGCGCATTGATCGCAACATATCTTCTTGTTGCTGATTCTGATACCATTTGTAATTATCTCCATTTTCGTTTACAGCAATTGCCTTGTTGGTATCATTTGTAATCAACTTGTTTGTGGTTGCTGTGTTTGCTCGTGTAAGTTCTATTTTTTTGTATTTTTAAAAACCATTTATTCTCAGTCAATTATTGTGTTTTTCATGTCATATAGGGAGATTAATATTTTTGATATAATCACAAAAGATCATCAGTGATTGCCAGAGAAGATAATCAATGATCAGCTGATTAACTATTATGATCATAAATACCTCATCTATGACCTCTGGAATAAGCCTTTTGTGATCACCCATAGTGATAAGCTTTGAAATCATAAAGTTCAAGCTGATTCAACTTCAATAATATTTGATGATCCAAACGTTTTATATATTGCATTGCGACAGATTTAAATTCTTTTAGTTTTTTGTTCAAAATTATTGATTTTGACTTCTTCAATTTTATAAGATACTTTTAGCTTTTGATTATTTAAATGCTGACTCTTTTTTGCTGGACAGTCAAGCTCAAAGACGAAGACTTGTCACCTTAGATGTATATGCTTTAGTCTGTCCTTTTAGCTGAATTTCCATAGCAAATTTTCAACCACTTGTATTACTTCCATAGGACAACTTGTATTATATATTGCCCAAATTTATTAGAGTCTTAAGTCGTTAGAAGATATCATGAAAGAATTTTCTCGGTTTTACATAGGCTTTCTACCAAAAAACATATGGAGATATTGTGAGTATTAATTGAATCTTCAGGCATGTAATTTTAATTTTTTTGAATATTTATTATTATATTTTTAATTATATTTTTTATATAGACTTTTTTTTAAGATATGTATACTCAACATTCATAAAGAAATATTCCGCCATATTATATTGTAACACATACGTATTAACTTGTAAATTTGTTCGTTAATTTTCCCACCTAATTTGCAACTTCTCTTTCAAATGAAAATAAAGGTATGATGAGCAACGTTAAAGGGAGTGCAGGGCCATGCAAAAAATGCGAATATCTGAAAAGCTCATTCTAAGCTTCCATTCCATGTAGTGGTGCAGCAGATATTTCCTAACATGTTACTCACATAAATAAATGCGCTAACCTATTTCTATGCTTTTCTTTCCAGTACGGTGACTGCTTGAGAAATAAGAACCCACATGCTCATCTCTTCAATGTTTCTGTAAGTTTTTAGTAAATGATTAGTTTAACCGAGATTTTCGATAAAGAAAATGTTACCGCTCTTCCATGCTTTTTTCATGCTTCCATGCTTCCAAATTTTTCAGTCTTTAAGGCTTTTTTTACGATGTATTGTTATATATATTATTATATATATTTTAATGGATATAGAACCGTCTCTGCTTGGGAACTTGAATTGCAAAATTAAGAGTAAATTTTGCTATGGTCTACAGCCTCGTATGGTTTGCATGTTTGTTTCTGTAATAATGTGAATAAAAATCGGCCTTTCAAATTTTCTACCCAGGAGATCGAAGAATGCTTTTTTGCTTGTAGTTTGGCATTAAAGTTAAAAGAGTGCAGAGCATTTATATTTTATTTGGTTTTTCAAGTTCATCCTTTAGTTGTCATTGTAGGTTTGTTTTTACCCGGAAAGTATTTAGTGAAATAAACTAGATTTTGCTTCTGTTTCCTAGCATCAAGAAGTTCTTATTTCTAGTCTACTCATGTTTATTCTCATTTTTAGAATCCAAACAAGACTCTTGATGGAAATCTGTACTACGGAGTAAGTTTTGTTGTAACAGTTCTGGTTATTAAAAATACGCATTTTTCAAACATATTGAATAACTTAACTTTGCTGGCCTAGCTTTATTTATGTTTCCGGAAATTGATTTGCCTATTTTTATGCAGTGTATTATGTTGCTGTCGTGTTACTATTTGAATATTTCTACATTTGTTACAGCAGCTTTAGCGTAGAAGCAATTTTTCATTTGGAGTTAGGTCACGACAAAACAACTTTTAGCTCAAAATCTGCCACTGTAGATGATCCTTAAGCTTTCGTCAATCAAATTTAAATTTAGTTAAATATACTGGAATTTGTTTTCAGGGTGTCTTTCTCGGTTGCTACTACTCCAATGTGGCAATGTACATCTGGGCTATTGGACTTCTTGCAGCTGGCCAGAGCTCAACAATGACGGTAGGTTGGATCTATTTCTCGATCGTTTTAAGGCAAAGTTAAGGGTTATGTGTTGTTAATAGACAGTAGAATTATAATTAGAAATGGATTGAAATTTTAGAGTTTTATGCAATTAGTGAATTGTTGAATTTTCTAGATACATTCTACACCTAATTTTCTAGGTTTACCAGTAATTTTGAAAACCCGACATAAATTGCAATCAGTGAATTTTCCTGTTTGTTCCATCAAGCTTTTTGTAATATTTTCGGACAAGCCCCATTTTACTCATTGTTTTTCAAACATGTAAAAAGTTCAGTGAACTTGTATTTGTGTTTTCTTGGAACCTGGTGTTTGAAAAAGGTGTCGTTGATGCTTCTTAGCAAGATACGCAAGTTATTTATTTGACGAGTATTAATTGACCTTTTGATGTTGTCAATCACACATATAACGTCATATCGTGTTATGTCTGTCTTGGAAAACTCAAAATATTTACGTTATTTAGCAAAGGTTTTTCTTATTTTCACAGGGTACTTACTCCGGACAGTTTGCAATGGAGGTAAATAGACACACTCCTCTTACATGCTTTTCTGCATCATTCATTTGATTACGAAATTTGAAAAAATCGAATAAGAGTATTCATTTATGATAGTTGCATGGTTTTGGATAAACTAAAGCCTTGATGTTTATGTTTAATGATGTTTTAGGGGTTTCTAAAGCTTTCATGGGCTCGATGGAAGAGAGTCCTGTTTACTCGGTCCATTGCCATTGGGCCTACCTTACTGGTTGCGACTTTCAAAGGGGTGGAAGACCTGACAGGCATGAACGATTTCTTGAATATTCTACAAAGTTTGCAGGTATGATGCCCTTGTTTATTTTCTTTCGGTCAAGGGATTCCTAGGCTTTATAGAATGTTTTTCAGTACCTTAAATACCTACCTTAGTCTCTTAATTTGATAAGTATTGTGTAGACCTAGCAAAGAGGTACCGATTTTGAAATAAAGTGCTTATAAAATTCGGGTTCTGAACACCATTTAAGATATTATGATAGCAGTAAAACTTATTTGCCAAAGATATTTAATATTGTGTACCTTGCAGTAGGATTAGATACACCAATTGACGTAAACAATATATTTTTTGAAATCTACATAAGATCTTGATTTTATTCCGCATGTACAATGAGTTGCAGTTACATGTTTGACAGCAGGCTTAGCGATGTTTCGCGATTATGTCATTAAAAAGTTTCATTTTAAGGACTGATTTTAGGTTGAAATTGTTGTGGTTGAATTACTGTCATATTTTTTCACCACCGCTTTGTCAGACCGGCGTTTGTCGCCCGGTCTTCAAAATTTATTTTGCCATCCATACTATAACAGGCTTGATCTTTGCCCCGTTAATTTATATAGATAAGATTCATCGTTTGCTTTATCCTTCTATCGCTTTTCCAGCTACCATTTGCAGTTTTACCACTTCTGACTTTCACTAATGACAGCGGTATAATGAGAGATTTCAAGAATAAAACGTGAGTTTCAGCCCGTTATTTTATGTTACAGAGCTGTGTCTTTTCAATTTAAATGTTTTTCAGTACCCTCAAGGTATATTTTCGTGTCACTAGCGTTCGAATCTACGATGTATTTAATTCGGCGGCATTAGTTGGATTATTGTTGTATAAAGGGTCAAAGCTGCAAAAAGTAGCGGAACCTTGGAACTAGATTCACAGAAAGTTTTTTGGCTTGGCAAAAATTTTTCAGCAAAACTTGATAAAAATCAGCTGTTTTTGCAATAACAAAAAAATTTTCTTGACTGTTTCACAACAGATTGAAAGTTGATACAAATGTATTTTTATTGTGCTCTGGTTATAGAATACATTAAATAAAGAAGTTTTTCAGTTTTCAAACCTTTTTAGAAAGTATTCCTCAGTTGCATAACTTGGAAGCAACCTTCAGTTACATTTTTCTGGACCTTTTAAACAGATAAAGCTGCAGACCTAAAGTTGGCAATTTATGTGCTTTAAAAAATGCTCTTTTGGTCGCTTGATATCAGCCTATGCATTTGGATCTTTAAAGATCAAAACAAATGAAAATCACATGTATCACAAGTTTTTCCTGCTAGCAATACAATACTTGATTGAGTTCTTGGAAGACTTGACAAAGTTTTTGATTGGTATTGAATTACATCATCGTGTTTTTTCAAATCATATTGGTCTTTTGAATATTGCTATGTCACCATTTTTTAATGTTGACATGTGTACCCATCATATGAAATGAAAGGTTAAAAATGCTGGCTGATAAGTATAGATAAGTACCGGCAACAGTCAAACCAAATGTTGCGTCAAAATTTTTGACTGTAATCAAAGTGTAGCTATAACCGGAGTTAAATTAAATAGTTTTGCATACTTGAGTCTAAGCTTTATTTCACTGTTACAGGTAGTGTGACTTTCAGCAGAGTGACTATATGAGGAGGCGATTTTAACTAGATTCATCTTCACTAAAGTTGACATCTATTACCTTCCGTCCCAGCCACCAGTTAATTGTGGAGAGCACCGTCTTTGTTGAAGTTTTCTTCAAGTAAATAAACATATCGCAATTTGGTTTACAAATCACTTTTACTTTTTTCGCATAGTCAATCTTTGCCAAAGATAAAAAAGATGCAATAATCAACCAAATTGTTATATTTTATTGGAAACTTTCTCTAGACCCAATAAAAAAGAAGACCTTGTGAGGAATTTGTGCGTACTATTGGCAGAGCTATTGTACGCAATACTTTCATCTGGCAGAAAAATGTTTCTCCTGTTTCCCAAGTTCCCAGAAAGGAGAATATTTTTTTGCAGCTCGGTAAAGGATGGCAAAAAGGGCGCCGTTCAGAAGCTTGAGCATAAATGCGTTTTTAGATAAGAAAGGCTTTGACTTTGATTATATATTAATGCTTATCAGAAGGCATAATCGGATGTTTCCTGTGCTAAATAAAAATGTATAGAAAAAGAATTTATTGGAGTTCAACAATCTTGTGCAGTATTTGACTTTGCTTAGCGAAAAGAGGATTTCAATTAGCAGGTGTGTGAAAAAGAGCAGAAGAATTTAAAAGTGGATTATTCACATCACAGATGAAGAAAAACTCTGACCATGCATTATCTGTGTACCCAAAATCTGGGAACAAATCCTTTTTCTTGAAGTATAAGTTTGATAAACTGATTTGCATAAGTGGAACTAGAGATTGTAAATATTCTGCTAGTAAGTAAACCCTGAAGGGTCCTTACCAGATCAAATGGAGCTGATCCCATTTGGCTTTTTGCATGAACAAGGCTTAATACATCTATTCATCCACTAGCAATCCTTTAAAAACAAACGAGGATAAGCATATTTTGATATTTTGATGTTGTTTCTTTCACAGAGTAACAATCGTTGTAACCTGGCTGTTGGCTGGAGCTGTCATTTCGATTAATCTTTATCTGGTCGTGGACAGCATGGTATACATACCCTGTTTCAAATTTGGCTTCTTTGATCTATTTTTTTAGAAATCCTGCGATTAAACTCCGATTTACTCTTTCACTCTTGATGTTTCTACTCTGATCTTGTAAACGCTAGAGTAATGCTTGTCCGGCAAACTGCAGATAGTATCATTAAAGTTGAGGCCGCTAAATTTTGGAGAAAATTTTCACGACAAAGTATTGTTTTTTGTTTATGTAAATGCTGAGCTTATTGAAAAAATGCGTCATATGCGGCCTAGATGAGCTCAAGTATGTTTAATAGACGGGCAAACTTCAATTATCATTCCACCGCAGGAGATGTCTGTCAAGGTAGTAGAATTAATCTGGTGATTACTCTGATAAATGTTTGTTTATGAACAGGAATTTAACTGAGCTTTGTCTAAGGATAAGTATATATTTTAATGAATTTGTTATTTAATCACTGCAATCCATTTAGGCTTAACGAAAATCGTTTTTGACTTAATTTTTTATCTTATTTTCCTAATAAAGTCTGGTTTCACAAATAAACTATTGTTGATTGGAATCGTACCACTGATGGTGATATGGATTATCTTCTACTTAATACTGGTATGATTTACCGATATTCCTGTGTATAATATATTTTCATGGTAACGATTTTTCATGACATCATTCTTCTCAAATGCATGTATACGTTGTCTTTTTTCATTAAAACTCTGTTTTCAAGAATCTTGCTTCGATCTACACATGTTTTCTAGATGTTCCATGAGATTTTCCGTTTATCCTTTAAATGTGAATTCTACTTGTACTTCCCCCTTGAGAACGATTTATTTTGCATGAATGGAAATTCAGTTCATTGCTAGATAGAAATAGTTAATGCAAATAGTTTCAGATGTTACAGATGTTAGATATTGTTTTCCCTCTCTGTTAATGCTGGTTTTCGACTAACGAAAAATATTAACTTTTATATAATGTGAACCTGGCTTATCGCCAGTTATGTTTTCTGTCATATCTATTGGTTCTAACTGACTAAACTATTGAAATTATACTTCTTAACAGTTCTGTGATCAATTTGTTCCTCGGAATATCTGCAAAGTTATAAAATGTTTCATTCTTTGTGCCGTAGGCCTACTATGCTGCTGGATTTCAATTTCTTGAAAGATTTAAGGTATGCTTAACTTTATATTTTTTTGTTTTCTGTAGTGTTATCTTGAACTTTTATGGGCTAACCTTCCCAGAATCAAGCATCTTCAACTTTAGGGATTCCAGCTAGTCTTTTCAGCTTAAACTTAGATAATATTCTCATCTTGTTTTCTGACAATACTGTGTTTGTGCTTCCTGTATTTTTATCAGTTTCGCCCCATTTGTGTCACATTCTCAGGAGTCATTTTTCCTGACACAAGCTAACAGATCGAAAGTAAACATAGGTTGCTCTTGATATTTCTAAAGCATGTCTGCAGAATGTTATGAAAACATCTTTCTACTTTCTGTAAGTAGTGTTTAAAGGCAGTATTTGACAATGGATTAGCATAACGTTATGAAGGTACACCAAAGTAGCAGCATTTGCCCGCATAAAAATAAGTGAAAGCCATTGTTTTTAGTGGTTGCAGAGAAAAAGCTATGAAGTGCACTTTGATGAAGACGAGAAGACTCCCGATTGAATTGACAACTTTGCTGTTGATAGCGGACAATGTACGACAGACAGGTTTGGTAGTAACGCATTTTACATGTAGACTGTACTGCATCGAAAAGCGTTAGCAAATCGTAGTCTTCTTCAGATGTCGTTCTTCACTTCATACCACATTCACTTGTGGTATGTCAAAAAAATGTAAAATTTTATTGAATAACCATGTTTTCTCTTATTTTTGCCTAAAAGTCAAATTAGTTCTAACTTTCCATGATAATTACTAATTATTTCTAGACTTCAAAATAGTTTTATTAAGAGTTCGGGCTAGCGCTTAGATATTTTATGAGTCTGTGAGTGCATGGTATATGAGTGCAATAATTGGTTTCTAGTCTAATCTAACAAAAGGCTTTATGTGAAAATGTTTGAAAAATTAAGCAAACGAATCTTATTATGCGCTTCCGCTAGATAAGACTGCAAATTTCACTAGGTTTGATTAGAAAAAGGTTTTTTTCAATGTTTAGATCAATTTGCATGACGCTCCTTATGTAAATGAAATCTGAATCATGAGTAATAGACTTAGATTGTATCTAGAAGAGAATTACTATATAGTAGAAACCCACATAAAAAAACCTAGGTTTTTTTCTTGCAGCCTGAATAGGTTCTTAATAAACAGGCTGCTTTTCTAAGTTCCAGTCTAAAAGGTTCTTAACAAAGTTCCTATATACATACAGGCCTTGCACACATAAACTATGTTTTCCACCGCAAGAATTCAAACAGACACACCTAAACCAGCTTTGGTTTTTCATGTTAAGTTTCAAGCAATCAAACGAATTTGTCTTGTTAGATTATCCAAATAGAATGCAACCTACCAAAATCAGATTTAACTCTAAGTTGGTTTAATTTGCGGGTGTGAATAGGGTGTAAAAATACCACTCTTAAAGCCCTTTTTTCTTATATATATAAGAACCTTTCCAAATTGCAGCCTCTTGGGGGTTCTCAATTATGGGGTTTACAAAATTAAATTTCAGCGTCAAGGTTCTTATAAAAACAGGTTCTTCTATGCGGGTTTCTACTGTAGATTGTATCTGTCAGAAATTTAATTTAATTTTTTATGATTATCAGTTGAGAAATATTTTGTTTTTTTAATTATTTTCTTGTTTGCCTAAGATTTTGCCTTAGTGACGTAAACTCCAGCGATTTATTTATTATTTCTATGTAAGAGGTCATACGATCCTTATGTCCCTGAAGTTCGTGGAAAGCCAGGCTGTGAAGAAACTGTCTTTGGTTAGCATGATGATAGTCATTTCACTGCCTTGTTGCTACTACCGTCTTCGCCATTGCCACTGGGTGTCTATTTGCTACTTAAGGATAAGTGGTGAGCGTCAAATCAACTATGCTTCAACCCACAACCTTCCACACTGAGCAAAATGCTCTTACCACTTGCACACTCCGCCTTACCCATTAGCCAAATTCAATAAACGGTGAAAGTGTTAACTAACCGTTTGACTTCACGTAAAAGGTACCACATGAGTACAACTTTTCCGTTGTACCACCTTGCATGTTTTTGTGCCATCGAGAGAGTTGCGTTTGCAGATGGTTTGTGTCACCATATTTTTATCTCTAAAAAACTCTAAAAACCATATTTCAAAATGTCTGTCCTTATGTTGAATCTATTGATGTAAGCTAGACCTGACAGGTACCCAATACAAATTTATTTATCTGCGGCTCTAGCATGTTTCTGCTACTGGAAGTATTTTAACGTTGAAAAAGTGTTAAAAAGCAATGAAGCAATTGAATAATACTGAGTTGCGATCTTACAGTCCAAAGTCAAGTTGGACCGCTGCTAGACCATCTTCACGCGCTAAACCAGCTCTCATTGTGTACCTTTCTTAACCATACCCAGCATCGTGGTACACAGCACTTGTTCCTCCTCATCTGTTTTTCAGTTTGGCATCTCCGTACAGCAAATGATTTGTGGTATAGCAGTTTCTAGAATTCCATGTAGTACAGAATCCGCAAGGGCGGAGCAGGCCAGGGGGTACGACTTTTCGTAAACGGAGGTCATATAACATACCTACATGGAATGCTGTGACCTTCAGCTGTCGCGACTATTGCGTGCTGTTTGAACTGTTCGTCTATTTTGAACTGGATCTCAAACAAATGTTTTTGAACATACGATTTCGGCGTACCACCTTGAAAATTGATATTAATGTCTGCATTGGCTGTCTTTTTTCATCCGGTACGATCTATTGTAACTTCTTAAGGCCCTGAACGCACTGATTTCGGAAATTAAAATCTCATTATCTTTGTCAAAATGGAAAATCCAAAAAACTTTTTCAAGCTTCGCAAAGAGAATCCGATTTCCGCTTGGAAATTCAAGCGCTCTGCAGTTGGTGTGTAAAATGGTTGTTTGCTGTTTGGTTAATGTGAAGTGGTTTAAGGGGGAGCTATACGTAGTCATATGTCTTTTTTTGAAAATTTTTACCAAATTTTGTTTTCGGAGTTTTGTGATAGATCAAAGCCTTGACTATGCATCTAATCAATCCCCAAGTCCATATCTTCCAGCAAAACCTGTAAAAAACAACTTTCTCTGAGAGTAGTTGCAAATTCGATTTTTGTTGCCATGGAAACGTAATAAAAACTCTTTGCCAATAACCCCTTATCCCTTCCCCAGACTTTGAAGCTTCCTGCCAATGCCATTACTTTTCTCTCCCTTGATTCCCTGTGTTATTAATCTTGCTTCCCTGTTTCTCATACGGGAACTTTCGTAAAGTTCGCCTGCCTGGGTGGAGTAAAACACTTGAAAGTTGAAAGCCAGTTTTGTGCGATTTGCAAGAAAAAATTTGTAAAATGCCAAAAGGAGAGAGACAAGGAAAGAAATATCGAGTAAGGAGGAGTTATCGTACCAAGAAAAAAGTTTTCAAGGGCAAAAAACTGAAGGAAAAGAGCGCTGAGGAGTCTGAGGATAGTAGGCCTACACCAACGCCCAATATTCGTGTTTCTCAAGAAGTAAACATTACCGAAATTGAGACAATTTCAGATACCGAAAATACCGAGATCTCAGCATCCTTGAGGAAGATAACAGCTGCAACTAAAGCTACTCCAAAAATACAGGATCAAGTTTGTAATAACGACGATGCCAATGGTTATAGACTTGTTTATATAAAGAATTTAACGAATGCAATGAAGGAATTTCACAAAATTGTTTGCAAACAGGCGGATATAGAACTATCAGAAGATGTTTCCAAACGTGCAGGCCTATGTTCCCATCTCATATTTCACTGCTTGAGCTGCGACACCAAAGTTAGCATGTCAACAGGGAAGGAATCAAAAGGGAAGAAGGCATCATTTGATATAAATCGCAGAGCTGTGTTTGCTGCTGGGGAGATTGGAATTGGACGAGAAGCCCTATCTACAATGTGTGCAGTAATAAACATGCCACCGCCACCAAGTCTTCGAGCATACCAACAACACAAAACAGCCATTTGTGATGCTACAAATTTTGTAGTAGGCAAATCACTTAGTGATGCAGCTAAACGTGTTAGAGACAGCCTAGGAGCAAATGACACTGATACAATAAACATTGCAGTGTCATTTGATGGTACTTGGAGCAAGAGAGGCTTTACTGCAAATTATGGCATAGGTGTTGTAATTGCAGTAGAAACTGGAGAAGTGTTGGACTATGCAGTTATGTCCAAGTCATGCGAAAAATGTAAGGCTGCTGAGAAATTGAAAGGTGACTTGGAAAAATACAAGCAATGGAAAGCAAACCATGCAAGCCAAGGAGAATGCCAAAAGAACTTTCAAGGTTCAAGTACTGCTATGGAGAAGGAAGCTGCAAAGATAATTTGGGGACGGTCCTTATCAAAACATAACTTTCGTTATACAGAGATGGTGTGTGATGGAGATAGCAAAGCCTGTACGGAAGTTTGGGATACTTATGGGGTATGTGAGGACTGTGATAAGAATGCATCAATGGACAAAAAATCGCTTCATTATCAGAAATGGCTGAAGTCTGCAGCATACACCAGATGGGAAAATGAACATGAGAATGGGATTGCGGAATGTTATGGTGTCAAAAAACTTGATTGTATTGGTCACATCCAAAAAAGGATGGGAAAAAATCTAATTAGCATGCAGAAGACAGGTGGAAAGCTTTCAGATGGAAAGGCTGTTGGAGGGAGGCAAGGCAGGCTTACAAGACCTGTAATAGACAGGCTTCAAAAATATTATGGAAATGCTATTAGAAGCTCTGTTGACAGGGACGCAAAATCAAAAGAAGAAATACAACAAGCAGTAGAGAAGATGCAGAAAAATATAAAGGCTGTCCTTTATCACAGTATTAAGATGAAAGAACAAGAAAAGAGACATTATTTTTGTCCTTCAAACTCCTGGTGTGCTTATAAGAACAATAGAGGTTACACAGATGAAACATTTGTAGATAAGCCATATCATCTTGATGAAGTTTTCTTGGAGTTTTTGCTACCTCTCTTTGACCGTTTGAGCAGCACCAGTTTGCTAAAAAGGTGCTTGCCAGGGTTCTCCCAAAATGTGAATGAGTCCTTCAATTCTTTGATTTGGATACGATGTCCAAAGCACCAAAACAAAGGAATGAAGGTTGTTGAGGTAGCAACAGGCTCAGCTGTTTTGCAATTCAATGTTGGTGCAACTGGAAAACATGCTCTTATGGATAATTTAGGTATCCCAAGTGGCACCCATACAGAACATGGTAGCAACAAGAAAGACCAGAGGAGGATTGCACAGTCATCAGCAAGACTGAGACAAAAGTTTAAAAGAGCCAGACAAGTTATACGTCAAGCAAAGCTTCGAGAAGAAGAACGGCTGAAGAGGTTGGAAGGGGTGACATATGAGGCAGGGGCATTTAATGAAGAGGATCATGGACCATCTGCTGCAAAACAGAGGAGGACATGTAAAAACCCAAAAAGAAGCAAAAATTGAATTAAAATAAAATTTGCCAGTTGAATAACATTCGAAGAAACATTGATAAACTTTAATCGCAATTTACTCAAAACGCCTGTTTTTGATACCAGGTGATTGCCCCATATGATTATTTTCATAACCTTTGAAGATATTAGCAAAAGATTTGGCAGAAATACTTTTCATGTATGTAGTTATGCCCCTATGAGCCCTTTTTCAAAAATTTGCTAAGGCTGTCCTAAAATTTATACTTATTGCAAAAGCCTCCCTTATTGGTAGTTACCATGGCAACCAAATTGAATTATCAGAAAATTTCACATTGGGGCATTCTTTATCATTTCAGCTTTGTTTTTATTAAATTTCATACCTCTATAACATATATTTCTTGAATTAAGCTGGTGGGGCAACCATCCACCTTGAATTCTGATCCACGAAGTCCTCAACTTCAAGCAAGCGTTTCCTCATTTTAGGGGGGTGCTTTTCAAATTATTTTTCTCCACCTAAGACCTGTAAGGTTCCCTTGTCAGATGAGATATAGGTCAAATCTATATGTTGTACGATATTGGAATAACAAAGGTTTAAAAATGTACAAAAAATGATCAATTTTATGTATAGCTCCCCCTTAAAGCAGGTTTAAAGCTTATTGTTTGACCCACATGAGAACCGAGGCCCGCCAAATTCGATTAGGCTCTAGAACCGTGTGACCCACCGTTCACCGCGAAACACCGAAAGGAAACGACATGAGTGTTAAACGAGGTACCCAATATCAAAAAGTACTTTTTACAAATCAAACTACCTACCCTTATCACTAATTGACCAGCTTTTCAGTAAAGCAGAACATACAGCGCATCGACTGTTAGGTTCATTGGACGTGTAGCACGACAATTAACGTCTTTGATCACATCGAACGTTGGGAATTTTCTATAGTTACAATTCTTGTCTGTTTTTCAACCTAAATTTACATCCAATAACTTATTTTGGACATAGTTATTTGTAATCTTATGTAGGCCTACACTCTACGATGGGTCCCACGCGGACAAGCAACATTGACCTCTATTTGAAACGGCAAAAGCTCGATCCAGTCTTTTATAGTTCGTCTCGCTCTGGGGCAGGACGACGGAACCTTTGAGAGACTAGTGAATTTGGTTCAGTGGCAATTTGGGTGGCCGCTCTGGAAAATCAGCATTTGTTTACTAACAAGCTTAATCCCTTTTCTCAATGAACAATAGAGATTAAGTGTGTCAGAAGTTTTTACTGAAATCTTGTTCGGTGCGTCTAGGGCCTTAGGGTTGTTGCCAAAAGATTCCTTTGGACGCAAGTGTGTTGTTATGGAACTTTTGAATTTAGGCATTTTCTTCTGATCAAAAGAATGTGTGTTTAATTTAAACTGTCGAGATACAGATCTTTTTATGTATACCATAGCCAAACTATGATTAAACCTTTATTTTATACAATCGTTTATCTCCTCGTCGCTCTCAAGCTTTTAAGGGTTTCCCCCCCCCCCCCCCCCCCCCCATTCTCTTAGATACTTCCTCTAGATTCATTCTCCAGCCTCTAAGCAATATTTGATTAAATTAATATTTTGATTTTATGAATGCTATTCAGTTGAATAAGCAGCTTTATTTGAACTGCGCAGACGGAAATGCTTAGCGTGTTTGTAAATATTTGTTTCAATCGCCTTAAAAATCGGATTTCAGGTGGTAAATTATAAAAGTAACAGTGTTCCGGTATGGTATAAGTTTTATCAAAGACTTTTCCCGCGTTTACAGAAGATAAATCATTTCCTTTTTCATTTTAGCATGTCGGTGTTTTCTTTTAAAACTGTTATACAAGTTTATCAAAGAAAAATTGATTTCTGTATATCTTATTTTCCTAAGACTTGACACAGATACAATGCAACCACCTGCAGCATTAGGTATCATTTTTACATAGATGACTTGGTAGCACTATCCTTCATCAAGTGGGACCTTTATGGTTAGCAACTTATGCTGCAAGGCTTTAGATTACAACTATTATTCAAAGCTTTTGATTTTACGGTTATTTCTGCACTTGATACTTCTTTGACAACTTGAGCGCTGCTTGGAACGTCGTCTGTTGGAACGTAGAACCGAGTATTGGTGAACTTTCGAAGATCAATCAGTTGCCTGAATATTCACCGCAGTTTTGCTCAATCAGGGATCTACAATGGGCTATGAAAAGAAGCAATTTGACATACTATGTGTGTGCTGTGGGTTTCTAGGCATGCTTTTAAACTCGCTTCAAATTAACTTGCTTCGAAAGGAGAAGAAGAAGACAGGATTTATGTTGACAATTTTCAGTCTCAGTATAGCTGACTTCCTGCAGTCGCTAATTTTCATATACATTGGAGGCTATTTTTTGCTGGTCCATGGAAACGTGCTGTCAAAATCTACCGTCTTAACAAATTCAATAGTAAGGTCGATTTTGTTCTATATGACATCATCATTGCTTCATGTAGTACTCATTTCGGTGGAGCGCTTCCTCGCTGTCTACTTTCCTTTGAGGTTTCAACGTTTGTTTACGACCAGAATCTGTAAGATCTTACTGCTTTTCATCTGGCTTCTCTCAATTGTCGTCCCTTCATTAATTCATAGCTTAAATCCAATAGTCTGGGTTTGCTGCGCTGCTTTGTTTTTCACTTACCTTTCCATTTGCGTAAAAATGTTTTTGCATCAGAGGAAACAAGTTACGAGAACAGCATCCATTCAAAAAGGGATATCAAATCGGGAAACACGACTGCGCAAAATTGTCGTGTATTCATGCTCGGTAACAATATCATTTATTATTTTTAACTTGCCAAAAACTTTTACACCTTTTGACAGTTCAGAAAAAAGTCTCGTTTCCACCTCACTGCTATTAGGGAATGTTTTATTTAACCCAATTTTGTATTTCTTACATAATGGTTGCGTATGTGGGTCAAATCCTTCCAATAGCAATGTCAGTGCTCGAAGTACTGATTTAAATGGTGGAACAGCGAGAAAGTCGGCTGAGCTTGCAAACTAGAGTCCTGCACCAGCTTGAAAATAACGAAGAAGCTTTTTTTTGCAAGAGCGTAAAAACTTTTTTAACGTGCCTTGTATAATCTTATCTGTATGTAACCAAAATCAATTCTCCCTTAAGTTTTTTATTAAAACGTATGTAAGCAAGTTTGCTTATTTCTTTATGAGGAAGCTTCGATTTGATTTTCTGTGCAAATCAATGCCAAGATAGTTTGCACTGCATCGATAAATCAAATTTCCAGTTCATCACAGATTTCGTTTTGTATTTATAATTTGTGTTCTTTTCACATTATTTAAGCCTAATATGTAGCCTATTCAACTGCTTTTAAGGAAATGAAGTACAAATAGCACCGTAAACAAAATTCTATAGTCTTTAATGACAAACACTGTCAATTGGCAAGCCTGTCCCTTATCGATGCCTTAAGAACATTTTGAACTTAGCTAACTTATGGCTTTAGGCAATTTTCAATGGCAAAGGAAGCTTTCAAAGTTTTGCGGACGAAGTCGCTACATATTCCATACATTCTTGAAAAATTTACCTCGCTCGCACTTCGTTTTTGTCGTTCTGGCCCCGCTTTTCATATTTCCGTTGTTGTTAATCGTAAAAGGGCATTTTGAAGAAGACATCTGTACAATTCGTCAACAGAATAAGACCTAAATACAAAAACTTCTTTTTTAAAGGCCATATTTAACTTGGTTTTTAATAAAACAGAAATGCTGTATCGATTTATGGATTTTTCTTTTGATTATATTGTGGTTTTCAGATTTTCTTAGCAAAATGCTAGTTCATATTTATTTAAAGTTTCGCTTTATGTTGATTAGAAAATGCTGATTAAAAATCATTTGGTTTTTTTGGACTGAAAATCTCTTTTCTTTAAATATTAAATTTTTGAGCATAGTAGAAAAGAGGCTGATGTACTAACTAATCGAACAGCATATGACGTCAAATCAATGAATACCGCTTTCGAACGCGTGGCTTAGAATCTTCGCGTTAGAAGAAATCGATTGGATGCATAAAGAATCTTGGAGAGTTCTCTTTACATGCTTAGTTACAGAAAATGCTGGCAAAACTTGCACGTGGCTCATCTTTTAATGATATTGAACTACCCGACATGACAGAGTTGCCAAAGTTGCATCGTGCGGCATACTCAAAGGACGTCGAGAGGGTTGGTGAGATCCTTAGCAAAAGAAGAGTAGACGTGGATAAGAGAGATAGCAGAGGAAGGTACGTCCTCATTTCCGACAGGAAATTTTACCGCCAATTTCCTAACAAAATTTTTTTTAGAAACCAGTATTGTATATTGTTATTAATAGTCTGCAACCAACGTTACACTTCAGTTCAGTTCAGTTTCATTATTTAAAATTCCACACATACAATGCAATCCAATAAATTACAATACAATTAATATAATTAAAGAATAAAAAAAAGAGCAATTAGATAGAAAATAAATTAAACATATTGAATTGTAAGTGTGAAATTTCTTAAGGAGGAACTCTCTAAGTAGGTAGACTAACGAGAAGAGAGTCCCCCTATCGGATCTATAGTTCTAAAATATGGAGCTCATTCAAAGTTAATACTGGGTCAAATCAAATGCACAATGATTAGAAATTTTGTGAACAAAAAGAGATTAATTGATGACCACTATTATAAATTTTCTAGAATATGCGTCTTCAGTTTTGATTTAAAAGTAAGTTTAGAGTTAGCCGTTCTACTATGGCACGAAACAAAACTTTCAAGATTCAGGATTAACTGTTTCTTGAAATCAACTGAGGAAAAGGTTTTAAGCGAAAACAAGAACTGGATGGTGTTTTACGTTTCAAGATGATCAACGATATTTCACAGTTGCAGGCCACAGCAAGACGTATTACGATACAATAAGATATATTTGAAGCAAGCAAGATGAGATACGCTTTTCTGTAAAGGGTTAGGAAATCTGACATTGTTGTTTGAAATATTTAAATACCGTTTGTTTAAAGCCAATGACAAAATTTCCCAACTAGAAACAAGTTTGTTAAAATCACAACAGTATTGGGCTGCATTATTGTAAGGTATTTTTTTCTTTTTATCAAATCTTTATTTTCAGAACTGCTTTTCATTATGGATGCCTTGCTGGGTCAACTGAAGTTATTGAGCTCCTTCACAGCCATTGCCCAGATCTTCATTTACGCAAAGATAGTCAAGGCCGTTGTCCTGCATACTTGGTAGGTGTCTCGTTTAGATGAAAATATCCCTTGGATTATATTGACGTGGGAGTGGCTGAGATGGAATGCACTCCCACAATCACACAACTGGGAAACAAGAAACTTATAAAGAAACCCTTTTGAGAGAACGCGGCTTTTCACAAAAAGCCTCTTACAGGAAACTTTATTGCTCTTAACTGACCATTTCATATGTCTTCTAAAGGTTATCGGAGTTCAGCTATTTAATCGACTCTTTTAGCTTTGCTTCTTAAGCAGTCTGTTTTTTTAACTGTAAATTAATAGACCAAAAGATTATTTCACCAAAGAACTAATTTTTTGTTGAAGATATTGTTTTACTTCTTGCATTTTGTCAAGGTCTATGAATAATATATATGTAGCTTCCGATGCCACGATTTGTTCCTTGAAAAGCTATGAACATGACTTTTTGACGACCAATGATTTTTCCTTGTATTTTTTTAAAATATAATTTTTGGTTGTCATACAACAATGAATTTTATCCCTTTTTCTAAGTCTCAGTCTCTTAAATAGTTTTCCCATCACGCTGAATGGTTTAGCGCATTACCTGCTTGTTGAACTCATTCCGCAATTATTCTTTCTTTGACTAACTTTTGTTCTGTTTTTAGGCCATCAAGCATGGTCATTTGGACTGTATCAAGCTACTTTTTGTTTATGGGAAAAATTTTGATGAAAAAGATGATAGTGGAATTTGTCCTTTGCATTTTTCCATAACCGAGCATCAGACGGAAATAGCTAAGTTCCTGATCAAAAACGGAAATGCTGATTTAAATGCCAAAGATCCGGTACGTTTAGAATGTTTTATTCATCTATTTTCTATTTTATTTATATTATATATTTATATGAATATATATAGCATAGAGTTGGAGAAAATAAAACTACATGTTTTATCTCTACAAGCCTGTTTCGTGAATAACTCATTCTTCAGGAGATGTTGATACACTGAAATATTCCTCGTATAAATACATAGGTCGGTACAGAAGGTGTTACATAATGTATAAGTCTATACAGAAGGTGAAATAGAGGGTAATAATGTTTGTTTCTATGGTGGCAAGAAGATACGAGTTCGTTGTGTTGGTTGAGTGTCGATAATTCTGGGTGGCAGATGATGAGGGTCTTTTCTTTGAGGCAAAGGTTGCATCTTCAGCTTGAATTGTTGTAAGATGACTTTGTTGTGAGAATGCGCCAGGAAATGGAGTGGTCGATGTTGTTGTTTTTAGAGTCCAGATGTACTTGCTGAGTTCTGTGGAGTTTTTGTGTTTTTTGTGACGGATAATTTTGTGTTATGCGTTAAAATTTCTGTTAAGATTGTTAATAAGAAATAAGCTTTTCGAACTAAACCGATATATCAATTTTTGTTTGTGAAGGTCATCTAAAGTCTATGCCTAGAGTCCAAAAGAGTGTCCATACAAGAATACTCAACTTGTATTTCCCAGGAGTCGTTTCTTCTAGCCTGTATGATTTGCAATTACCAACTCCATACCATTTTTACATCTGTATTACATAAAGTCTTTTAAAATTTTTCTTTGCAGCATCTTCTTACAGCATTGCACCATGCTTGCGCAAATGGACTTTTGAGCACCGCAAAGCTTTTAGTAGAGTCTGGTGTCAAAATCAATGCAAAGGATTGCTATGGCAGGTAAATCAACATATATGACTTTAATTTCACCTCTTGTCAAATACGTTATTTCAGCAATTCTATGGCGAGGATGGTACGAATACTAACAGACTCCAATCCTCGCCGACTTGTTGTTACAGTTGCACTTTATCGTAGCTGTTTCACATAGTTGTTACTTTGGCTCCACTGCTTACTGGCGTAGGTTGCAGGAACTCCTTTATGTATGAAATCAACGTTTTGGGCGGAGAGAGATGAGAATTTAACAGTGCCATTGACACTTTATATTTGTACAGAGCGGTTTTCCAACTAGGTTTGGAAAGTGTTGTAGATTAAGAAATTGTGCAATGTTTTGAAATAATAAGACTTAATTCCTTGTAGTGCAAATGGAAATGATTAGCATTAACTTGAAACGTCTTTTGTAATTTTAACTTTTTTTGCAGAACTCCACTGATGCTTGCGGCAGCAGATGGGTCAGAGGAATGTGTTAAAATGCTTATTGAGAATGGTGCAAATCCCGAAATATCAGATCGACGAGGTCTTACTGCAAAGGCTTGGGCTCTAAAAAAAGACCATCACCGGTAACTGTTATGAGCCTTTTACGCTTGCTACCTGCTTTCGTATTCTAAACGAAGAAATCTTCACTATTTTATGAAAACCTATATTGTATGCAAGAGCATCCTTAAGTTTCCGATGGCTAAAACGATTTGGTACTATTCTGGCAAAATTTTTCCGGAATCGCTACATAATTATTAAAGAGCTTCCGTTAAAAGAGTAAGTCCGATTGTTCGCTTGTTAAAAAGGGATGTTTATATAGACATGAAGACCTTAATGAAAAAGTAGAAATAATTGGAAAAGTGGATGATATTTAAAGTCACAGTTGTAGAGCCCCCCTCTCACTGCGCTTGAAAGGAAAATTAGAAATACTGCTAATTTCAGAAAAGCTTGGCCGTATAAAATCAAAATAATTTTGAGCTCATCTGTATTTCTTTAGGCTTTTGACTATCTTGGACGGAACATCAAACCAATCTACATCTGGATGTAAAATGGATAGTGAGGGTATGTAGAAAATCTAACTTCGAGAAGATCAATCTTTCATAGCGAAGTATGTCTATATAAAGTTGGGTTTTATTTTCTTGCCGTAAAAGGCCGTAGTACGTGTAAACAGGCTTCTTAACACGCTTTTAAACGCAAAGAAGATGGAAGCATGATGTTTGTCCTGTAATATTATGGCCTACAGACTGAAGCTGCACTCAATGATTGATATTTATATCTTCACGGTGCTGGTCACAGGGGCATATGGAACTCACCTCAAATACCCTAATCAGAAAATTAGTCTCCAAATTATTGACTTCCGTTATATTTCAGTTCGGTTCCTATGTTAATATAGTTTCCTTTATCAATAGCAAGACCGTGGTCGTGATGAAAAATTTGTTTTGTTAAGGACTGAGTTTTATTAGAAAACCTAGATACGTAGAGATTATATTTTCAAATTCAGATTCATATTTCTAGTGCGAACTAGATTGTAAAAGGCAGATCATTTTGTTGCATTGTTAGGTGTTTTACGTGAGGTTGCAGGGGATGATGCTATGCAAAATGTTAACTAGAGATAATGTCAAGTTTAGTTCTTCGTGGGGAGCTTCTCGTATAATTTCTGTATTGTTGCTTTGGTGCCATTATAATTTCTAAAATTAGAAGCAATAAATGCTACTAGCGTTTTAGAATACAACGTGGCTTTAGAATGAAACCTTTAAAGCCTATTCTTTTAAAACCACCAGTTGCAATAAAAGAGCCGCTTTCGAAGATTTTCTTAAACAAACATCAATACAGCAAATCAAAAATGCTTTTCATTTACAATTGCTTTTACAAGACTAGAGTCGATGGATTACTTGATCTTGATGTGTTTTATTGTCACGGTTTTAGTATTTTTCATGTTGCTGATGATTACCTTTCCTTGTTTTAATTAGTGCTGGCACGTATTGTTTTGATTCCAGTGATCGTATTTTTTTATCAAAGTTTTCTAATTTTTTGGTATCATATAATATTGCATCTTATCGTATCGTATTGTATCGTATGATATCGTATGGTATCATATCATATCGTATCGTATCGTAGTGTGGGGTGGCCTGGTGTGCATGTACTGCGCTGCACTGTACTGCACTTTACTACACTTTATTGCACTGTCACGTACTGTACTGTCATGTACTGTACTGCCATGTACTGTACTGCCATGTACTGTACTGCCATATACTGTTATGTCATATACTGTACTGTCATGTACTGTACTGCCATATACTGTTATGTCATATACTGTACTGTCATGTACTGTACTGCCATGTACTGTACTGTCATCTACTGTACTGTCATGAACTGTACTGTCATGTACTGTTATGTCATGTACTGTACTGCCATGTACTGTACTGTCATGTACTGTACTGCCATGTACTGTACTGTCATGAACTGCACTGTCATGAACTGTACTGCCATGTACTGTACTGCCATGTACTGTACTGTCATGTACTGTACTGCCATGTACTGTACTGCCATGTACCGTTATGTCATATACTGTACTGTCAATTACTGTACTGCCATGTACTGTACTGCCATGTACTGTACTGCCATGTACTGTTATGTCAATTACTGTACTGTCATGTACTGTACTGCCATGTACTGTACTGCCATGTTCCGTTATGTCATATACTGTACTGTCATGTACTGTACTGCCATGTACTGTACTGCAATGTACTGTTATGTCATATACTGTACTGTCATGTACTGTACTGCCATGTACTGTACTGCCATATACTGTACTGCCATGTACTGTACTGCCATGTACTGTTATGTCATATACTGTACTGTCATGAACTGTACTGCCATGTACTGTTATGTCATGTACTGTACTGCCATGTACTGTACTATATCTTGTTTTATTGTGTCGTATCATATAATTTCTCATCATGCTGTTTCGTATCATATTGTATTGTATTGTGTGCTGTATTTTTCTGTAAACGAAATGGACCATTTATTTGTGAAATCTTACTTTATTAAATTTTTATAATCATAGCGTTGATATTATGATTTTGAGAACTTAAGTCTAAAAGCCAGCAAATTAAATAAAGGTGACTTAGTCAGTATCAGTGAAAAGTTCAAAATCTGAATGCAAACCCGATTGCTATAAACTTCTCTTGTTTTAGATTCAGGTGAAAAGGCAGCTCTAAAGCAAATGTCCAATACACCAGAGTCTACTAAAGGACAATGTGATCATGATGCAAGTCCTAGAAGCTGCGAAGATGAAGGCGAGGCAAGCAGCAGTTCTTTTTCAGAAAATGATGGCTTTGTACAGGCAGTGACTTCATCCCCATCAGAAACCCTCTTTCTTCTTGAAACAAGCTCAGCAGAAATGAAGAACAATGTGAATGTACAAAAAACAAATACAGATTACCATGAATTGACTAATAAACCCGATAAAGAAGCAACAAATAATTCAAAAAAATCCAACAGAAGTCATGTGCGTTTTGCGGAAAATCCTGAGATTGTTCAGTATGGCATCTCTTCTGATAACCAATCTTCAACTAAAACGATGCTGAGCACAAGTGAACAAAATTCCACTCAAGAAGCGGCCATGTCCGTTTCAGAAAACACGGTTCAGCCTAAAATTTGGGACAATAACGTGTTAAGTGAGACTCAGGAACAGATCAACCAGGAAAAAGTTGCTAATGTAAATATTAGTTCTGGTACAGTAAATGAAGGAAGACGAATGTCAAATGTCATCTATTCTAAGGAGTCCTTCGAAAATGACTTGGTAAACTTTAGTAAAGAGTGTTCTGCTTCTGATGTGCCCGAAATTACAATGACAGTTTATGATGACACTGACGAAGAAGAATTCCCTAATCGCCATTCTGCTAAACCAGTCATGGATTATTCTTCTTCAGCTAGTGAAGAATTTGCATTGAGTGTTGAGCAGCCAGCCTGCAGACCTTCGAGAGAGTTTATTGCAACGAAGTTTGATGACCAAGGATTGATTGATTCTAGTATAGTGCCAGTGGATGCTACCGGCACAAAGTCTTGCATTGCGGAGAGCAGCTCAGAAACTGAGTTTCTTATTAGAAGCAACATAAATCTAAGTAAGGTAGGCCAATACATCGCTTGTTTTTTTACAATTTATTCTTTCAGTCTGAATGAGGCTCTGTACCGGGGATGTAACCAAGAATTGAGTTTAGGGAAGGTCAAAACAAGGCCTCAAAAGAGAGCCTATATAGTGCCTCTTCTTGAAGAATCTTTTTTGATAGCCCTTAAAGCTTTATGAGACACGAATTTATGAGACTAGAAACATGAATTTTGTGAACTTACTAGGGCCGTTTTCGCACTGCATCTAGAAACCTGATAATGCTAATCTCTTATTGTTCTATCTTCAAAGGCGGCTAGCTTAATTGGTCGAGTGCGAACAGCAAAATCTGAAATCTGACAAATTGTAACGTCTCGACTAATTGGTTAAAGGTTCCGTCGTAGAGCTTTGGAGCATCACAATCTCTTAAAAATCTATGATAACCAGCAGGTAACTCGACGGAGATGCGAGAATTATGTTAATACCAATAAAAAAGCCATGGGTGCTATTTGAAATCATATCACGATTTAAAAAGGTACAATTTCTTAATGGCAACCTGATAACGTGTTAGATAACAATATAACATCTCAGAAAACTGCCTAATGCAAACAAGAAGTCTGACAAACTTTGTTAATCATGAAAAAGTTTTTTTAATTGGTGTGAGAATATCAGGTTTGACAAACATTATCATATTTGCAGTGCGAATAGGGCCTAGGACACTGAATTGCGTTACCTGGAATTGTATTGTTCATTTTAGAGAGTTTATCGCTCTAGATCTCATTGTTATTCTTAAGCTGCATGCTGAGAACATCAGCCCTGGTGTTTGCGAGCGTTTCCCTTCCTCCTTTGGATCTGTTACCGGCTCTGTTATCGCCTTTTTGGTAATATATTGATAGGAAATCGCAGTATTTATCAGGAACACCATCCACAGCCGATATAAATCATTATTCCTCTTGGATTAAACCCTTATTAAGAAGTAACAATTTAGATTTTTTCTAATTTAATTAAAGAAATTTTTTGAATTCAAAATTTGTAATGTAACAATTTAAGCCACAGTTTTTCTTTCATTGTAAGTAAATTCTACTATTTGGAAGTCTAGATTGGGATAAAAAGGTACACCTCATTTGAGCTACTCGTCTTGTAAATTGCTCTTTTTCGTTTGATGAGCAGATTTTTGCTTTCTTTAGCCCTCGAAAACCAGTTCAAATGAAATTGATATCGAAAAAATGTCCCCCGCAAACTTCGGAGGGTGTTCATCTACAAAAATTATAAGCCTTAAAGAGAAGAACGAGGAGCTGGTAAAAGAGCTGTTTCACTCAATTCAAGACTTTTGCGTAACGGAGAGGAGAGCGGAAGGACTCGAAGATAAACTGAACAGGCTAGCATGCAACTTGAAAATTGAGAAAGCAAGAGCAGAGCATGAGCATCTGGTGGCTAATGATCTTGAAAGAAATGTCAGTGCTCTAAAGCAGTTACAATCACAGCTTCAAGAAGATCTAGAGAGAGCAAGGGAGCATTCTAGGTGCAAAGACTATGAAAATAACATTTTAAAGATGAAGCTTGAATCCATCATTTCCTATATAAAGGAGAGAAGAACGCAAGATATTGTTTGTACCTCTGGCGATAATATTGATGATGAACTCTTTAAGGTGGTAGAAAGCAGTGAAAACGTTCTACAAGAAATCAAAGCTGACGGGGAAAGTGGCTTTAGTTTAGAAAAAGATCTTTTAAAAGACAAGTTGCTGCTGATAAGTGAAAAAACTGAATTAAGAAAAAAGGCAAGAGAACTTCAATGCTCGAATGAATACTTCGAAAAGAAGGTTATAAAACTTAACAGCGAATGTGTTAAAAAAGCTAAAGAAAATAGAATATTGCAAGAAAAGCTAGAAGAATTAAAAGCAGAGTTTCACTGTGAAAAACATTCAAGACTTTCCGACATTGAAAAAAGTTCCTTTGTTAAAACTAATTTTGATGGTATAGAAATTGGTACTTGCAATCCTGTTCTGTCAAAAACAGAAGATGCTGAAGGCCCTTCTCATCCTGGAGTAAACGTTGGTAGCCAAAAGTCATTTGAGGACAAGCCTGTATGCTGCCAGTTTGAAAAGATGGATAGAGCTTTTGGTGAAGGATCCTGTTGTTTGCAGTTTGATAACGCACCTACTGAAATCCCAAAAGACAATCATACTAAAAAAAGAAAAATTGCTGAGGAATTAAAATTGAGATTTGTGGATAAAAGTGAAGAATTAAAAAAGGAATTGATTCAGGCTCGTACTGACTTGCAGTTAGAAAAGGAGAAAGTTCGCAGACTGTCACTTCATGATGAGCTAAAAGACCGATTTGTCATCTCTTTAGAAAGCTTACAAAATGAGCTGAGTCTATTAAAACGCAAGAAAGAGGCTTCTTTAACCTGTGCAAAAACAAAAGGAGATTTTGACAAGTTGATTCAGGAAGAAAAAACAAAATTTGATTCAAAGGTTTGTAAGTTAGATTTATTCTTCAAGTTGTCATCCTTTTTTAAGAAAAACAAACGGAAGTCTTCAGCTTCCATTTTATTTGTTTGTTATGTCTTTTGTATCGTTTCTGTCGTTTGAAGTTGAAGCATAATCATACGCTATAATGTGATTTGAACTAAGTTTCTTCTTGGCTTTCTTAGATATATCATTTGGAAATAAGAGCAGTTATTTAGATTTTTGCATGCAGGTTTTTTGTTGTTGTAAATTTGTTGCTTAAATTTTGATCTTGTAAATTTTCCTTAAAGCTAATGGAGCAGAACAAGACCATAAATCTGCTCCGGGAATGCGTTTCCGAAACAAGGCAAAATCAGAGTAAGTACATGCAGCTCTATGCAGATGCCAAGTTGAAGGCTGATAGGTATGACGAACTGGTTGGCTCAAATCTCCAATTGGAAGAGGCTTTGAATGAAGCATACAAAAGAATCGATGAATTGGAGCATAGCGATGATAAATATGCAAAAAATGAGCACCACCAGTTGGATATTGAGGGAAATGCTGCCTACCCTACGGTTTACTTTGTTAGGAATGGCACAGATGAAGTTGAAAAATTGGAAAAACTTGTGAAATGCGAACAATTAATTGGAAAGAGACTACAGAATTTGCGGGAATCTGGATCAAGCTTAGGTGCAGTTGATTCAGGATGTGAAGACAGCCCTGCAAAATATTTGATTTTCAATGAAAACCAGACGGAAAAAATTGCCGAACAGCTTGCGAATCTTCAAGGTGGCAATGGAAATTTTGCTGGAGTTAGAATGGTTGAAGCCAGTCATTCTCAGGGTCTGTTTGCTTTGCATATGAATTGCTTCTTGATTCCAATTAAACAGGGGATGGGGTCTTAAATAAACTCTTATTTATTCTATCGGAATCATTGTTTTCATGACGTAATTCGATTTAGGCAAAAGTTTGAATAATAATCAAATGGTGACTGGATTGATTCCTGAATTCGATCGAAATTAGCTGATGACAAGATTACGACCTAGTTGACATTTTTTTATCAATCTTTGTTTCTTTATATCTGGTTTTAAATAGTGTGTTTGAGCAAAATTGAGCCCTCTTTGCCTGCAAAAAGAAAAAGTCTTTTCCAGATGCAAAGGATTAAACTTTTTACAACGTACCCTTCTTCTTCTTCTTTATGTGTCATGCGCTAAGACGTTGGCAATCATGCTCCTCCAAAATTCTCTTTTTTGATTTGCTTGAATTAGTTCATTTTCATTTGACCTGTTAGTTCAATCTTTGATGCTGCTCAAATACGTCATTCTCTGTCTGCCTCTTACTCGTTTACCTTCTACTTTTCCGGCTAGCGATAGGTTCTCTATGCCTTTTCTCCGCATAACATGTCCCCAAAATGTCATTTTCCTGCTTTTGATGGTCTGCAACAATTTTCGCTTCTTGTTAGCAATTGTGAGTACTCGCTCATTTGACATCTTATCAGTCCATGATATCTTCTGTATTTTTCTTAAAGGCCACATTTCTGTTGCCTCCAAACGCTTTTGCATAACAGCTGAGATACTCCATGTCTTACATCCGTATAGATGGATGGAACAAAAATATTCATTCAGGATTCCCTGTTTCGTTGACATGGTAATGTTTGAACTTGTTAAAATAGATCTCTTTTTGTTGAATGCCTCTTTACTCAATACGATTCTTCGCTTTATTTCACAATCAGATTTGCCATCAGATGTTTAAAGGCTTCCTAAGTAGTTGAATTTTTCGATGTGTTTAATTTCGATTCCACTTGCTTTAAGCGTTCATGTTTGTGTACTTTGCTTCTTTGGTACTGTCATCGAGTATGTTTTTTTCGCATTCAATGCCAACACCAAAGACTCTCTTTTATAACTTTATCTGGAATATGTTGGAGATCTTGTTCTCAGCAATCAAAACAGTATCTGCATATGTGATGTTGCCCACATTGCGTCCATTTATAACCACTCCATGCAGATCTTCGACTTCCCTCAAGATTATTTCACTATACAACGAAAACAAGTCCGGTGACAAAACACAGCCTTGCCAAACACCTCTCTTGATCTCAATCAAATCACTCAATTGATCTTCAACTCTAACTGCAGCAGTCTGTTCCCGGTATAGATTTCTGCTCCATCGCAAAGTCTTTCTATCGATATCAAGTTTATCAAGTGTGGCAAACAGTTTTTCATGTCGAACTTTGTTGAACGCTTTTGAGTAATCAATAAAAAACAGAAATATATCCTTTGGACCTCAATACTTCGTTCAATCAAATTGCGCATGATGAATATTGCATTAGTAGTTCCCTTGCCTTCAGTGAATCCAAATGGTATATCTGCAATTTCTTGTTGTATAGGTTTTCATTAATCTCATTTCTTGCTTCTTTTATTTGTTCAAACAATGAATCACTATTGCTTACATGGCTGTTAATTTCTCATGTTGCTACGTCTTTCCACCGTTTATGGTTTTTATGTATAACAAATGCATTTTCAGGCCAACTGCTTTTAGAGCTCGAAAATGCAAAGGCAAAGATAAAGAATCTGCTTTGCACAACTTCAGATGTAAACGAGCAAAAACAGTACATGGTTGAAAAAATCGAGCATTTAAAAAAAGAAAACACAAAACTTGCCGAAACAATACGCGAAGCGGCAGGCAGAGCAGGCAGTGATAAAGCTGCCACTGCTAGGAACAACAGTGAAGTATCAAATGAAAGCACCGAACTTGCAAGAGAGTTATGGAAAACGCGTCAGTCGTTAGAAGATTCAGAGAAAGAAAATTTGAAGCTTAAAGAAGAGATAAAAGCATTAGAAGGAAAGTTTGTAAAAATAAAAGAGAAAGCTGAGAAGTTTGCACAGAATGATGACACTATGATTTCCATGGAAGATATTTTAGAAGAAAATGCTAGCTTAATGGAAACAAATGAAGAAATTATGGAGAGATATAATGAGTTGCTTAAAAAATTAAACGGTTCTCCTGATGAAAACGCTAGTAATTATAAGACGGATGAAGATAACCAAACAACATCATATGAAGGATCAGGTATTGCTGGTCAGGGTAGTGATAGATACAAAGAAAAGAATACAAAATTAGTTGGTTTCAGTGATGGTCTTTTACATGGAGAAATAGTAAATTCCGCGTTTGAGCAGAACCGAAGAAACACTTTGATCTCATCAGATATAAAGCTTTCAGATTTGGTCAGAGCAATGAATTCTGATACAAGTGGTGACGATACTGATGACGATATTGACGATCACGAGATTATAGAGCACGTTCGCCGTGCCTCGATCAGATACTACGAAGGAGGCTGTAAAGAGGACGGCTCTCTTTTGGAAGAAGTAGACAAGTTAACGCATGCAAACAATTCCTTGAAGGATAAGGTAGCTTTCTTGGAAGGCTGGACAGATAATTTAAATGAGGAACTTTTGCGACTGCAGACCGACCTTGAAGCCGTTGAAAATGATAAAAAAGCGATCAATGAAAAGTTGCAGCGTCAAATAAGCAAATGTAATGCATTGGAAAGTGATATTGATAATCTACAAAAAGAGGATGCTGTTTTTATAGATAATAACAAGGAAGGAAGCGCGTCCCTGAGCTCGATTCAATTCAAAGACGGTCCTATTGTCAACAATGATAACACGCTTGTTGGTGAGAGTGAGAGAGAAGAGCTGCTGGAACTGAAGGAAAAGTACGCCTCCATGCAAGCACATGCAGAAGAGTGGAATAATGAACTATCTGAGAAAATAATCGTCTACGAGTTTCGTATTTTGCAGAATGATAATTGATGAAAATAATGAGTTGAAATTAGAAAAATGGATAAGCTTAAAGATTTCATGGAAGATTGCAGGAAGCTGGCCAAAGTAAATTGTGATTGAACTTCGAAAACAAAACGCTCCTATTTGGTTGGCGAGCTACAATGCATGCCAAGGTGAAATATGATATGTTACGTTCTGGGAAAGCAAAATCCAATATGAAAGTAAAGGGAATACGAAACTCTCAAACTAAATTTGCAGAAATGAGGGTGATGATGTTAAACGACAGAAATCAACCGCCATCTTATAAGATTTGGAAGATATGAGAAAGAAGATGAGATTTTGTTTGAGGTTGGAAGCAGAGTTATGTAGCAAGCAGTAAACAGATAGGCGAACTAGAGAGGCCCTGCAAGGTAGCGAAAAGAGTAACATAGAGTGAGAGCTCCGTAATGGAAGTCACAAAACTGGTCGGTGTAAATGAAGAGAACATCAAACTTAATGCCTTGTATTCTGCTAGTTTAAAACAAAGACTGACGACCTTCAGGGTAAAACCAAAGAATTGATATTGATAACAACAGAATACAGCTCCAAATTTAGAAATTGCTGTCCGCTGGAAATCGATTTTCGAATGAGAAAGTGTCCATTGCTTGAAGGAAGAATAGGGAGAAAGCAGGCTAGGAAATATGCGCTCAACTTAGAAAGTATGTTCAATTTGTTAGAAAGGAATCAAAGGAGTTGGTTTGAAAAATTACAGGAAAAGTTGATTCTTCAAGATCAACGAGAAGAATACATCAAAAGAATTAGGGGAAAGATGGTTGTGACACAAAAGAAGAAATCAGAGAATTTCGGAAATCGATGTTGAAAAATTGCAGCTGGGAAATTAAACTAACAGGACTGCAGAAAAAGATTGCAACAATGAAGACATGGTAGAAAAATTTGAAGATAAGGTCAAGGACGACAGAAAAGAAGCAGAGCAGTGTGCTGGGTGCTAAATGCAAAAGGAATGGGGAATTGGAAAATCTACGAAAAGGACACGAAAACATTAAAAAAGAAAATGTCCAGCGGATTAAGGATAAACGTTTCACCTACTTGATAAAATTCGAATTGCAGATAGAATCGAAACAGAGAAGAAGACAATACGTCATTTGAAAATGGAGAAAGGCCATGAAATGTGATATAACGAGCTAGCAAGAATTGCGAAATTAAAAACAAGAACAGATCCTTGGCAATGGGAAAGTGAGAAGAACGAAAGAGGCGGTGGGTCTGATAGAAGCATAATTGTTGGAAAGGCTGTCAGAACAGCAAGAGCTTCAAGGAATGGTGTATGGAGGTTGCGGTGAATGCTTTTTGTATTCAGAAATTGTCTTTTTCTTGGTAACATCGAGGATACAGAAATCAGTATGTAGAAAAAGTTGTTACTGCACTGTTTATGATGCCGAGAAGTTAAGCGTCAAAGTTGAAAGTATGGAAAAGAGGATTAATAGAGCTTCATGATTTGAGGAGTAAAGTTTGATTCACTTAAGTTAAAGAAAAATATCCCAATTGAAGAAAATGAGAATAAATGGAAACATGAGAGAAAAAACAGTTCTCAGAACATGCAGAAGAAATTTGATCATGTTTCAAATGAAATGGAATCAAAGCAGTCAGAATTAAAGAGCTGAAAAAATCTAAAAAGGTATTCGAAAAAGGAAAGGAAAAGAACATTAGGACCAAAATCATATTGAAACTTTTACAAGACGAGAACAGTTACTTTGAAAGACGAAAATGAACCGGCTTGAAGCCAACGTGAAATTCTTGGGAAGGATGAAACAAAGACTTATTAGGATAAGAGAACATACGATGAACTTAGAGCTGAGAATCTTACAAATGAAGCAAAACGAAAATAAAAGACATTTAAAAGGAACAACAGTTGTCAGACCTGCAGAAGAAGTTGGAATCAAGATTTCAAAGGAGTACGAATTCAAAGACATTCTGAAGTAGACGCTATGAAAGAAACTGAAAAAGAATTGGTTAAGAAAAGGGAGAAAAGCAATTACTCCACAATCGATATGACGCATTTACAGGACGAAATACAGTTCTTTGAAAGACGAAAATGAACGGCTTGAAGCAACCGTTGCAAGTTCTTGGGGAAAGGAAAACAAGACCTTCTTAGATAAGGAGAACAATACGATGAACTTAGAGCTGGGAGAATCTTAACAATGAGCAAAACGAAAATAAGACATTTAAAAGGAACAACAGTTGTCAGACCTGCAAAAAAGTTGGATCAGATTTCAAAGGGAGTACGAATCAAAGAAATCTGAAGTAGAGTATGAAAAACTGAAAAAGAATTGGTTAAGAAAAGGAGAAAAGCAATCATCCACAATCGGTCTATGACGCATTTACAGACGAAACAGGTTCTTTGAAAGACGAAATGAACGGCTTGAAGCCAACGTGAAATCTTGGGAAGGAGAAACAAGACCTTTCTTAGGGATAAGAGAACAATACGATGAACTGTAGAGCTGAGAATCTTACAATGAAGCAAACGAAAATAAAAGACATTTAAAAGGAAAACAGTTGTCAGTACCTGCAAAAGAAGTTGGATCAGATTCAAAGCGAGGTACGATCAAAGAAATCTGAAGTAGACGTATTGAAAGAAAACTGGAAAAAGAAATTGGTTAATTAAGGAAAAGGAGAAAAGCAATTCACTCCACAATCGTATGACGCATTTACAGGACGAAAACAGTTCTTTGAAAGACGAAAATGAACGGCTTGAAGCAACCGTTGAAGTTCTTGGGAAGGAGAAACAAGACCTTCTTAGGATAAGAGAACAATACGATGAACTTAGAGCTGAGAATCTTACAATGAAGCAAAACGAAAATAAAAGACATTTAAAAGAACAACAGTTGTCAGACCTGCAAAAGAAGTTGGATCAGATTTCAAAGGAGTACGAATCAAAGAAATCTGAAGTAGACGTATTGAAAGAAACTGAAAAAGAATTGGTTAAGGAAAAGGAGAAAAGCAATTCACTCCACAATCGTATGACGCATTTACAGGACGAAAACAGTTCTTTGAAAGACGAAAATGAACGGCTTGAAGCAACCGTTGAAGTTCTTGGGAAGGAGAAACAAGACCTTCTTAGGATAAGAGAACAATACGATGAACTTAGAGCTGAGAATCTTACAATGAAGCAAAACGAAAATAAAAGACATTTAAAAGAACAACAGTTGTCAGTCCTGCAAAAGAAGTTGGATCAGATTTCAAAGGAGTACGAATCAAAGAAATCTGAAGTAGACGTATTGAAAGAAACTGAAAAAGAATTGGTTAAGGAAAAGGAGAAAAGCAATTCACTCCACAATCGTATGACACATTTACAAGACGAAAACAGTTCTTTGAAAGACGAAAATGAACGGCTTGAAGCAAACGTTGAAGTTCTTGGGAAGGAGAAACAAGAACTTCTTAGGATTAGAGAACAATACGATGAACTTAGAGCTGAGAATCTTACAATGAAGCAAAACGAAAATAAAAGACATTTAAAAGAACAACAATTGTCAGACCTGCAGAAAAAGTTGGATCAGATTTCAAAAGAGTATGCACTGAAAGAAACTGAGGTGAATGAAAGAAGGGAAGCTAGCAAATACCTTGAAATGGAACAAATGAGGAACGAGAAGCTTCAAATTGACATAAAAGCCTTACATCAACAGATCACAGTTTTAAAGGACGAAAATGAGATTCTGTCTCTCAATTCCTTTGAGTTAAGGTAGCAGTCTACCATGAAAATGGTCAGTTATGAAAATTTTGTCAAAATTTCTTTTTCTTTGGATATGATCTGGAAAATTACTGCAAAATTTGATTTTGAAGGAAGTTTTCCCGTAACTGTTGTAGTTTTTGCGAAAATTTGATTTATTTATCCCCTGGGTTGATCATCTTTCCTTAGCAACCAAGTTTCTATCGGTTGCTAGGGGTCTGTTGACACCCATGGGACCCGTTTTTGAAAAAAAATTATATTACGTAATCTATGGTCAGCTACCCTATCCCAAAATGCATTTATACCACTTTAAAAAGCACAGGGAACGAATGAAGCATACTTTCTGTTTGGCCTGGCCGACGAAAGTTGTTCGAAGAGTCCTTCTGTTTATGAAGCGAACTTATCCGACAATGAACGCCCTGAAAAGAGAGTTTTTAATCGAAAATTTAGGTCGGTTAAGGGAAGAAAAGAAAAAGATCTGCTGGAAGTAGAAAAAACTATGTATTCGAAGCAATGACAAGGATTTGGATTACTTAGGCCAAAGCGAAAAGGTGATGAAGATGTACTGCCTACCTCGTCTTCACAAGCAACAACGGATCAAAGCAAAGAATTAGAGGAACACAGTGCTTCACTTTATAAACTTATGAACTCTTTCTTTGGTTCAGAAAACCTTAGTCCCATAAAAAGACCAATTTCCGGATAAAAGAAACGAAGGATGCTGCTGCTGGCAATATTGGCAGTGCTGACGATGGCTACAGCCTTATAGATAAGAAACTTTTGATGAATGCAATCAACAAAATTGCTGTTTGTCATACATGTAGGAATCCAAAGGCACAGTTAAGCCTGCTGCTTAGTTTGGCCTCTAGTTTAGCAATAAGTTTGGCCTTGCAGAGAAATATTATCTTGTATGTAGCCATTGTCATACAAGTTCACCACTTGAGACCAGTGAAAAGCTCAGTGGATCTAAGAGGGCAGACAAGAAAGGGGGACAGACCACATATGAAATAAACTGTAGATCAGTTGTTGCTTTACTAGAAACTGAATGTGCTGGGTTGGAGAGATCTTTTGGTTTATGAGTCTTCCAAACACTGTCTCAAAGTCACCTTACAGCAAACATTTAAAAAATCTTGAGGAAGTGGCAGTAAATGTATGTGAAAACATTATGAATGAAGCAGGTGCTAGGCTTATAGAGATCATTGTAAGAGAAGAGCATACAATGATTGAATTTGATAAACCATCCACTGGAATGAGTCCTTGCATGGTATAGTATGGGCATGATGTCCAAAAACCTGTCAGGTTTAGTGGTTAGAGATCAGTGATTTAGTGGAAAACGAAAAGTTACAATCGCTGTTTACCATTCTGTTGGAAATTTCAATATTGGGCCATCATCAATTGCAGATGTTTTGAAGGCATTACAACTTAAATGTGGCCAAACAAACTTTAAATTATTTGAAAACTGTTGACAATAGAAGGCTGAAAGATGCTGCAAGGAAGGTTTCACAGAAATACAAAGATCGGAGACAAAAATTACAAGCTGCCACCTTAAAAACATCACAGAAATACAAAGATTGGAGACAAAAATTACAAGCGATAAAGAAGCGAAGACTTGATGTAGCTAGGAATAGCTATTTATCAAGGGCTTTTGGTCTTTCTGCAGAGCCTGAAAACATTTCTAAAAAGGTAGTTGATGCAAGTCTAAAAAGGAAAAGAGGAAATAAGGAAGGAAAGAAAAAGACACCTAGAAAGTCGACGGACCTGTCGAGTAATGAACATGGATATTTCAACCAGTTTGAACCCCCAGTTACCTTTATGATGCCTCTAAACATTATTATTGACTTCTTTTAACATTTTTGGTTGTATCTATGGGTACATTATGTGTGATACACAACCAAAATTCAGTCAAGTTGCAAAAGATAAGAAAAATTAGTTATTCAGTACATCTCAAAACTTCAAATGCACTTTTCTCAAATCTCAAATACGGACATCTATTAGGCTTGTGATTAAGATATCTTTGGCTCTGTATAAGATATGAAGATGAAATTTTCAAATAATATGTATCTTTTAATGCTCTATGCAATAAATACATAGATTTTTGATAGAAGAAATATTTCACAAAATATTTTAGAAAACTCAACTTTTCACAATAAAATATCTAGCTGACTTGGTATCATAAAACTGTGTGTTCATTGCATAGATTATGTAAGTAGAAACTTGTTGCTAAAAAATTTTCACCATAGCCTTTAGCATTCATGAGATATCATTTCCACAATTTGCAGAAGTTCGGCCTTTGTTTTTATGTTTCTATGGCAACGTCATTGCCACACCCTTCCAGACATCTATTTTTGCTTTTTAAATCTAACATTGTTTATAACCTGAAAGTTTCAAGCTTCAAGCTCAAGCCATTATCAAGTTTTGGCCAGTTTTCCATATTGCTGCTTTCAAGGTAGACTGCCACCTTAAGAGAAAATTTGGAAAGAAATTCATATAGTTTAAAAAGTTTCACACAAAAATGTGCAATACTAGAATCGGAAATTATGGAGTTGAGAGAAAAAGCCAATTGGGTTGATATACTAAAAGAAGAAAACAAAGAGCTTGTTTACCAAATTGAATTCACTGGAGAAGAACTTAGAAGCTGTAGGAATGCTGCAATACAGAATAATGAGGAGATATCACATCTGAATGCCAAACTATATGATTTGACAAAAAAGGAGGAATTTGAGCAAACTAAGAAAGTAAGAGAGTCCGGGATACTAGAGTCTATTTGTGTCTTGATAGGAGACAAACTAGATGAAAACAAAGAACTTTTTAGCGATGAGTTGGACCTCGGTAGATGGTTAGTATCGAACGAAGGGCAGCATGACGATGGTAATGATAATGATGTCATCAGAAACCGCTATGTAAGGAAAACCATCAAACTTCTATTTAGTGAAGTAAAGCAACTTGCTGCAAAGGCTGCACTGATGGAAAAAGGTGTGGAAAGTCTAAACGAATTAAGAGAAAAATTCGATTCAGTTCACAAAGAAAGTATCAAAATGAAGCAAAACGAAAATAAACATCGCTTGACAGAAAGGGAATTATTAAACAAGCAGCAAGAATTAGCGTTGATATCAGAAAATTCAGAGCAGATATTAAGGAAAAACCATCTACTTACGAAAGAAATTTCATCTTTAACAGCGAGCAACGAGTGTCTTAAAAAAGAGAATCAAACAATGTCCAAGGATACTTTGGAGCTTAAACAAAAGCTTTCTAGTACTCATGATGCTTTTAAAAAAGAAAAAGAACAAACCAGGTTAATGGATTTAGAGGCCAAGTTGCTGAGACAGGAGATGAATGCACTGAAAGAAGAAAAACGAGAACTTCTGAACCAGTCAAATGTTTTAAAGAAGGAACTTGACGAATGGAAATGTTATATAAAGCAAAGTGATATTTTTCAGGCTGAACAAGAGAAGAAGAATCAACAATTAAACGAACTGTTGAAGGGAAAGGAATCCCAGCTTTTTGAAATCACAAATGCTATTAATCTAAAAGTGATGGAACTAGAACAGCTTGGGGCAGAAAAACATGACCTTAGCTTAGCTCTTGATAAAGAGAGAAAAAGCGTTGAGCTCGCCTGCAAGGCAAATGATGAGCTTAAGACTGAGAACGAGAGCTTAAAATCGAAGGTTGAATGCTACGAAGCGACAAGTGCAGAGATAGAAGAGTTAAGAAATTTCTTGAAAAGTGCAACTGAAAATTTGGAGCAATTTGAGAGCGAAAAAGAAAAACTGAGAGATGAGCTGACCGATGCGAAAAAACAGACAGCCAGTTACCAAGACCTATGCGCTAACTTAAAAGCTGATATGGATAGGGAAAAGGGATTGATTGAAAGTTTAGTAAAAGAAAAAGACATACTTGATAGCAATTGTTGTAACCTTGTGAAGGATAATAAAGCTTTAAGCCATAAATTAAAGACTTACTTATGCGAGAAGTCTCAGCTAGAAGATGAAAGAAGTGCCCTTCAAAAGGAACTTGACCTCGTTAGGTCTGAATTGGACCGAAAGGAATCTCAAGAGGACGAGCTGCAGTTGCTCAAATCAGAATTATTGATGATTAGGGGTAAAGCAAAGGAGATTTGGAATAAGTTGATTGAAATGAAGGCAGCTGCCGAACATTATTCAGCGGAAAACACTAAGATTAACTCTTGTCTAAATGAAGCCCGCGAGAAGATGCGTTTTATTCAAGAAGAAAACGCGGTATTAACGCAGGAAGCTATAAAGCTAACAACAGAGAAAGATGCGCTCGAAAGCTTTAAGTTTGAAAGCTTTGAAATGCAGAAGAGGCTAGAGATCAAAACTGAGGAGCTTGATATCATGCAAAAGAAGTATGATGAATTGAGCAGAAGCTTAACAGCCTCGAAAAAAGAGATGGAAGAGCTGAACCACATGGAAAATATTCGTGATCTTGAAAATCAGCTTCTTGAAGCAGAAGATGCAAATGTTTGCATTGCGAATGAAAAGACTGCAATAGAAGACCAGCTAAAGAAGGTTTTGAAAGAGAATGTTCTACTCAAAGATGATATCAGAATTGCAAGTTTATTTCTTTTTATGTCTTAAGTTAACCGTGTTAATAGTTGAGTTAACTTTATAGCTTTTTATGTTAAAAGAGGAACAAAAGAGGGAAGTGAAAATACTCTACTGACAGGTGCATTCTTAACAGTTTATACAAGTCCGTTTGTTCAGGAATGAAAACCTGAAAAGATCTTTGACCTTCCTCACAATATGCTTTATTGTGAATATTTTGCATGTTATGGTACTTCATGTACCATTATTTATCCTGGGCCGATTATCCTTACCCTTTAATACAGGGAAGTTCCTACCTCTGAGGTCTAGATTTGAAATTTAAATTTTCTCCCTTAGGAAATATATAATGCAAACTGATGAAAAGCACCGTTTTACCCGATGATTGCATTTAGCGTGAAAGACTTGCACCTTCCAGTTCTACACACAAGAGTATAAAGAGCAACCCGTTAGCAACTTTCTCTCTGTTCTGGGGCATTTAGAACTATGAATACAGTTGATGTTTTTGAATTTCTTACTTTTTGTTTGATATTTTCTATTGATATAAATAATTCAAGGAGCGCAGATTTTTCCTTATAAATAACTGCGCCAACGTTTCCTTTCAGAATGATAATAATCGAAACGAAGATTTAAGAGTGATTGGAGACCTTCGTAAAGGTGAGACAAAATCTTTTTCTAAGCTAATTTTGTTGACACTTTAAGTAGCTTTTGTTCAATGAGTCATGATAAGTATGGATATTTACTGAGAAAATTTATAGTTACATAGAACGGCAGATCTCTTTATCACAAGTTTTGCCTAAAATTCATGTTTAGTTTTGTTTATTATGCTCGGAGTGTTTCGCAACACTAACAAATCTTCAAAGAAGGCTAAGTAGAGCATAGAATGCTTCATTTGTCCGTTCATTTGATCTTTTTACCTTTTTTACTTTTTCAGAAATTATGGACGTCAAAGAGAAGTTAGTGGTAAGTTTAAATCTCATTCGAATTGCTATTCATGATATTAATTTTTGTTGTTTCCTTAACATATTATGACCGAAAACAAAATCTACTTCAGTCATGTCACTTGGTGTCATCTTTTATCTGTTCAATAGATATAAGCAACGTCATTGGCTCTTCTTGCCAATTTAAACAGTTGTGAATGAACGAAGATCAAAATTTAGCTCTTTTAGAAGCATTGTCCTTATATTTTTCTTCACGCAATAATGAAGCATCTGGAAATGAGGAGCTGCAGTAGATAATTTGTCAAGATAATTATTCAAGTCGGCCGTTGAGCTGTTCATTTGTAAATTCAAAGTGATAAGTCACAAATTTCAGAAGTAGAAATACTTTGACAGTAAACAAATAAGCGTAGACAGTTCCAAAAAATTTGCTGACAATCCAGACCTACGTTATGGATATTTATACGAATGGACAAAGCATTATAAACGCTCATTTGACTTTCTTTAAAATTTAACTTTTGTGTCCTAAGAGGTGTGTATGATATTTTTTACAGATGTTAGAAGAAAATAACGATCAAATTCAAGGTGAGCAAGACAGACCATCTATTGAAATGTGTGCCTAAACAGTACGATTCTTTTTATTTAAGCACACAGGAGATGAGCCAAAGATGGCACTTTTATACCCTCGCGAGATATTTGAAAAACAAAGCTAATTTGGTTTCTTCTGACTTTTAAAATTATTAATGATACTGAAAAATCTGTCCAAAGCTTTAACTTTTGCGAGAAAGACTGGTCTTGTTTTTACATTCCATTAAAATGGTTACTTATAATATGATGTTTGTATTCACCATATAGCTTGTCTAAAATCTCTTACCTGTTTTTCTAGCTGTCTCAAGCGAGCGTGACGAAGCAGGAAGACGTTGCATGGAGACCGAGAGGCAAACATTTGAGATAGACGTAAGGCTGTCATCTTAGGTTAATTCATATCGCACATAATTACAAGATCTTTTTATATCTCCAACTTATCCAAGGCCCGTTTTCTTATTCAAAAGGAGCAGTCATATGCTCGTACAATGGTATTACGTTAGAGTTACATATGTGAATGTTTACCAGCGAGAATCTCTTAATTGATAATCTTAGAAAGGTAGTACTTAGGAAAATTACAAGCTACTGCTTACACATGCATATTACTGATTAGGGCTTCAATGGCGTTTTTATGTTTATTCCAATTTAGAATCTCCTCTTGTGTTGCTTAAGCATGTGTAATGTCATGTTGCTTTTTCCCATGAATACAATTTAGGCCTTTAACCTAAATATCATTAAAGTTCTCTTTAATTTGGCTACACTCGAAATAAATATCAAAATCAATTTCGATGACTTTGAGCTCCTTGGCATTTAAGCTTCAAGAACAGCTGAAACGCATCACCACATTAGAGGAGAGCATTGAAGAGCAGAATAGAGGTATGAATCGGCTTATTACTGTTATGGAAAATATAACTATTGCCCGTTTGCCAGAATTTCATCAAAGTTGATCTGGTATAAAGAACTAGTTGCAGAGGCCGTAGATATTTTCATCAAGAGAATGCTCACCAATTATTTCTTGCCTGAACGGGAAAGTTAACTTTATCTTTGCACAGATCGACGTAACAAAAAAGGATGTAACTCTGAAGCTGGGTCTTCAGAAGAAAATATGTTATATACATGGCGAGCCTGGCATTGAACTGGATTTATTTGTAACGGAAATGGGAAAGACTTTTATGTACGGGTCAAGTGGTCATGATTGGAACACTTGACTGCAGTGCTTAAGGCGACGGCTAGGATTCTGAATGCAGGCGCGGAATGAGACGTGCCTGTTTACCCATAAGTAATTGCAATCATAGGCAAAACTCTCGATACTAAATTACAGATTTGATTACCTTTCTATATAACATGATCCCTCTCCCCTAAATCAATGTTGATATAACTGATTGAGCTGAAATTGAATACTGCCACATTTAGCCCTCAAACGATGCCAACCTTGAATATGGGATAGCGGGATTGATATGTTCCCTTTTTTCTTTGGAGTAACGTATAACATGCTCAATATTATATTTTCGTTATTCAGGAAGTATTCACAGGGATAAGGTTTTTATTCGTGATAGCGGAAGTTCGTAATAAGCTGGATTCCTAATAGTGGGATTCCTCAATCTCTTAACCCTACGATAAACTATGGGGAGTTTGTACAATTAAAGACACTAAGATCAAGCATAAAAATCCAGTTTGCCAATAAGCATCTCTCGAGGTAGACGTTTTGCTGCCTTCATTGTCATTTCCGTGGCCTTATTCTTATGACAGTCTTTTTCATCGAATTGTAGTAGCCTTTAAAAGTTCTCCAGTTAATTCCATTAGCATATGATTTATGTGGGCCATTAAGATATTTTCCGTTCAGGTTGGACGAATGACAGTCACTATACCACCAGGCTCCATGGAACTCTATGGCACAACTTTTACCATAAGTGTCATAGTCCTTATCTTTGGTTGAAAATCTCTGTCCATTTAGTTTTGAAAATGAATCGCCAGCCGTTCCTGAATAAGAGCTCACATGCAATGTATATTGTTTATCTTGTCCATCAATGTAAAATGTGTTGTATTCTGCAAACACCCTGTTTCCTTCTATATCTTCCAGATCAAACCGAATCATCATGTCTTTTTGCTTTGTTAAACGGTGAATATTTTCATTTCCAAGCCAGAATTCTTTTATCAAGTTTCCAAATCCTGCCCTGTATGCTTCCCAACTTAGAAAAAAATCAGTTGATCCATCGCTGCGTCTCTGTATCACATTCCAGCCACCTCCCTCATTTGTCATGTCACAGTACACAAAGAACGGGACGCCATTATCTGGATTAATTGTATATATTCCGCTTGTTCTTTGTCCGCTTTTTTTCAACGATGAGCAATCTCTTGCTTGGATTTCAACAAAAACAGATTGCCTTGTTATACCAATATCATTGGTTGCTTCACAAATATAGTAACCTGCATCAGCAATGAAGGGATTTGTAAATTTCAAAGCAATACTTTTGCGATCAGCTGAAAGTACTTCTCTACCGCTTTGCACTCCATGGGACTTTTTCCAACTGAGTTTTGGAACTGGATTGCCAGTCGCACTACATTTTATTTCTAGGGGAAACCCAGCTGTGCCTGATACCCTTTTAGCATAGTCAATAGAAAGGAGGACTGGTCTGGAAGCCTATTGTTCTCTCTCTTTTGTTTTCTTTGTTTGCGCTTTCGAAACTCGGCAATCGGACAAAATCCAGTCACGTGGTCAAACTGAGTGCAAGTTGTTTTTTAAAATGGCGTTCTGCAGTGGAAACACCACAAATGAAGAAGACTTTTTGAGTGGGGAAACGCTCGATTTTTTGTTCGAGTACATGGATGATGATGAATTCAAACTGCAATGCGATGATGCATTGGTTGAAGATCCTCAACAGGTGAAACATAGAACATTTTTTAACATTTATTACGTTTTCATTTTCAATAGGCCTATTTACATACATCCATGAGACTGGATGTTTAGTTTCCGAAGATAATATTTGGAATGCCTCTCTGGCTTGTTTATCATATTAATTATATTTTGTACTTGAAATGTATTGAGATTGTTTTGAAACAGAGTGGTCAAAATGTTTAAATCTATCATCAATTGCAAGTCCAAGCCGCTGGAGACTTTAGGCCTCGGGTAGACGTTTTTTACGAGTACGAACAAACTGTACCTATTTCCCCCAATAAATACCGAGGGATTTATTCATTTTTTGAATACGCTAGATATATGCAATGTTTCTAATAAAGGCCACCCTATGAACAGGTGGGTATTTATTGGAAGAAATACAACACTTCGTGCCTGAAACTATTTTCTGTTATCACCTATTTTCTTTTAAATAAAAGTATATTTTTATCTAATTTGAAATTTAAAATAAATATTTTTGTCAATAGTCTAAACTGCCAATCTTTTTTTCTTGGCAGACAGAAAAAACTCAAAGTTTATGTTGTTCCCACTGTGGAAAAAGTTATAAAAGCAAAGGAGGGCTGAAAAAACATCAGGATCTGAAACACACTGAAATAACAGGAACAGAGACTGAAGGAGATACCATAAGTTTCGATAGTGTGACAATTAAATCTTTTATTGAAGAAGCAAAAGAAGATATAAGCAAAGATGAGTGTTTTCCTGACGAAATCCGCAGTATTGCAGTTGCTTATGTTACAGAAGATGTGAACAATTCTTTGAAAGAAGAAATTCTGAAAATTTATCAGTCCTTGAAAAGAAATGGAGATGCAGAAAAATTATATTCTGCATTTTATTCTCTTATTGTCAAAAATGCCAAAAAATATTTCAGCCAGTTGGAAATGCCTGTGTGCACTATTCTTGCATCACAACTTGCTGATAAAATATTAGCATTCTATAAGAAACCTGTTCAGCAACCTGTTGTGGTCAAGCCAATTTCAGAACGTGAATTTGATGGGCTGCAATACCTAGCTGGCTATGTAATTCACTCACTGGTCAGAAAATATAACAGAAAAACTGATTCTAAATCTGAAGCTGTCCAGGGTGTGCTTTTATTGCTGAATTCCTGCCGGAGTGATGATATTAGCACTCAGAGATTGATCCAATGCCAATCTAGAGGTGGCTTATGGGGAGTTAAGAGAGAAGTTATTGAGTTATTCAAACTTGTTGAAGAAGAATCTAGAAGAGAAACACAGAGCCATGTGGTGTCCATTAACTGCCAAGAAATAATGCAAAAATTAATGAAGCACATTGACATAACAAGTTTGTTCAATACCATCAAAGAGTATGATGCACACACCTTGGAAAAGGAGACAAGTTTAAGCCTACTGGAAAATATGATCAAATTATACCTACGAGTGAGAGCCTTTCCTATAACAAAAACAAAAACACAACTGGAGAGAAAACGAGTAAAAGGATTACGCAAAGGTATAAAGAAGTCATCAGACAAAGATATTACAGGTGTTTAACAAAGTGCAAAGATAAATCAAAGTTAAGTTACTTTTTTCCCACAGCAAACAGGCAGATAAATGGAATTAACTGCTTTCCCAACACACACAATTATATGTATCTGTGTAAATGCACAATTTTATGGTTCTTGTTTATAAATTAGTCTATGTATCAACAATACATGATATCTTTTTTATGTTCAAAACCTTCCCTGAATTGTATTCCAAAATAAGTTGTTACTACTATATTTCCAGTCACTAGATCATAGAATTGGCATTAATAAAATAATTCATAATGAAATAAAAAAGGATGGGTGTTTATCAGAGGTTGTCATTTACAAGAATGTGGGAATTTATTCAGAAAAATAGTACTTTTGTAAAAATAAATTACTGAAGTGTCAATTTGATCTAAGAACCACTTTTTTATGATCTAAGAACCACTTTGCAAGAACATCCTCAGTGAAAAAAGTTCTGTGTTGGGAAGTTAAAAAACTTATGGTTACATCATTGAATTTTCAGACAAATCAATTGCTGAAAAATAAAAATATAGTTAAAAAAACTCTATAAATGTACGTATGTTTCAACTACTTTATTTTCGTATGTTAATTCCTCCTTTCTATTGACTATCGTATGTACGTATGTTTTACTACTTTATTAACCTCTCGCCAAGCGACATAGTTGGGAAGATTCCGCTGTGAGACTCGAAATATCGCGATCCCTTCGTACTTTTCTCCTCGGTTAGTGTGACAACCTGGAAATGAGCAATTCGCTCCAGGCATAGTTACAAAAAACAACGGTTCATTCTAACAATATTCGAACATAAATTTACGGTTTTCCTTATGAATCCTTGTCTTTTGACTTAGCGCGGGAAAGTTCCTTGCACTCAGTTTGGCACGTGACCACGTAATCTTTGAACAAAGAGTTAGAACAATAGGCTTCCAGACCAGTCCTCCTTTCTATTGACTATGCTTTTAGAAACCAAAGATATTCTTGGTTTTGTGAGAACGGACAACTCTGTTTCAGCCGTATCATTACCAAGCACATTCTCTGCTACACATGCGATTTTACCGTTGTCATTCTCGTTGATATTTGAAATAACCAAGGCACCTGTCATTGGAAAAGCATACCGCGAATCCACCTTCTGTTTTAAAAAGGTCCAAAACATTTTCGGTGTAGGGTTTCCATCAGCTTCACAAACTAGTGTAAAATTTGTTGCTTCTGTTGTTAGGATTTTGCTAGGAAACTTTGACTTTATATCTGGTTTTGAAATAGATCTCCCTGGCAAACCAGGCTCGCCCTTTAACCCCCTGTCACCCTTCTGGCCTTGAAGGCCCACCCTACCTTCAGGACCGACAGCTCCCATCTCTCCGGTATCTCCTTTTGTACCACGGGGCCCTGATTTACCCCTGGCTCCTCTTTCTCCCTTCTGGCAAACAAGTGTAACATTTTGGCATTTTCTTCCGTTTCCGGGTGTCCTTTCCCAAGGCTGCAATATATAATGAGGCGGCGATTTTAAGGCTTGTAGAATCGAATCAATTTTCGCGTCAATGTCACGCCTTGGCCGTACTTTCCGTTGCTCTATGTTTCTGATTTTATCTTTCAGGTACAAAGTGTAATCATTTTTAACATCTTGCTTTTGTTTACCAACACGATTTGAAATTCCTTCACATTTCTGCTCCGTAACATGCTGTTTTCTTTCAAGATCGTCTATTCTGTTCATAAGGATGCTTTCTGTTTTGTATATCCTTAAATGCAGATAAATTGTTTCAGCAACTACCAATGCTGTCATAATGACTGAAACAAAACTGAAATTGAACTTTTGAACGCCAGTTTTCTTGTCAAGCGCCATGTTCCGTGTTGTTTTGTATCAGACAGCCTATTCTGTCGCAACCAAGAGTCGACTTGGTCGTTTAAAACGCTTCCTGATTCATTTAATATAAAGCTGCGGTCAGGCGTATGGTAACCGGCCTTGGCATGTTTCTGTTGAGAACCAAATATAACAGCGTTGGCTCCTCCATAAGGTGTCTAGATGGCGTTGAATCTTTTTATGATACACAAATTGTTACATTTTTGAGCACGAAAATTTGGAGGCACTGTTGACAATCGGTTTCATATTCATTCTTTATGGGTAGTATGTTAGTCTAAATTTCCAAGCTTGCATACTTGGGAGTCTCTTATAAAGGTGGAAGGGGCTTGAATAATTTTAGCCATGTTTCTAACCCTAACCCTAACCCTAGTTTTTAATTCTTTTCTAATTTTTAAAGTAAGTTTCTCGGATGTAGTCTTCTTAAAACTAAAGAAAACAGTCCGTACGTCTTAGAGCTAACCATAGGCTTTGCAACAAATCTCAACTGCAATGCTAACAGAAAGTCAGAGCATTATGCCACCCTCGTCTTCTTTTTCTTCGAGTACCATAGCATTTCATGCCGTAGGCGTTCATGAATTGTCTTTCAGACTTTGTCCCATTATTTTCCATTTCTCTCTGTCCTTTGCAATATCTCCCAATTCCGCATTTGTCTTAACTTTCAGCTTTTCCTTCATCCAGTCAAGCATTTACATTCTCTGCCTTCCACTTGCCCTATTTCATTTCATTTCTGTTTCTATAATATGTTTCTCAGTTCCATCTCCCTCTCTCAGAATATGTCCAATAAATCTCCATTGCCATAAATCTCTCTTATAGTAGAACTTCTTATAGTAGTTACTTTCTGAAGAACTTCTTCTTTCCTCAATTTTTTCTCCCACGAGATCTTCATCATTCTTCTACACATCCACATTTCCACGGCTTCTAATTTCTTTTCCAATGATCTGCTTATACTCCATATGTAATACTGCCCAGATGTAGCATTTCAATAATCGTTTTTTAACTTGCAGTCCGATTCTTTTGAACAAAATAAATTTTTTAATCTGCGAATGTTTGTTTTGGTAGTCAAGTTCTGTGCTGAATGTCTTTGTCTGATCTCCCATCTGATTTGACCCAACTTCAAAGGTATTTCAAACTGTCCTTCTGTTCAATAATGTTTTTATTCTCTTTCAAGCAACATGTTTGTATTTGTTTCTTTTTTGTACAAATCACGGAGAAAGTCTGTTGACAATTTATCAACAGACCCAACTGTTCACTTTCTACTGACCCGATGTTGACCAGTTCTTGAAGTTTCTCTTCTGAATCTGCCATCAAAGTTGTATCACCTGCGTATCTTATATAATTGTAATTTCTTGTCCCCAGTTTTAAACCATCACATGTTTTGATTTTGTTTAGAGCCTCTTCACTATAAATATTAAATAAATCAGAAAATAAAATAGAACCTTGTCGGACTCCTTGCTGAATTTCAATCCATTCACCCATTTCTTCTTTTAATCTAATTGCAGCTTTTTGGTTCCAATTTAAATTCCTTATCAGCCCTAGATCTTTTTTTTCAATTTCGAGTCCTTCTAATATTTTGATCGGCTGTTCGTGTTTTGCACAATCAAACGCCTTCACATAATCTACTAAACAGATGTATGAGTCTCTGCTTTTCTATACACTTTTCTATTATTGTTATTAAGCAGAGGATTGCATTTCTTGTTCCCTTTCCTGGTCTATAACCAAACTGTTCATCTGATATGTTTTCACTGATAGTGTCTTTTATCCTATTTAATACCATTCCCTAAATAATCTTTGTTATGTGGCTCATCAAGCTAATAGTTCTGTGTTGTTTGCAAACAGCTGTCCCAGATTGTTTAGGTATAGCTATATATATTGATTCTAGCATTTCTTCAGGAACATTTTCAGAGTCGTATACATTATTTGCAATTTCTGTGATCGTTTTCATCACCCTCATATCTGACTTAAAACGTTAGTTTGAATCAGTTCCATTTGTCAATCTTTCCATCAGTTCACTTGCTATCTTTGGCAACTCCTGCAGCTATTTGATAGACAGGTGTGACTCTTTGTCCGTTGATCATCAGAAGAAGTGCTACCTCATCTCCAAACTTTCAAGCATCTCCATTTGCACCACATATTATATATTCTGTTGTAGGAACAACACTTGGTCTAAACCCAGAGCTACTCCCCTTTTAACGTTTTTTTGCATTACTACGATTGTAATAGTTTTATTTTGTGAAAGCGAGCTAACCAGTTACAAATTACCTACGTAATAGTGAGATTTGTAATTGTAGTTTTAACTGGAATACAAAATGAGCAGTTTCCACCATTAAGAAGGGGATTTGAAATTGCAAATGAACTTGGGGGGGGGGGGAGTTGAACTCTGCTCAGGAGCTGGATCTAGTGGGGGATAAGGGCATAGGAATAGAATAAGTTGGAAGAGCCTGAAGGAGTTGCATATGAGAGAAACATAGAGGACGTATTTTATACGTTTTAACATTAACAAAATGTAATAAGGGGGGCAACTTGAATAGCACTGTCCTGAGAGAGCTGTTAGAACTGAGAGAACGTTTTCCTGCAAAAATACGCGTCTTGGGAAGATTGTGAGAGATTTTGGAATAACTTTAAGGTAACAGTTCCTTGATTCATACTTTAGATCAACGTTTCTGTACTAATTGCATATTTTTAATAGATTCTTACCACATTTATCCGATTGGTTTGCATTGGATCTTTTTTCATTTCTAGTAATTTGTGAAAAGGAACAAAAACTCCAGGTAAGTTCAAACACCGTAAACCCGTAAATTCTCCATTAGATATCGATGCTTTAACTCAAATTATCTTTTTTGTCGTTTTTGTTGTTTCTTTGTACTGAAGTTCATGAAAATTTAAAACACATTAGCTATGTTATCACGTTTTCTATTCTACTTTAGTTTTCAACAGACTTTTTCATTTTTTTTGTATTTGAATCCTTTCGGAAGACCCATTAACCTGCCTGTATACGCTAGCATGTTTTTTACTTTTCGATTATTGCTATGTTGAAGTATAAAATTTGCGTTTTAAAATTATCGTCAACGTCATCATCACCGTTGGCTAGAAGTAGAATGAAGTATTTGACCCCTAATTTGTTTAACCTCTGATCTTAACAATCTTTCGGAATCAATAAGGAATTGATTCTATACGATTCATGTTTCAGACCTTAGAAGTACTTGACTATCAATGACGAAAGCTATAAAGTGGCGAAACGGAAGCCTTTGAAAAAACTGAGACGGGGTCCCTATCTACCGAAAGAAAGTCCCATCGAAATTTGTAGAGCATATCAAACACCATTAGCAAGACGTTAAGTCTCGTTAGATAGGAGAATGATATTTCTTGTTAACCAGGATGGAGCTGAGTTATAAAAGCTTCAGTTGAAGTGATTTTCATGTTTTTGAAAATGAGTTGAACTTGATGCGAAAAATATAAAATAATTAGTTATTGAACAATAATGTCCTAAACTACGTTACGCCACTGGTATCATAATGTTTATTCATAAGATTTTTGAGATAACGTTCAGGAGGCAATTCATTAAAGGCATTTTTAACATCTAAGTTTGTTTTTATGGGCTCTGCTTTTTATGAAATTGTTGAAAAAGAATTGATCAATTGAATTTATTACCGATAAATCGAATATTACTGCAACAGACCAATGCAATGTTTACATTTGCAGGATTTGGTTTTTCAAGTAAATTCTTTAACAGAGGAGAAGAATGAATTGCTACAACAGTCTTCTTTGTCAAATGTGAGATTCTCATCTTTTTGTACCATTTGAATACTGCATTTAGTTTTTATTTATTTCAATTTATTGCACTTTTTTAGAATGCATAGAATTTTTTATGACAGCAACTTTATGACAGAAGGCTAAGTTAAATTGATCTTGCGAGTCTGTCCCCTGAAATTTATCTAAGTAGATACGAAAAAACACACGAAGAGCCATATAGATAAAGACCTGTATGGAGAATATCAACGATATGCCTTTTTTCGTGCAGGTTTCATCGCAGAGATATGAAATGAAATTGCAGGAAAAGGAATGCGCAAAGCATAGTCTTGAGAAGAAGGTAATAAATACTAGACAAATGAATTGACTGATCAGATAACTCTGTATTTTTGTGCATTGGGTTATATTTGCTATAGAAGTAAGAAATTTCGATTAATTTTTTTGTAGTCGAAATAAATCTAGTGTATATTTCACAGACATTTGTTGGTTAACTTTTTATTATACTGACTTTTTCTTGCATTTTCAGGTGGAAAATCTTTTAGAAACTGTAAGAGATTTGAAATCAGTAAACGAGAAGGTTGGTAACATTCAGCTTACAATCTCTGCATTTGTATCAACACTTGTTTACTTTTTTGTTAGATTTTAATAGCTTGTATAGGTTTCATTTAGAATTTATCATACTTCATATAGGGTGTACTTTTAAGAAATACTTAATGTAGAATTATTCCTATATTTAGTGTTATATATTTCTATAAACAACTATGAACTTATAATAATTTAATGTCTTCATTATATCTAAAACTTGGCATATTCATTTGTTGCTTTCATTATGATCCAATTTCATTTTTAGATGAATCAACTCTACTCACATTGCCTTGGAAACAACGAGAAACTAACGCATCAACTAAGATCATTGGAATGCAAGTGAGTGCGAAAGTTCTGAACAAGATCGTTGAGCAGTATTGTTTCTGCGTCGTTTCTCACTATTGAAAGAATTTGTTACACGACATCTTAAGAAAAATTTTAAACAAAATATGTTTATTTGCTAAAGGTTTCTATCTATATTCATTTTTCTTATTTACACTTATATTCATATTTTTATTCATATTTTTATTCATATTTTTATTCATCCTTTTTGTGGATAGAGCAGGACTGCTCCAATTCGCTACTTCGCGTTTGACGCTAGATCATATGTAAACTTGCATCTATATTTCTATTCATATGTTTTGATTTATATTCACATTTATAGTCTCACACCCATAGATTTGTAGCCCGCGACCCTAAGCACTGAGCAATCTTCATACCTATTGATGATTACAACTGGAAAGTTTTTGTATGCATTTAATCAAAAAATACAATTTTGATATATTTTTGGAATATTTCTTAATCAAGCATCAGAAACCCCCATAAATGATTGAAAGTGATTGAACAGAAGATCAAAAATTTAGTTCAGAGTTTGAGTTCAGAGAAACTTGATAACATTGAACAGGTTTCTGGTATTACTTTATTATATGTATTACTGGTATATATTTCTTATTTCAGACTCAGTGCAAGCCAAGAGCAACACGATCATCTTTGGGAAAAGTATCGGGAAACCAGAAAGGAACTCAAGGTATAAAACTGCATTTATTTCGCTAGCTTATTGCATCAAAGAGAGGGGGAGAAAAGCAAGACGTTATTAAATCAATACAATCCGAACCAAAAATATTTTAAGTGCTTTGAATGATGATTTTTTAGTACAAATCTGAATTGTATGTTCTATTTATCCTATTGCTTAAAACTAATAAATTGACATGCTTTTTTAGGAGCGTGAATTGGAGCAAGCAAGGAACAATGCTCTACAAATAGAGTCTGGAAAGAAAACAGCAGCAGAACCGGAAATGAGCCTTGAGGAATCGGTTTGTCTCTTTATCCGTTTACTTTTATCTCATAATCTGGAACTTTTAGGCCCAAAAAGTTCATAGACTTTTCATTTTAGACGCGCCAGAGAACTGAATGCTGTATGATGATCATGACATAGTGTTTAGTATCGAATGTTTTTTTAACTAGTGAAAGTAAGCGACCCAAGCTGTACTATTTTCTGCTTTGTTCTGGAATTTGTTATTCCAGTTACAATAACAAGTCATTCAGATCTAGTTAAAAGTATCTGAAAACAAAGGAGAAAGTGTGTTTGGATTGACAGAGGAAATTTCCTTTGGCATATTTTTTAAGACTTTTGTAGAAGCAAGAAAATTTGTACAAAGATTGATTTATGAAATGTGACTGATAGATTTCATTTTTTGTTTCTTGAATTTTGTTTATGTTTGTTTTTTATGAAAAGATTTGAAACAATTGATATTATTCATTCATTTTTGAAAATCTCAGTATGAATTATGTTTTCCAGATTCATGGGTCCAAAGAGCTACAGCGAGATATGGCTAGAAGGTTTCTCACCTCTATCGCAAGAGCACAATACTGTGATGTCAAACCGATTCTCAAACCGAAGGAAAAGTTTTTTCAAGAATAATAAGTAACAAAGGAAAAATGATATCAAATTGCTAATTTTTTAATAAAAACCATAAAAATAGGATGAAAACGGGAGCCAAAATATTCTCTGATCGTGTAGATAGATAATAATCTATTTGAAGTAAACGTTGTGTAAACCCTTACCAATAATTTTGACCTAGCGAATATAATACTCAAATTTTGAAGTCTTTATGTATTCATGTGCTTAGAATTAAGGATAAAACGAAAGTTTAATGACAAATGACAAGGAACAGCACTGGTTTTTTAAGCAATGTATGTGTTGAAGATCAAACAAGGTTTTCAAAAGCATTGCCCGCCCTGTAAAAACCTGAAAAAATCCTAATAAAAGCACGCTCGCTACCTTAATCATTTTTTGCTAAATTATAAGCCTCTTCATCTTTGGATTTTCGTTGACTAGCATTGCTCGTAGAAAGGTTGGCACTCAAATATTTATTGATCACTGGCAGTTGCCTTCATAGTGAAGGTTAACGTTGATATCTACTGTGTACTTTTATGAGAAGTTAGTCAATTCACCAGTGAAGAGCAATAACAAGACTGGGCATTACGTCTGTAGAAGTCTGCAAAGTACGTCGATAAGTAGTGGGTGTTGATAGTTATCTGCGTTAATTTTTATATGCTCATTGTTATCAATCACAGGATTAGAAGGGTGGGACAATCTATCGCAGTATTACGCAGACCAGCAAATGTGACTAACATTTGAAAATTATTAGAATGGAACACAATTTTAGAATTAGATTATCAATAATGTAAGAAGGGCGGGGAGTTTCGTAAGAAAAGTTCAATAACAATGATGTTGGCTGAGAAAAGAGCAAGAGATTTTGATTTCCCATCGAAGCAGGTGTTATGGAAATATGCGACACGGGCTAGCTTTGATAGCAAAATGAGCATTTTTGCGCATTTCTTCGACATGTGATAGGCAGGAAATGTCTTGTTGCTATGTCGAATTTCAAGGCCACCATTAACAGCACCCTATACCATACCAAAAATCTTCGCCCCAGTTGCAGTCCACGCAAGACCAGAATCTAGATAGCATAAGCCTGGCGCTTAATGTAATTGTTTTCTCTCAAAAAAGTTTTACAATCTGCATCTTAACAACCCTTATTATGATTTGTTATCATTTGCTGCTATCAGCGGCTGCATCATTTGTTAACCATGCCTTGACAAAATTTCTTGGCAGCTTGTGCATAAGCAACACAAACTAACACGTCTTCTTTTTGTTTGGTATATCTGGCAAATAGCATCTGGTTTGTGTTTCAACCATTTTATACTTTTGACTGTTACCAGAGTAACCATTAGTTTGATTGAAATTTTGATGTCATATTGCAAATCAGCATACCTGATTACCTTTTGATAGCAATTTTGATAGCTTTTGGACCAGTAGCGCACCTTAAAGGAAACAAATCCCAGGGCCCACATTTAAGGTTTAAAGGGGCCTACCGAGAAATTTCTCGAGTCCTGGTAAGCCATCACGCTCCTGCCGTCATCTTCTATAGCAATCATACATATAGGCGTAGATACATTAGCTGTTTGTTCAAGCAGGCTACATCTAAATGTGGCTTTTAGCAAATGTAGACCTGCCAAGACTTAAATTGTAGATTTAGAATATAATTCCTAGAAGTATCCAAAAAGTATTTGAAAATCTATTAATTTTGTTTTAAAACAATAAAAAGTTAATTAAGAAATTTAATTTCAGTAACCTGAGTATAACTGAAACTAAAGGTCAATCGTCGTTTTTGTTTCTGAGAAAGCAAGCGAATTTTTAAAAGCTTAAAGATGAAATCGATTGCCTATATCTTCCTACCCTTTCTTAGAATGTTGTAAACTAACTGAATTTCTTGTTTCCAGACTAAACGTGTTCAGAAAAGTGTACCTCTAAAACCTAAGTGTACTGTTATCAAAAGGAGCCCCAGCCTCGTAAATAAGAGGGACTTATTTGAAGTGATGAAAGATTACTTCAAGGATAGAAGTTATATTGAGACTTGTGTATAATGGTCATAATCTCTCACCTATAAAAATAACAAAGCAGGATTGAAGGCTCAAACTTTATCTGGCCAGCTTGGTGTTTGATGCGTTATTTTTGAAACTCTGGCATGTTATGTTCCAAAGAACAGTGCCAGTCCACTCTTGCATCATGGCTTTATCTCATTCGATTTTGACAGAAATTTCTTGCAACTTTTCAAGTTTATATGGATGCTTAATATATGCTTAATATTTAGATATTTTTATATGTGATATGATCTATATTATATCATGCCAAGGGATCTCTGGGTGCAATTGCACTCCAGCCCAATTCTTCTACTTTTAATAGCGGGGTCTTTATTCTCAGTACTTTGTGAATCCGTTCTGCCCTTGATTTGGGCAAGTGAACTAAATTCCATTAATACTGAAAGAAGCTTTCTATATCTTATTTCATCGTTCAATTAGCAAGTTCTGCCGATCAGGCAGAATTTAAATATTACAGGTGCAGCGCTCCTCTTTTTATTCTTTTAGATTACGTCAATTACTGCATGCTAAGGACCAAATCAAGTACAATAACGCACAGTTAGCAGAATTCTTAACTCTGTTCTTGTTTTTTGCTTGGAAAACCATTTGCTATGGAAATTGGTAAGGGCATGGTTCTCGGCCACTCCCATCCCACCCCACCTTTACCAGCCCTTTGTCTGTCTTGTTTTAGCTCGGTTATTGGCAAGGGTGTGGTCGTAAAAGTTTAATAAAGAAGGTTCTATGAAATCTCTAAGTTGTTCTTGGGAGGTTCTATGAAATGTCTAAGTTAAGCAGCCAGGTGCATTGACTTGTTGAGCGGCAGATGTAATCAGAATTTGGGCAAATTTTTAGATTGCTCAGAGGCTTAGTGAAAGCCGCCACCGGTTGGCGGAGAGAAGAATTTTGAAATATTACATTCTAAAGATGGCCAGAAAATACACCGAACATGTATACAACATCGATAAGGAAGTTCCTGGGCAATATTCATAAGCTTTCATTTTTGTAACTATGACCCATTGGTTGGGTTTGAAACTGGCACATTTTCTCTCGTATTAACAAAACATAGCAGATTTCATCAGCTAACGAACAGTGCTACTAAAATTGTCATGCAAAATTGTTATTCAGTGGAATTAAAAAGTATTTATAGTTGCAGATTTAGAAATATCAATATTGAAATACGACCAACATTAAGAACACCTGAGCCTGAATTTATTAAAAAATAAGAATATCGAGTGTCGACATGTCTTAAAAATGTTCTTGATCTTAAAAAAAGAGTATAGTTCATTAAATTTTTAAAATAGACAAGACAGGGTCAAATGATAACAACTGGCTGTTACTCAAACAATCAACCCCATTTCTAAATGCAACAATACAAAACCAACTGTCTCTGCAAACTTAGCATATTCTTTCAAGAATTTTCTATCTACATATGTCAGACTTTGCGTACATTTTCATTGTTTTTTAAAATGCATTTTTTCAATGCATGTAAAACCGTCAGTTGCATCTCTTTTCTTTTTCTGGCTTAGTCATCAATGGCTGACCTGTGAAGAAGCAACAATTCTTCATAGCTTTCTTTGCATTATGACTCTTGGCTGTATCCCAACACAAACAACGAGGGGGGGGGGGCGGGGCTGATCCTCCCCAAAATTTTAACAAGGGGGCTGCGTTCCCCTGAGCCCTCCAACAACTACATCCCTGGCTACTATGGGTTTCATCCTTTATCTTTCTTATTTTCAGATTAGTTAGAGTAACGGTCTTAGAAAGAACAATTTGACTTTACAATTTACAAGTTGCTCATTTCTTTTAAGGTGGTAACTATATTTATAATGTGGATCTGATGCGGTGCTCTAAAAGCAAGGTCTAGAACCCAGGCCTTTATTGTCAATATCATGGCTGTCGTGTGGGGTTGAAACTGGAATAGAATTTCTGCTTTCAGTTGGCCAGGGAAGTTTCAACACACAAATGAGTCATATATTGTCGATAAGAACATATTAAAGACATTTGGATAGTCATTCGCTCCGGTATTGGTACAAGATTGATTGCTGAAGTCAGTTAGTGCTATTGAAAAGTCACGTTACTCAAGAATTGTACAAGGGAAATAAAAACTTTTATTACAATACAAGGAACTTCTAGCCTCAAGTGCATTTAAGACCAGAGAATCAAACAGCACACTTAGACACTGGATCATATATCACCATCAAAAGCTTCAAGATGGCTCACGACGCTTCAAAAGTGTTAAACTTCAAGGTATGATTGCATGTTGCTTAGCTTGTGTGACGTCATAGACTCACGTGTGGAAACAAAATAGAGTCCAACTTAGACCAGGCCTTTGGTGCAGGGAATAAATGTTTTTTTATGGAGCCTTTAAAGGCTGTTTCTTCCGCCTTACTGGTGTATTTGTAGGCCAGCCTGCAAAGTTTGGTAGTTTTCCACCAAGGGTCACCTCCTGGCATTGGACTAGTCCTCCATGACCAGATTCTGGCATGAGACTGTGCTCAGTTAGATATCTTCGGTGTAAAGATGTATTTCTACTTCACAACTGTTCAAAGTTGTGGTGTAAAATCTCTTATCTGCTCCAGAGTGCAAAGTATTTTTTGTGGGCGGGGAATTATTTTCTGTCATTTACAGGGAAGTATGTAGTTGAAATAACTCTATTTTCCAGTGGCGTAGCGTCTATGTATGCTACGCTTGCAGTGCAAGCAGAAAAAATTCTAGACAAATTCTAAATTTCTTGCAACACTTCTACCGGTAATAAATTTGTTGTAGTGTCAAAGTCAATGCATAGCAAATTCTACAATAAACGGCTTCTCTTTCGTGTCATAAGCAGCATGCAGTGAACTCCAGAGCAACATGCCAATTGGCCCCAATTGGCTATTTTTCTAAATAAACAGATCACTAAAAATTATGAAATTGGAAAAATCTAAAAAACTGAAGCCCCTCCACATCACTCTTTTGCCTGTCTAAAATAAGAGAAACATGCGATGCTCCAGTGCAGCTTCAGTGCAGCTCGAGAGAAGCTGCTGAGAGAAGTGAGAATTTTCTGGACTGGAGCTTGCGGTCGGCCTGAGTGCAAGCATTCCCAAATATTTGATAATCCACAAAATTTTTCTACCTATAAGCTGCTTTTTGCAAATATTCTTTGCATGAAACATCATTTCAAATTCAATTATTTACCTTTCTTTACTTTGACTGCTAAAAAGAGAAAAAGTTTTGTCAAAGTGGGGTCAAAGTCTATTTGTCATGATCCACATTCAGTAATTCAAGTCCAAAGGCATGCCACTATAGTCAGAATTTACGGACCAGGGCATGCGGTAGACCTAAGCCCAAGCCTTGCAAATACATGATGATTTGCAGGGTCTAACTTTCTGAAACTTTACGCATGGAAGCATCTTCAATTCTAACAACTCTCACAGCTCATTATGTCATCTTTGTTAACTATGAGAGTAGAAAATGAGCAGAAACTGTTGCTCCAGTTCGCTTAGGCTCTGCAGTATGTTAACAATTTTGCAATGTGGAGAGCTCCTCCTTACGGGAATCCCCAGCTGCATTATAGCATAAAAATTTCTTACATTATGGGCATATATGAATAAGATCTTTGCGACGCGGTTTTAGCACTAGGAGTTATTCTGAAAAAATTTTGCAAAACAATTGGGCTTTTTTCAAAAACTTTTCGCATGGGTGATAATTTTTCCCTTGGCTCCCTTTAACTTTTGAACCTGTGTCAGAGCCTCTGATGCAGAGAATAGACACCTTGATTGATTAGAATTAGAGTAGAGACGATTTGTTACTTTCAAAATCAAAATTTATTATCACGATTATCATTAACTACCGCTTGTATTTTTATGAAGCTGAAATTACGATTACATTCATTCAACATAGCTGTTTATTTTATGTTACCGCATGCCTAAGTTCTGCGCTCACGCTACGCCACTGCTATTTTCATATGATTTCATTAGGAACTGCCTGACTCTGAGACCATAGCCTTTTAGTGGCTCAGAAATCCCTGATGCTCTTGGAATTGCTTAAGCCTTGCAAAGTGTCCCAAGTCACTAATTACAAATCAATCTTATATATTCATTTTCTTCAATTCTCTTTGAGAATTTTGTCTTCTGATTATTAAGTTATAAGTTCAAGTCAAATTTTGCGAGCCAGAAGTCATGAATATTGTTAGCAACCATGCTATTCAATTTTGAGGTACTGGTTTCCATTACTCTGTTTTCATATATGTCTCTGTTTATCTCCTTCCATTTTCGTATTTTCTTGAACACATTACCGCAAGCCACTCTGTTTTTGTCAAAATAATAATGTTAGTGTTTCCATGAATCATTTTTATCTGTTCTCGTGAAATGAGGCATTTTCAAATGATTCCATTTTCGAATGACTCCACTTTGAAAAGCGTTTTTGAATGACTCTGGTTTGGTATCAAATGTCTTTTTTTGAGTGTATCAAAAGCTAAAACAGATTCATTAAAAAATGTTCTCACATCAAAACAGAGTAATGGCAACAAGGCCTTAAAACTTGTATGCTTACCATTGCAGGCACGCTATTGCACTTTGAACACCATCGCACACCTAGACTTTTCAGGGCCTGCGATTACCAGCATGCCGACAACTTTCATATTACCAGGACTAAACTAGGATCCAAATAGGCACCAACATAGCCATAAACCACTAGTTTTGATGCAAACAGGACCTCCTGGGTTTTTGCCAAAACTAATGCAAGGCCTTTTCAAACTGTTGAGGGTGTCATTTGAAAATTTAAGAGGGGGGACCTCTGCCTCCTAAATCAACCTATTCCACCACTCCTTTGAGAATAATGTTCATCTGGGAAAAATATTTGAATTAGGATCCTATTTTCAATACATTGACCCATAAATTAATTTCAATTTTTTTCACTTTTAGTGTGGAAATCTGGATATCAAAGGTTTAGATGAGGTTTGAAGATTATTTTGTTATACACTGCATTGCTTGAAAACACTTAGTAGTTGTTACTCAATTTTTGCCGCAGTATGATTTATTGCAGCTTTAATTTGTCAAAATTCTTATAAAACTCTATCATCATTTGCACAATGTTACAAATAACAGTAAAAATATTTCTATCTTCCAATATCAGTGCACTTATGCACCCTCATATTAAGGCAAAATTATCTTTGTTTGCACATGCTTTTATACTGCTTGTTTGCATTTATTAAGGAAATCAATATTGAAGGGAAATGAGGCAGAGATATCTTCAGCATTAATACATCTTTTTAGTGCCAAGATTTGTTTCTGTTTTCACAGCTTTTGTATATTCATGTTTCCTGAGTATTGTAAATGTAGCAATTTTAATTAACCATTTAAGTTTACGAAGTTTTGTTTTGTTGTAGTAGATTAAGGGCCATTTAGGCCTATACATCTATTATTATATAGAAAGGAATATTTTTAGCTGTTATTTGCAATTATATTCAGGCACACTTTTCATTTCTGAAATCTTGTTGAAGAATACAGAAAAAAAGTTGTTTGTGCCATACCTGTACCACCTATACCACTGGCATTTATAACTTTGCTATCCTAATATATAAAATATTGTAAAAAATTTATTTGTCTTGATATTCCTTTAACATCACTCTCTCTATGTTTATTGGATTTCCAATTTCATTTTAGATAAGAAAATTTGCAAGGGAACTTGTGTCAGAGGTATGATAGTATGCTCTTTGCTGCCAGTTTTCTGTCACTCACTTTATTTTTGTTCCTACAGTTCAAACTCTACAAAGTTAAACTTTTATAGAAGTAGGCAATGTAAAGCAACTCTTTGTTTTGATAAGGATATTAAATTGAAGTTCTTCTTCTTTTAATTTCTGTTATTATTTCATGTTCTGTAATTTTTCATCACCATTACCAATTGTATGGGATGCAGTTTTACTCTTCAAGATCTTGATTTTTACTTCATCATTCTTTAAAGTGGTAAAGCTGCACCATCCAAAAGCACTTTGGCTACTTTTTGTTGTTGTTACATTTGTTTATCTTATATCAAAATTTATCTTTTGTGATGAAATTTATGATTTAAAATTTATGCCAATTTATGCAGTGATGTGTGATTTAAAAGGATACTAGTCAAATAGAAATGTTGCATGTATCTACATACAGACCTCCTTGAGTGGCACTAAGGCACATAAGTTAATGCTCCAAATTTCTGTGGGCACTTTTCTTAATCAATACTCATTTATCTTTATTGTTCTACAATTGATCTTTGTCTTATTACTTTTCTTGATATTACTTGAAAGGTTAGATAGAATTTCAAAGGAAAAAGTTGTAAGATGATATTTGAATTCGCCAAAATATCTCTAGAAAATCATAGAAAACCTCTTGGCCCACTCTCCATTAAGCTATAGTTGTTGAGTTTAGCGTCTAGCACCTAACACATTTGTGGAAGTAAGAGAAATAAAGTAAAGTGCAGAGTATACATGTCTGTAGCAAAATTACACTGTGCACCTAAGAATTCACCCAGAAGAAAATTCCGACGATTTGCATTGCACAAACAATCCTCTATTTTTTCAATTTTTAGAGTGAAAGCATTTTCATATTAAGATAGTAAAATCTTACAAGCATGATAATCTCAAAGCTAAAAATGGAGCATCAAATTTCTATATTAATCACTATGTTGACTGAGGAAATTTTTGACGGAACTTATTGGGAAGATTATTTTTCATGGCAAAGATTTTTAACCTTGAAATGAGAAAAACCAAGTGTTATGTCAAGATCTTTTTTTGAAGACCTTTACTGAAGATGTATTTTTTTGATGAAATCAATTATACCAATAAGACTGCTTGAATAACCCAAATCGCCTGTAGATAGAAAAAGAGGTTTCATTTTATTTTTCGTATACTTCTCATTTCTTATTGCCATCAGCAATTATTATGTCATCTCTCAAGTTTTACATGCAGTCAGGGGCATAGCTTGTTAGGGTGTAAGAGGTGTGACACCCAAAATTCATCATGAGTTGGTGGTTGGTCAGTTGGTCTACAAAATCTTTAGTTCGTTTGTAAAATCGCCTATTAGTAGGTGAAATAGCACTCAAATGGTATCTGCTTTTGAGAAATACAAGTTTGTATAACAGTACTAAATGGAACTCTGAAGAACGGCAGATTCGCAATTTATTAATATTTTGCCATTAGTTGCACCCTTTTTTGCTTGCAGGCACATTTTTACCCTGCTTTCCATTGCAGGCACAAAGTATTTTTAATGAACCCTGCCTATCTGTATGTATGAGACGATTCATTTTTTGCTATTTATTGACTTGTCTTTCAGACTGAAGAGCTAATATCTCAAGTTATTCCAGTGAAAATTTTGGCATTAGATAAGCTTTGCAAGGTATGTTTTTATTTTCTTACACATCCAGTGGTTGTAGTTTATTTCATTTTCTTGAATGTAAAGAATGGTGACTATTTTTCTTGAATGATTTATGTGTATGTTTCATTTCTCTTTCATTGTGTACTATAGAGAATTGTTCCAGTTATCAGATGACCTTCACTTAAAAATTATAAAGGGTAGAAATTTTTGTCTAAAGTAATTAAGCTCAAACTAACAAGCAATCTGATTGTCTTACCTTGACTGGGTGTTTTTATTCTATATTTAAACTGAGAAAAGGGACGTAATTGATTTTTTGTTATTTCAAACAGAGTGAACTGTTCAATAAGGAGAAAAGCACGTCATACGAAGTTGATATTCATATCCCAAGAAATGGCCTCCAAAGTCACACAAACTCGTCTGAAAGCAGCACAGTCATAGCTGATGGCGATGTTAAGGTACCTTTAACTGCTTTTCCTTTTAAAATAAGAACATCAATTTTTAAGCAAAGGCTTGTATTTACCATACCATTATAACAGACGTCCTCAAAATGATATGTGATTTTGCAACATATCTTAAAGACTAAGTTTTAAAACTTTAAAGTTTAATGGATTTGTGAAAAAAATTGTATATTGTTTTAGTCTGTTGGAAAGAAAAGAAAGTTTGAAGAAACAGGTATGTCATCATTTTTAACAGGATATTTATAGGTGCAAAATTGTAGTAAATGTATTTAGGCATTTTTATCGCACTCCATTGAAACAATTGATATGTATTATCCTTTTTTGACAATTGAAAGCACGAACTTGGATATCAAGGTCGCACAATATTTATAATGTTTATTCAAATGTGAAGTATTTTGAGTAAACCACTACTTTAGAAAGACTCTTTGCCCCTCTGCTATTGGTTACTGGTTTCGTGGTTTGGTTCATTTGTTTAACGAACTTTGTTGGAACCATCTCCTTTTGTTTGGGCTTCTATATTGAGCTGGTCGAAACACCAAGTTTTGGATGGTTCGGAACTGAACAAAATTCTTTTGTAGAAATCTCAATTTTCCTCATCCAAGGTTGCAGTTAATTTCTGACTGAAACCTGTGACTTATGATAAATTTCTTACGTTTTCTAGAGGATAAAGAATGTCAAGAGTCAGTGCCAATCAACAATGTAAGTTGTCGGTTTTAGCTTCCTTAGTTTCTCTATTTCCATACCTGTTTGCTACGCCATGCCATCTCCTTAACTATCTCCATATTATCAGTATTAACAAATGTTATCATAGCTCTTTATGAAGTACTTGTTGAATGTAGCGCTTTAAGATGATTTGAACCGTTTCTGGTGGAACGCATCATAATCCTATTCGAGATGGGGCCTAGGCCTATTCAAGATGTTATGAATTGTTACGGTAATGTTGAGGAAACACGTTTGTTTAATTGTCTTTTAGTTATAGAATAAAAAAGTACACTCCAGTTTTTGCGCCCCTCCAAGTTTTCCTCTCTTCCAAATTTTATGCCCTCCATTCAAATTCTGGTCAGGAATAATATTAAATAATGTTAATATAAATAATATTATACATATTAAGCCTTGGTCTTTTGAATAAATGTGTATCGATCATTCCATCGGGCCATTTGGCTCAGTGGAATGATCACTGCTTTGAATGCCTCAAACTGGAATTCGATTCTGACCAAGTGCGGTATTTATAATTGGGCAGCACCCTTCTGGGAATAATTTCTTCCTGTTAGCCTTGTCCTTCTGAATAAATTTATATAGTTATATGGCTCTGACCGAAGGCTTAAAAAGCCGAAGTAGAGGAAACAACTGCCTTGGCTACGGTGAAGGTCTTCTAGGTTGACTTCAAAAGTCACTGATCATTTCATCGGGTTGTTTGGCTCAGTGGAATGATCGATGCTTTTGCTGCCGCAAAGTGGAGTTTGTTTTCAATCAAGGGCAGTAGTTTAAATTTAGCAGCACCCTTTTGGAAATAATTTTCCTTCTTATAATGTTCTAGATTCCTCTTTGGAGTTTCGTACCTACTTGCATTGTGTACTCGAATTCTAAGAAACGCAATAAAACAACATGACCATAGTTTCGTAGTGAAGTTAGTGCAATTGAATTTGGAAGCTTTGTGAATATGGTGTTTGTCGTCTTAATTTCAAAACAAAAATAAATTCTCAATTTTAATGAGGATATAAGAAACATCTTTGCAAACGTTTGTTGTTGCTTTCATTAATGTGGAATCTAGGTAATGTTGTTTAAATCAATGCCTGCAACAAGGAGAGCATTAAATATTTCATGGCTTTACGGTTTTTTGAGTTATTTAACAGTGACGCGCAATAGAAATTCACTTCAACGAACTTTTCAAGAGTGCTGAACATCCTGCGTGTAGAGCCATATCAACTTTGGACTTTAGCTCTATTGTCCTGTATAGATGTTAAAACTGTGGTATTTGTCTTTACATCTATTGTACTGTGGTATTTTTCAGTATAGCTGATAGGTTTTTCAGTCACACTTTCTTTCTGTGTAAGGAACTGTCATATAGACTCAAATTATAAAATTGTCTTTAAATTAATTTGTAGTATGATCTTGATGGATGATCCAAACATGCGCCTTTTTAAAAGTTTTATACCTTTAAGCGTTTTTACCAAAAAACCCTAGTTATCTGACGAAGCTATAAGCTTGAAAATATTTCTCTCTTTCTCACTGAATTCCCCTATAAATGTCTTTTCTAGTTCAGTTCGAACTTTTAATTGAACAATTTTATGTTTTTGCAGTTTTTGACACCAATGATCCAAGCAATCAAACCAGAAGTGAAGGAACTAATACAAACTTGCTCCAAGGTAATTCAAACTTGACCATCATTCAAATTTCTCACTTGGGCAACTTGTGCTGACGTCCGCATTGTCCCTGGAATTCATCGTCACCATCGCTGTCATTAGATTCAATAATTGTCGTCGTTAAACAAATCACCTTCATCGCCACCATCAAATTAGCATCGCCACCATCGTCAGTCAGATTCATATTCCAAAGAAGAGTTTATTACCAGTTTTCGCGCTTTCTGTCAGCAAGCTTTTTTTGCTGGAAAATTTATTGGTAGAGCTATTTGCCTGATGAAGGAAGATGATTGAATCATGGGACACGAGGAGTCAAAATAAAGTGCGGTAATTCAAATCGTGCTGTTCACGTTGCACTTCAAAATCTTACCGTTTACCGACTTCCCAATTTTTGGACCATAAACATAAAATATTGAGCAGGGATGTGCCGATAGGGGGCGTAGGGGGCTTCACGCCCCCCCCAATGTCTGCAAGCTTCTAACAAGTTGGTCGTGCAGTAGGAACTTTAGCATTAATTAGGAAGTTTTAAAAAATTTAAACCTGTAATTCATTTATTTTTTGTTCATGGTTGGTCATAGTCAACTTTCTTTTTTGTAATGCACTCTTTTTTCATAAGAACAATTTTATAAGAACACGAGCCTCAAAATTCGTCAAAAGGTAAAAACAAAATAAGAACAAGCTGAGGCTGAGCTACTGTAAAATGCAATTTTGAACAACTTTTTATCTCAAAACGATGGTTTTTAGCCATTTGTAGGTGCTTTTTCGGTGAATATTCAAACTTGTCGGCAGATGAAGGTCGTCTCACTCACTTGCTACAAGAAGCAAGCTTATTGCGTTTTTGTAGCCGAAGTATATCCCAAGCTTGGAACGAGCCTAGCTAGTAGCCTTTTTAGTTTTCCGAATGCAATGCTCATCACATGACGTCCTAAACAACACACTATATTAATACGTACGTCACTGCACTACACTAAAAACAATTATTTGCCAAAAGGGAATTTTTTTTGGGGGTAAATTATTTTTCACCGATATTTATTTAGTTTCACTGATGAAAGGTCTGGATGTTTGGCGACAATTTATATTTGAGCCAGAAGTACTTCCAATTAGGGAAACTTCAATGATCAAGTGGCTACACTTGATCAATTAGCGGAATTGATCAAATGTAGCAAAAGTATGCCTATAAATGGTAAAAAGTTCTAAACGATTGCAAGAAATGACTGCAAGAAATTTTCTGAGATGCATTTTAAGCTAATCGAAGGCTATGGTCGCAAAAATCCCCCCCCCCCTCAGGGGCTCTCAAGTTTCTCAGCCCCCAAGCCATATTTGCCACGCAAGTCTTATAAAATTCCTATAGATTAGAGGGAATTTATTCAACTGAAATTGTTGTTATGAGAAGCTCAAAAGAAGCTCTAGTTCATTTTTCAGATTAACTTATAATTGGTTTTTCGCAAAAATTGCTCATGGATTCACCCAGAAACGCCAAATCCAGAAATATTAGTTTCCGCATACTTCATCTCCTTATACTTTCATGCCATTATTTGCTCTATCTTTGTTATTATTGTTGATAAGTTTTCTATGGAGTTATAGTTGGTCATTTTTTTTCTAAATTATCTAGGCACATCACTGATTTTGAGCAATTCTTTATTTAATGGCTAGTGATGTGAATACGATGAAATAAGCACAACGCATCAAAATATGACAGACAAAAAGCGTGCGTGCGTACGAACTTTGGAAAATTACAACTGCATTCATACAAGCAAGATACATGGCAAAAACGTTGTGTTGCTTTCATCTTAATAGGACCAAATTTCTACTGAACCATTTATGATCTAAATCATCTACTTTGTGAAAATTCAATATTCCTTTCTACATGCAAATTCGCAAATTATTTCCCCAAATTCTTGAGCTATCGGGAAATTCACAGTCTAATCAATTCCAAGTTTCTGCCTCTTATCAGAATGTTTCCTAAATATTACTACAGCATCATTACTACATATTACTACAGCAATCTTACATAATACTAAATATTACTACATAATACTAAATATTACTACAGCATGTATGAAGAATGCCAGCATTCTTCATACATGCCGAAAGTATTGCTATGTTTATAATGATATAAACATGCTCCCCCACCCTTAGTAGCCTTCCGGGCTATTATGCCTACTTCCACCTTGTAACTTATAATGTCCTTCTTCATTTTAAAAATAATATTTATGTTTTTATCTTTCGTTTCCTAAACTTCATAATTGAATTACAGGTCCAGCTATGGATACAGCTACTTATTCCGAAGATTGAAGATGGAAATAATTTTGGCGTTTCTATCCAGGTAAGAACAAATACGCGTTACCTTAATTCAGTTTAGGAAAAGACAGTTTTTTCTATACAAAGATTTTCTATAGATTAAGGACACTCCTTGAAGGTTCTGCCTTGTTAGATGCAGTTGAAGGCTGCTTTTATGTTTAACTGTTAAATTATGTTTTCTCGAAGGGGCTCTCGCCTGGTTGTACTCCTATCAAGGATTGATGAAATACCGGTCTGTCATAATGTACTTGATACCGTATTGGCAGAGCTGTACATGCTCTTTGATGTAAAGAACAGGACGGTTTTAAGTTGCTACTACAAGTTTCACGCCTATCAAGGATTAAAAGTTTATGAAAAAATTTTCAAGCTTATGTCTTACGGCTTGTTTTGGCCTACATAGCGTTTCAAGGCTTCTGTCTTATGTTCTCCTTTGTACTTGACTTTTTTTGGACTAAAGGTCATTTTATTGCCATTTTTCTGATGCTTCCATTAAACGGAAAAACGCCTCTAGGTTTCTGATCTGAGACTTTTGTTGGACTAAAGGTTTCCGTTTTAGGACTTTAATTTGACTAGAAGACTTTCGTTGTTCCTCTTTTGAGACTTCTGTCTGACTGTTTCTGTTTGACGGTTTGAGACTTCTGAGTTTCTGTTAGGACTGTCAATTCCAAGCACTCGTCCTTAAAATCCCTCCTTTGATTGTGAGCTATGGAAAATTCCCCCGAAAATGCTTATCATAAAATGGTAGGATACAGTATCAAACCTGCACAATGTCACCAAACCAAACTGCCATGGAGTAAAACAGTAAAAAAGACTTAACTGGTATGACCATCCTCGAAGATTGCCGGACCAAGGAATCTGAACTAGAGCTCTAAATTTATCGAAAAAGTAATGCAAAAAACAAAAAAAGATGACATTACACGGATGAAACTCACTGGAAAACGCTTCAAAACACAAATGTAAACTTCATAGGAGGCAACAGGAACACAGGAAGCGCTAGGATAAATGACCAAAAAGAGATTGCAAAACACAGATATATCCGAGGTCACGTTGTACCCCAGAAAATACGAGAAGTTTGGCCTTCGATTTCTGACACATTTTAAGACGTCAGCTCAAAAGCAGCGGTCAACGTTTATGAAAATAGTAAATTTCAAGCTTCGGTTGATTTTATTTAACGTATATTTTTGTTGCAACTTGGAATTCTTATCCTAAACAGCTGCTTTCAAGAAATTTGTAAGCAAACAAAATGGCGCGTTCGGATTGGCTAAAAATTTTTGCAAGCAAAGCATCTTATTTGACAAGAACTACATTCAGCCTTGCTCATTTCATTGATATTACTTGCTTGATAGTTTTCATCTCCTACTCAAGCTACTTTTAGATCCATTGGTTTTTTAATGTGACTTTTAGCCTTGAATAATCAGTTGAGATCTTCTTAGCCTGGTTTCACGTGGCATCTTTCTTTTGGCAGGTTATATTAATCTTGTTGTGTACATTGATATAGTTGCTAGATTTTAAGTGTTTTTTGCATTTTTATCCAAAGCAGGCTTACCAATAACAGCTTGAGACTTATTTCGCCATGGTTTAGCGTACTCACAGCAGATTAGGTAACCGAGAGCACCATTATCTGCTCATGTGTTATCATGGAATAATTAAATAACAGTCTGCATTTAGCATACGGTTACATTTTCTCAGTGGTGATAAGCATCCTTGAAAATCAGCTAAAATGCTCAGCCGATAACATATGCGCACAGCACATGCTCTATACAATTTGACATTGAGCTGTGGGCACATGGATCTATCGCCATGCCATTAAAAGCTGCTAGTGGAAAAACTTGATTAAAATCTCAATACTGCGCGTTTCCAACTGCCGCAATATTGAATTTCTCAAATCATGCAATTCATTGACTAAAAACTTTGTTTTTTATTCAATTTGACTGCCTCAATCGCACTGAACCTTCTCCTTCTAGCAAGTAATTTCTCGTTGTATGGACTGAATGATGCTGTTCCAAATATCTGTTTTACGTTTTTGTACTTAGACCAAACAATCCAAAAGAAATTGTCAAAATAGTACTAGACATTGAGTTGAAAAAGCATCTGAATTGATTCAAAGTTGGCCGGGAAATATTAAAATTAGTACAGACTCTTTCGATATGAACTTGCTGTTGTCTAGTCTTGGTTCTAAAACTTGGACCAAGTTAAAACAGCAATAATCCTTTTGAAGACTTTGTATATCACTCGTCATTTCCAGACAATTTGTAACAGGTTCAACTGTTTATGTTCGTTTGTTCCCGGCATGTACTTTACATGCGTTCCAAAATGTATTATCGGACTATGCGGTTCAAATTCGAAAATCCTAAAATATATTTTTATGATACACTAACTAGCAACTCTAATGCATTGATTGTCATGAATTATTGCACACAACTAAAGTTTGTTTGGCAGAATCGTTTCAAGCTTTTTACAATTACTTGTATTCGTTTAGATCTTTCTATTTTGCAAATTTTTATAATACTGCCTTATAAACCACAATTTTGTAAGAACACGAGCTTAAAAATTGGTCAAAAGTTAAGAACAAATCGAGAACAAGCTGAGGCTGTGCTACAGTAAAAGCCCGCGTGTATGATCCTACATTTTTCAGATTTTGGCAAACAGGTTCTTGTATTAATGGGTACTTATTGAAAGGTTAGGCTAAACAGGTGCTTAATAATAAGGCTTTTAGTGTACCAATGTTGCCCAAAGTCCACCAACAATTGTTCAACAATACAGTACTGTATATAAAATAGCACCAATAATTTTTTTATAATAACAGTTCAAATTTAACATTGTGCATTTTGCGTTTTATTTTAACTATCCAATTTTATATCACCTTTTTTGGTTTTTGGTAAAAGAGTATATATATTAAATGGTTAAACCCAACATGTAAGAACCTGTTTGAAATTTGTTAGCTAGTTTCTTTTATAGAACGAGTGTTTTTGAGTGTGATGTTTTATCAAGAATGTAGGCCCAACGAAATGTAGAAAAGCAGTATATTTGTCTCTCATTGTTCAACTTTGAATCGAGTAGCTCACAACCAAACATATTTGAACATTTACATTATCTAATAAATTACATCAACACCAACATTATGATACGTCATACGTCAGCTCATGCTTCCGGTGTTAAGATATCTACGCCCTGTCGATATCAATAGTTCTATCAAAGCAGCTTTTATGGTGTTTTCTTTGGTCATATCTTAATGGCAAGAAATACCTGATTAAGAAGTCTTTGATTTCATTGTCAAAAGTTTTATGTCTCTGATTTTGCAATATTTGAATACCTTTTCTTGACTGTCTTGACTTTAGTATCATAGTAGCTAGAAGCGTCAGAAAATTTAGGATAAAGTTAAGGGGTTGGGGGAATAAATATTGCAGAAAATGTAAATCTGCAGATGAAGCAGGAAGACTTATAACTTAGAGCCCTCATTCTCTATCAGTCGCCACGCGGTCAAAAGACCCAAGAAATATATTACTGGATCTGACATGCGTATTCTGGCAGATTCTTTTCTAGTTTGTTTGTTCCTTTCGTCTGGCTAAAAGATTTTTGTATGAATGCTTCCTTTTCAATTCTTCATCTTTGTAGAGAGCTTTAGTACTAACCTCTGCTTAACTGAATCACTTACCCAAGCATTTCCACTAGCCCTTTCATCCACGCCGACCTATCCAAACGGCCCTGTCCTTAACCCCTTCATCCGTCAGCCCTGATTTAGATGGCTTTTGTTACTAAAGCACTAAAATCTATCAGTATTGGGCGTTTGGATAAATGTATGGTTATGCTGCGTATATTTTGACAGGCCTGCGTGTTAGTATGAAGACTGTATTAGGCAGTGATACGATTTGAGTGACCTGACTTGTAAAGATGGTCCTATGCATTTTTTTTCTATCTTGCAGGAAGAGATTCTCAACGAAGTAAATAGGATACAGACTGAAGCAACTTCATTCCTTGACCAGATCTCAAGGTAGAGTCAGTTTATTATATCGTCCAGGGTTTCTTTAAACTTCTATCCCTATGCCCTATCCGCGTTTGAATTGAATTTTTATTGATAGATGAATGCATTATGATTCAAAGTTCGTTTTTTATCCTGGAGAATTTTTTGCGTTCAAAATTATAGATTTTTTATCCTGGAGAATTTTTTTTAAAAACTAGCAACTCTTTGAAAGGAAGTCCTGTGAATTTCTGTTACATTCTTGAAAAGCAGTTGTGTGAATCGTAGATAGTTCAACTAATGTTCACTTCACTGAGTCCTTCATTCTGCATTCCAGGATATCTTTTGTTGTTAAGTTAACCAATTTTTCTCATTTCCACTGTAAATGGCAGCTCCATTATTCGTTAAAACCGTATATTGTCCTTCTTTATCTTCCTAGCCTTCAATGTTGCACTGTTGTTGCAAAAACGTAATTATAGCGCATAAAAATGATGTGATGTAGTGCATAAATAAGAAAAGGACTTTTACACGACATACACTTGTCCTTAATGCTTGGTGTAGTTCTTTATACCATCTGACGTTTCTGCTGATAATTTTTTCCGTAATTACCTATTTCTGAACAGTCATTGCCGTTTAAATGTTTGTTCCGGGACAATTGTTTAAGACTGTTTCAAGCCCTGCTGGTTCTTGATATAAATGCACCCATTTTTTATGCTTTTCGTAATTTGAAATTATTTAAATTTTAGGTATTATATTACACGGGGCAAGCTTCTTTCAAAGGTCGCAAAATATCCACTTTTGGTAAGTAACAGTTTGTCGGTAACAAGGGTAGTGCAAGGTAACTCTTTTTGACTTTTTACAAGGTTTTTTTCTCCTCGCATATCTATTTTCTTATAAACTTAAGCAAGATGCAGAGCGTAAAGCTTTTAAAATAAACTTCCTTCGGGCTCTTTGTTTCAGGAATCCCTAATCTTGCTTTAGTTTTTGAGATTTCTCCCATCATCCACATGGGTGATGGGAGAAATCTCAAAACCTAAAGTTAACTTAGATACTCAAAAACTTAGATATAAAACATGCCCCCCTTAAGAGTCGTTGCTAATGCAGAAGAACGGGTGTCCTTTCTGGAACTGCAAAGAATCTTCCCGGACATTTCGTTGATGGATTGGCTTTTCAGGACGACTACCGGCAAGTCATTAAAGAAGTAGATGCAAAGGAATATGTCAGTCTACAACAGAACTCCCATGAACTCAGAAATTTCTATGTAAGTATAAGTTGATTGCAATACAGTAACCGTTGAGAATTAATGTTTCCAAATGCTGTTTTTAAAAGCAGGGATTTTAATAAGAGGACAATTCATTCATTTATTACTTCATTCATTCATTCATTCATTCATTCATTCATTCATTCATTCATTCATTCATTCATTCATTCATTCATTCATTCATTCATTCATTCATCCTGCTTTTATTCATTCATTCATCCTGCTTTTATTCATTCATTCGACTTTAATTCATTTACCCATGCACTCATTCATCCCGTCATGAGACGTTTTAATTGTTTAAGTATCAGAACGCAGAATTCAGTCTTCAAAAATTTCTTATCAGTGCGCATGAATGTAATAGTTTATTATTTTTTATCTGAATAAATTTTTGATTTTTCTTCAATGGGTACATAGAAATATAATTTAGATGAGGGTTGCAGTAAATGAAGTTTTGATACATTTAGTAAAACTTCGATCAAAAAAACATAGAAATGTGTTGCTACCAAAAGGAACTTTCTAAATTTTATGTAGGCAGGTAAAATTGTCTTACACACCATAATCGTGTTGGGATTTTTCTATTTTAGCTGCTGCTTCTTGACTCGATTTCAAAGAACTATGAGAAAATCAAGAAACCTAGATCTAGTAACGTAGAATCGATGTACTAAACATGTCGCGTCATATTTATTCATGAAATGTTAGCTAGCTAGCACGTGTTTCAGCATTTTGTGAATAAAAACTCTTGCGTTTATCTATATTTCTACTTTTACCTGAATAAAAACTCAAGCCTTTAGATGTTTAAAATAAGCCCATGCTTTAAAGCCAATACCAGAAACATGTGGGTTTTTAGTTTTTTAAATTCTCGAGTCAGGATGTCATCCGGTAGCGAATGGGGGCGGTCGTCTTCTCCCCAATACTTTGGAGGACAATAGTCTTTTGTTCTAAAACAATGATTAATTGTGACGTAATCTTATCAAAACAACAGGCTTGCCCTCACATATTTTACCAAGTGTGCCCCTGTGCAAGTTTATGGGATGCGTTCTCCAAATAGTCACAAGAGATATGCTGCATTTGCTTTTAGTTAATTTTTGAATGAAAATTTGAGTTGAAGTACCACATTTGCAACTTTCCAGAACACTGTCTAAAGCTTGTGGAATATTCTTCAAAGTAAGACATCGCTCCCGCTCGTTTGTTATTGTCCCTATGTAGCTCACAATTTCCAACATATTTCAAATGTTTAATTATGCTTGGGATCTTGCTACAAGTATTCCTTCTGAAAAATGTTTTTAGAACTGTTGGCTTCCACCATGACTATGCTTCCATGGAGTGTTTATGTCTCTTTCAGCAATGGCTTTTTTCCTAGTGCCCGTCAGAGCACCTGTCCTTTCTCCCAAATATTTCGCGTCCGTATGATACATCTTTACCATCGTCATATGATGCTTCTTGATTTCAAACATCACCGGCCGGCTGCTCAGTGCCCATTTTTTCATTGGTTACTGTCTTCTTGTCCTTCTTCCTCGGCCGGTGTCATCTTTTCTTGCATTATGTTCACACTTCCTAGATCTTGCCTGTTTTAATTAAGCAATTACGCTTGCTTTCCCTGATAATCTAATTTCTTCGTTTAATTCAAGTTGTCATTGGTAGATAGAGCTCAAAATCTCATTGTACAACAGACAAATGACTTTCTTGGATGGATGAAAAAGTAAAAGTTGCTCTAATATCCAATGTTTTTATTGAGAAACAATCAAATCTGACCCAAAGAAGATTTAGTGTATGATCAATTTAATCAGTGTTTGGTGCTGAGTTTCACAGTTCAAATCTTTTGAATTAATCATATTTGTCGAATTTGGGGTATAACATTTTTCCAAACTAGGGATTTTTGTACATTGACTCTGAGCTTCCTTGCCGTGTTTTAACCAAAGCTGCACGCCATCTGTAAATATTCACATCACTGACTCAGTCAATATGCATTTCGCAATTCAATAGCAAGACGCACATTGCATCATCTGCTGGAAAATATGCTCCATACATTTTTCAGCTTAATAGCGCATCAAAAATCTAGCCCATTGTGTTGTGTACATTGGTCATCCATGCGTTCAAATGATGGTACAAGTATTTTTGCAATGAATTTTGATTTTGAGAAAGAATCTGTACGTGGGTTTAGCAGAACTTCCACTGAAATAAAGACTTCGCCTCAATTATTTTGCTTGGGTTTTTCCAAGTTAAAATCAGGCTTTGATTCTAGTGTAGATACACTGTCTGATCTAGAATGGCTAAGTTTTGTTTGACCGGTCTAAGGTATGTTAAGAATGTCGGACTATAAACAGGCTCTTCACTAGCAGCCTAGCTCTCAAACGGATCGAAACTTTTACACGATTACCGAAAGTATATATCTCTAAGAAAAGCCACAACACGAGATGAGATAAAGGTTGAATATGCTGACAAAAGTGATGATTATGTTCCACTCAAGTTAGTAGATTGCAAAGAAGTCAAGCTAATGTCGAGTACTTTGAATCTGCTTTTGATGCTGCAAAGTGCTTGATGTAAAATTCATCTAATACTGTATTTTTTTCGTTGTGATGAGGCGAAACAAATAAATTATGAAACCGAATTGTCTAGTTATTAGGTTCCTGAGAGGCCACCATAGCAAAAGATGAGTCTATGAATAAAAATTCAAATTCAATTTTTTTTGTCCAGATTTCATCTTGCTGCTTGTAATACTACATGCACCAAGAGAAGAGTCGTTCGAAAAATCTACTTTAAAATTTATTGTTGGAAACATGCAAGCCACACCCAATGTCACACCCATTACTCAGCAAATTTACCCCTCACAATTCATCCCCCCCCCCTTTTTCCTTCCAAGTCCTCTAGTGATGTTGTGGTTCCGTCCTGTAAAGTATGGATAATCTGTTCTATAATTAACGTTGTGCTAAAGCGGATTGGTGAATGCTTTCGTTAAATTATTCCAACACACTGAAATAATCAGTTTATGAACGATTTCTATCAGCATTGCGTGATCTCTCATCAGATAGAAAGTAGTTTGAGATTAAATACAAGCTGTTTCGCTGATTTTGGGATACTCACACAAGCATTGCACATTCATTCTAGAGCACTGCGTAGCTACGGTAGAGCCACTTTGTGGGCTCATAAATCATCACACCTTCATATTATTGCTTTGGGAAACCTCATCCCTCTGAACAAGGCTTTATGCACTAAACATGATTCATTATTCATTTATTTATATAAAATGAGGTATAATCTGTTACAAAAGGCACTGAGAAGCAGAAACGTGCATGTTACTATAAACGCTTTTTGATAAGAAACTTGGATCTGGACTAAGTACTAAAAGTTTCTCAATTTGGCATTCAAATTTGGGCGTTTTAGCACAGAAAGTTTCTTAGTTGGTTTCTTATTTCCAGGACCTAAAACTGTCTTATTGTTTTGAAGTTGGGCATTTTGGGAAGAATATAAACGCAGACGATCACGAAAAGACCATGCAGATAAAGGATATGCTATCTTTTCCAAAGAAAAATCAACAAAATAGAATCTAGTGGCAAAAAATTAGTTAAAACGATCTACAGTAAGATCATCTCTACATCATCAATATCATATCATTAAGAGTTTTCTACCTTTCGTAGCCGTCTCTTAAAAGAACTCGGTACTCATTCTTGACTCATTTTTCAAAAATAGAAATTTTACAGTTTATTAATTTTTCTTGAGGCTAACAGTAAAGTTTCTAATTTTTTGCCAGTAGTTTCTTATAAACCAGTTTCTTGTAAAGAAAAAGCGTGTACCGCATTCGAAGAAAAGCTCGGGGCATCCTTTCTTGATATCATTCTTTCGTTTGGATGTTAAATGAGGGGGCGTTTCTCTTACTTCGCGTCAGAGCAAAGTAACAATAGCATAAAAAATAGCGCAACTTGCTTTCTTATCTTCTTTAACGAAATAGAATCAACAAAAAACATCATAAAAATGTAAAATATTTTCAACTTTGCGCCGAAATACTCCAATGTTTCAAAATTTAAGAAACCGGATTGTAAAGAAAGTTTTCTGTTGGAAACGTACTGAAATAACTTAAACTATATTTCCTTAACTAAGTTGATTTTCTTTTCTCCATGAATGGACATCTTATGAGTGGGCGTTTGAAAGAATGATGCGTTTTGTCGAAGTAAATGGGGTATGTATTTTGGTCCGTAATGGTGAATCTGTTTCCTTGAACCTGTTAAGAGTTAGAACCTGGTAAGAGGTTTTACACGTTTTTGTTACAGGACATACGTGGCATTTGAACAGCATTCTAGTTCCTCAACCTAAAGGAATTCGAAGTTTTTAATAATTTGTCAGTTAATTCTTGTGCATTTTTAAAGTCTAAGCCAGTGAAGAGTCACTTATCGGTCCAATTCTCTAAAAAGTGGATAGTGGCTCGTTTAAAATCAATTCAGAAAGTAATTCCAAACTTTGAATGACAGGCATATGGCAAATTGTAAGTAATCTTTAAGCTTATGATGACCTTTGAAGTATAGAAGTTTGAATTTCCGCCAGCTTCATAGAACGATGTTCGTTTGCGTGAAATTTCAAAGTTTGTACCATGTCCATGGCCACGGGGTGGACTGGGATGGACTTGTCCGGGACACGGGCGGGTTGGTGGGATTGATCAGATCGATTTCCATTTTCGTGTTTTCAACAAAAATCCCTCTTTACAAAGAATGCTGCTTGAGAAATTTGCTTCTCCAAAAATGTTCGGAATAGGTAAAAATATTAAACAAGGCATTTCCCGCATTTTCTGAGAGCCTGAATGGCGTGGTTAAAGAATTTTCTTGTCAACCCCAGTTTTTCGGGGTGGCGACGCCCCTGACCATGTTTGGGTGAAGACTATAACTTCTTAAAAAGAAACTTCTTAATGCAGGTCCTTGAACAATAATTACTTACATTTGTTACGAGCATGCCGTCTTTGCGAAATGAGGACAACCATTTAAAAAGCCTTATGTACACTATTGACAGCCGACTCGTGGATCCTTGCCTAGCGCTAGACAATGGTATTTTCTTTTTAGCTTGAAAGAGAGATTTTCAGACTGATCCAGCGAAACGGGGTACCTTTGCGGACCACCCTTTTCCTTGCCGAAAAGCTTAAAATCTTTTCGGAAAAGAAAACGAAATTGAGTTCTCTGGGAACCTGTCCTTCAAGTGAATTGTTTTAATTTTTGCAAGTTCTCATATGATCTTAGATGTGGAGCAAATCTTTAGCGCTTGGTGAATAGTTGTTTTTGAATAGATTAAAACCTGTCTTTGTTTTGGACATTTTCATTCATCGTACTATTTTTCAGGCGTACTGAAAATCTACGCGCTTTGAAGTTCGCCAATACAGCTGCTTTATTCCGGCACAGTTTTGAATTCGCAAATGCAGCTTTAATTTCATTTCTTTTTAATTATTCATACAATATGACCCCTAAGATATAGTGTTTGTTTACAGGGGGCACTTACGATGTTAATATTAGAATTATTACGATTTTAATATTGAAACTATTGCGATATTAATATTAAAATTTTCGTATCATAGATTACAATATATAAAAGGTTATTTGCCGTTGTCTAAAATATAGGAATAATATTTTATAAGACGAAAGTAAATAATGCATAGGTAATCAATGATCGGTAAATAAATTTTCTCCAAAAACACTACTTTCAAATTTTTTTTAAGTGGGTCAAACGTCCTAGAAGATTGTATTTCTCTAGGTAAAAATGTTGAAATTATTGTCACAATCAATTTTGTCAATATTTTGTCTTTGATCTTGGAGGTCTCAAACAAAAATTTAGAGTTACCTTGAGATTAATCTGTTATAGAATTAAAGAAGGGAGTTTATAAAACTGCTCTTTAAGTTCCTTTTTTGATTATACCATGCTAGGCATTTGAAGCTCTTTTAGTAAGGGCGCAGCTTGCTCATCGTATGCACTATTTGTTAAATTTTGTTTGCCTCGATATTGCAGTTAGTCAAGGGTGCCAGGCCGCTCAGTATACCTGAAATATGGCCCACTTAGTCACAGAAGTGGTTGGCTATAGTCTGTCCTGTTGATATATTTTCGTCCAGTTTTTAATGTGCCAATGCAGCTGCTATATTTGCAATCTGTGCGGGTAAAGTCAAATTAAACTTGAGGCCTGAAATAAGATCACCTGCTAACTTGAACGATATTGTCGTGAAAGTACGAAAGTCGGCACTAACTCAACCTTGATTAAAATGACCAGCATTATCAGCTTGTAAAAAATTTAGTGATTGAAATGACTGGTATTGTTGGTCAATTGTAAAAAAAATTAAACCTAGAAGTTAAGTTCTTACAGTTAAACACATCTGACCAATGTACCTGAGATTACTTATTTTGACGAAATGTGGAGAGAGTAATTTCTCTTTCTACGAGCTCACTCTCTTGTCTAAAAAAATAGTGACCAAGTCGTGCTCACCACCAGTTCTTCAACTTGAGAGGACATTTCCTGACGAGAAGGAAATTTGGGCATTTATAAGAAGATGAGAATGAAATAGAAACTGGAAAGAAAGTTAAAAAAAATATTTAAAAGTTGGAAATTTTAAAGAAAGTTGAGAAGAGGATTAACAGTTCAAAATTTTCCTTGCACGTCCATTCTGGTTTAAGAATGTGACTGATATAAGTTTAAAAAAATCACTTATACAGATGACACTTGAAATTTATAACAGCAAATTATCATAAATGATAGTGCCGTTGTTCTCAGGTCAACTTTCAAGAACCGAGTTTGCTTAACTCTATATTGCAGAATAGTTTGACGAAAAGTTTGCAACCTATTTTACTTTTTTTGAGCAATTTTCCCATAAACATATGTGGAAAAAGATCAGAAAAAAATTCTAATTTCAGGGAAAGGAATTTGAGCACAGAGAGGGAATTTAAGGAAATCATATTTTTGGAAAGTAAAATCAATGCACACCACGTGACGTTCCGCAAGTTTGAAAAAAGGTCATTTTATGGAAAAATGAAAGAAATGAAGCATTGATTTTGGCTTAACTTCTACATTATATGGCTGTTGTTATCTGTTCGTTTTTGTTGGCTAACTTCTTGCAATCTAAGAAAACATTGAAAATAAGCATCGCAAACCGTTTCTCTATGATCCCAGATTTTATTTTGTACTTTGTGGCGTGCTTCTTCACTGGTCTATTCTATCGTGAATTCATGAGAAAAACTACATGTGCTTTTATCCAGCCAACAAACTTTATCTAATGATCATCTACTTAGAGTCGGCCCCTTTGTCGGTAGGCGATTTCCTTGTCACGTTATGTATTCCCCTTGTGCCCTGAAAAAACAGGAAGAGAAGAGGCTTTATCGTGAGAGCTACCACTTCTTCCCAGTGGCTTTTATCAAGTCGCAAAACCCTTTATAGCAAACATAGTTAGAAAATTACGCGAATGACCGTTGAGCAGAACGAAGTACGCGAAAGACCACTGTATAAGCGCAGGCAAAACTAAATGACCACAAGGATAAAATTATCATTTTACAATCAAATTTCAAGCACAAAGGAGTCAAAAACTTTCCATTGCTGATTTTGTTTTTATTTCCTTTAATATGCTTGGCTAGCATTGTTGTTTTCTGTAAGCGAATATGAAAAGATTCCTTTACCAAAAAGCCGACTAATAATAACTCCAAACCAGCATTAAATCTACAAGAATATGAAATGATTTCTACGTAATTTGTGTGAAGGGCTAGGTCAAAATGTCGTAGTAAAAAGCTATCTTTCTTTAAGCTTACACGGCTGACATGGTTTCATAAAACGACGATCCTCTCGTTAGTTTCAGTTAAATCTCACTAATTTCTATTTCATTCTTACCAAGAAATTAATTTTTCAATTAAACCATTTTTGCAAAATTTAGAAAGAGTTGCTTATACTGTGAATTTTTAAATGTGTTTACATTTAAACTAAATATCATTACATAGATTATTTTTCGTCATTCCATTTGCCGTCATATTCTTTAACGGAACAGTTATAGACGTAAATAAATGACTGCACCATATCCCTTGGCAAGGACTTCTCTAAATCCGCACGTGTTGTTAATAGACACCTTGCGTTATAGATTTCTTCACATTCTCGATTCTTTTTCCATTCAAGCCTTTCTGCTAACTTATTAGGACCATGTATGATCCCATTTTAAGATTCAAAAGACAATTCAAGAAAAAGAATTTTGGGTGACAGGTTTGCCTATTCGGAAACGTTTGGAAAGGACACTCAAAATGGACCTTTCTATCTGTCCAAAAGATGTTTTGAGGAAGTAACTATTTTCATCCTTACGCCATTCTGAGGCTGATTTTGTCGCCTTATTAATTTTTCAATTATTATAGATTGCCCATAATTAGTCGTTTGTAATTACGGTCTGTTTTCCTAAAAATTGAGAAAATAATTGGTCATCTGTTGGTTGCAAGGTAAATCAAACACCCATGCCATAAGGTTCGAAATGAAGATGCATTTGAGAAATATGTTTGCGTACTAGAGACAGTTAGCTGATTCTGGCGCTAACAATCCTTAAAAAGAAGTTAACTATTGACATCTTAAAGACCTTTGCAAAGGGAATAGTATATACACATTTCCGTTCATATTTGCCTTTAGCCAGAAAACTTTCTTTGCATCCGTTGGGCCGCAAATTGTTATGTTCACATTGGCAGCTGAAAAGGAATCGTTATTTTGAGTAATGCTACTGGCCTGCTTCAATAGCCTTTAAACTTTTGCAATGCTATGAGTTTTGTTTTGTGCAACTCACGAGATTCCTGTTACAAAATATACAGAAAAATACAGATAAATACATAAATTTACATGTTATGCATGTTCAGCATATTTCTTGACTATTCTAGCAATCTAAGAGATTTGTGTCCCGTTTCTGTTTGATTTATTCTCTTCGTTTAGGCCTTCGAGGATTATTTATAACATTTTTCTCTAATGGAATGATAATTTGGTGTTGTAAAAGCAAATAGAAACTTAAATATGAATCGAAGTTCTCAAAATAATAAGAAAGTTTAATAAAGATGCAATCTAAAGCTTTTGTACCTATGATACTTTGTTAAATTTGTCTACTTCTTTGAGTTGAATGCCAGGAATATTGTTGGAGGTAGGTCGTCATGCTTACCTAATCGAAAAAGCTCAGTTCACACTTACACACAGGTGTGCCGTCCAAAAATTGTCAAATTCATGCATTTGGCATCAATGTTTATATGAAAAGAAGCTCTTTTTCATCAGGAATGTCAAGTAAACGATGTGTTTTGTATTTTAACTCTGTCTTTTTTATACTTATCTTGAGTGATGTATGCTGAAGAAGTGTCAAACGACCATGACCGATAATAACATGAAGCAATTTTACACAAAGCGCTTTGAAATAAAAGTAAAATCAGATTCATTCTAGTTTATCAGGGATGGTTTCAGATTCCAAAAATACCTGAAACTGAAATTGCATGGTCCTTATCAAATGCGTTGGCTTTTTTGGATAAAAAATAAACTTTAGATTAAGGAAAATCTCTACATGGGATTCGCTTGATCTTTTTCTTTATCAGAGATGTAGTAAATTGGTGACCAAGTAAATTTTCATCCTCCTCTCCAAAGGGTTTTGGGCGTGGTCAATTACATAATTTTAAGGTAAGGTATAAGATTAAGGGGGCGTGCTTTAAAGTTGCGTCACCTCAAAAATATCGAGCTAATGCAGATTAGACATCGGTTTCTTTTCAAGGAGTGTAGGATAGTTCTCTTGAAAGCTTCTACAACTTCAACTCAACCCATCATTTCAAGGTATGATGCCAGATCTATGATAATAGCGCAAATCTATGTTTCCTTTTTCGATCGCTTCTAAACCTGACCGTTAAGAAGCGATCGAAAAAGACTAACTCAAGTTTTTTTCAAGAAAACAAAATCAAACGGGCAAACATTGTTAGTTGTACAATTTTCAGACAAACATTTTACCAAAGAATGATGCGTAACCTGCTCAAAGGGGAATCTGTAAATGCATCTCGTCAAAGCTAGACCACATTTCTTTGCAAATATGCGTTTGCTTGTGCAGTTGCGGTTTTCGAGAATTGACCTGCTGCATATGCGTCCACTATGTCTGCCATACCCGCTGCCATATGATTTTGAATTCAATTTCTTGACAGAAATTATTTTGAAATTTACCAACAGCGTAATTAACGTAATTTCTACTGAAAGGGTTTTTCTTTCACCTTATTCATTATTCATGCTATTGTCTTTACGACGTTTTATGACGTACTGTGGACTATGAAAAAAATAACATCCTTGTAGATCTTGCCAGGCGCTTTCATCATGTTTACCAGGAACAAATCGGTGTCAACGGCAAGTAAGTCACAGAAAGTAAGGCCCGAAAATTTTTACAAAGAAGTTCAGGAGAGTGCATAGTCAATTATGACAGACATGGGTGCATCAGACGCAGCATCGGTCATCACTCACCCGTCCAAACCTCTGGGACATTATCAAACTGGATTTCATACCTTCCTATTATTTGTGGCAGTGTTTATTGTACTGCATAACGCACTTGTTTTGGTGTTGTATCTTAGAAGAAAAACGTTGCGCAGTGTTACTAACTCGATACTCGTGAGTACCGCTTGTGCCGATCTTATGACCGGTCTGCTGTTGATTCCATTATTAGTTTGCTCAGCAGCTTTGTCTGGTCGTGGGCCTATCTTATATCCACTGTACTTTACGTCGAACGTTATTGCAGACTTTTTAACAATAGCAATAGTTGGCAATTTGCTTCTTGTCATCACTGAGCGTTATGTTTCCTTATGTCATCCATATAGATATCCGCTCTTAGCTCGACGATCAATAGTCAAGACGGCCGTTTGCAGTCTGTGGCTTCTTTCCTTCGTAATTGCAGTCGTTCCTTTGATCTGGAGCTACGAAGCTGTCGCAGGCAAACGGCCTAGCAAAAGTCAGCCGTCCCAGATATACTCAGTTATTCTCCTCGTAACAGTATTTTTCCTCCCTTCAGGTATCATACTTTTTTTCTTGGCTTCAATGTATAAAGTCGTAAAGAGGTTTGCGAGTCAAGACGTTGTCAGAGGATTGCGTTCAAAAGAACCGACAGGCTCGCAAAAGAAGGCAATAATTGTATTCCTGGCCATGTTTATCAACCTGCTTATTTGTTGGTCGCCAATGATTATTGTGAGACTCATTATGGATACCAATCTTCAATTTTCACCCGGCAAAGTGCTGCTGGAGATTCTTTTCACTCTGAGGTGTTCATCGTCTTTAGTAAATCCTGTAATATACGTTTGGTGTAAAGAAGATTTTAAGCTTGCAATCAAAGCAACATTCTTTAATATAAGCAGCAAGGCATTCAGAGATACAGCCCAAGACAGTCACAAGAGCGTAAATGCTTTGAATCTGATGGAGGAAGCCAAGCTTTGAGCTGTTGTAGCAAGCTACATTCAAACAATCTGCATAAATTTCAGCATCACAGCAATATTTTCGAACAATATTGCTTTTGTACCTTCCTTTGTACTGTTTTGTACATTTGTACTTTCATATGCCAGTGCAAGGACCTGTGTATATATCAACTGTTTTGAGCAGGCATCTTGATTGTAAAAGAACAGGGACATAGCTGCGTGCACCTTTACTTAATTAGAAAGGATGTCGCAACCTGGAGCAGCATGGAGCATATTTCTTACCTTTTCATGTCGGATTCATGTCGGTTTCATGTCGGATTCATGTCTGATTAAGTGAAATGCTACGAAAGTGTCGCTTCGCATTGTCTCAACCAAAATCTAGTCCTGTATTCGACTCGACAGTGTAACTAAGATTGTTGTTATTGATTGAATTGCTACAAGTCTTCTTTCAGAGTTTTTTAAAGGACCAGTGCTGCATTTCCGAACGTCACCGTGAACTTTGCTGTCAAAATGCATCGCTTGATGTGTGGTCACATGGAAAGGAGCGGGGCTGGTGCTCCCCAATCATTCGCCTGTGGCGATTTTTTGCATTTTCCATTTGAACCAGAACCCATTTCATAGAAGTGCTCTTCTAGGAGATTTTTTATTTAAAGGGCTCGGAGATCCTCTTTTTATGCAGTTAGAAACAATTTTGTTAGACAGCCAACTTTTCTCAGATCAACATTACCATTTTCAGCTTCACCAAAAACAATTGATCGGTAAAGAGAGAGTTCTATTCCACTCCATCATTTGAAGTTGGAATTTCGTGCATTTTCTTAAGGATGAAGTGGAAGTGGAAACATTTTGTCAATTTATTGCTTGGTTTTCACAAAGCAAACGCATGTTTGTTAAGTGAGTTCAAAAATTGTGAAAATTGGAGATAGATATGCATGATGATGATTGAACCAGACTTTTATTCTTAACTTGCTCTTTAATTTTAGCACATTCTAGCCTCAAAATTCTTATAAAATTGTGTACTACTTTAGAAATTGTTCAACATGGAACGAATTCGTCAAGCTGCTTAAGTTTTTGTTTTAGTATCAACTTGGTTTTGTTTTGCTTGTGAGAATTAATGGGTATTTTGTTTACGTTTTGTTCAAATGGCTGCCACAGTTGTTTTGTTGTCATAATTGAGATATTCTTAGCACATTGCATATACGTTTTAATCCTAGATTACAAGTTCTGCTACTTAGGATGAAGTAAAGCGCAATTCAATTTGTAAGCAGCTTGGATTTATATTAGCGCTCAAATTCAAATCAGCTGGTCACAAGTTTTATCATGCAAATCGTAGTCTATCATTGAAGATTGTTTAAAATCTTCTATTTCTGTATTTAGTAAATTATATAGGTACGAGCTTCATTCATTTATATGAATTCTTACAGCAAATTTTCTGTAACTCTTCATTATTTCTTTCGTTCTTTAACAATATTTTGCCAGGTGACAAAGATTACAGAAGCAATGTGAATAAGCATTAAAATATCTTTTATCCAGTTATTCATTAGTAGTAAGATGAAAAAGGACTTTCGTTCCATTTAATTCCGTGTAGCACTGCTTTGGTCAAAAGGCAGGGAAAGGTGAATATGCTAGAAGCAGAATAGAGAAAAAGTTAACCGGAAAATTGCTGTAACGGTATCTATTTTCATTTAAACGTGTGTATTTGCTTTCATCAACAAAATAAATTACTTTAAAGGGTATATGTCGTGAACATGATTGGCTAATGCAATACAATTATCTTTCTTTTTGTTCAGTACAAAGCATGGAATCAAGAGTGAATTTTTACGGCAGTAAAAATTAATTAAGATGAAATGAAAAGTCACGAAACGATTTACACTCCAAACGCATTTGTTTTATTAGCCAACTGCTAATGCGACATATGCCCGTTAAAGTGTATTTGGTATCATGGTTGGCATTTATCTAATTTTTTGTTGCCCTTATTACAAGTCACTATAAACTTTATGTTGTACACAATGAAGCTAGAATGAAATATTACCCATGAATTTAATCACATTTCCAAGAATTTCAATATTTTGATTATTTAGTTTAAAGGAGAACTGACACGCAAAAACAACTTTGGCTTATTCTATGAAGAATTTGTCGCTGACTTCCAATCTAATGAAATTTCTCTTCTTAGATTCGCCGTTTTTCTGTTATTTGCACTTTTATCCGTCAATTACGCCACAGCCGGGCCTGTTCGCACTATGTTTGGACATAAGTTTGTCTAAGTTGATGATCTCTCGGTAATTAAAGGAACATTTTCAAATCTGACAAACTTTGTAAGATTTTCGCTCGCACTGACAACTACAGTGTATTGAATAGGATAACATCGCACTGTCATTAGTGACATTTGATGGACGACAGTCTACAAGCCCTTACATTTGGACGAGGAGCGCTGGCACTTTTTTCTGTCCCAAATGCAGTTTCAGTTATAAATCAGCAACAAAGCAATCTTATTATTGCTTTACTGTCGTACAACCAGTCACAAAACACGCTAGTTTATCGACGACGCAAAAGTAAAAAATCAAACAGGTCCCAAGTGTTTTGGAGTTTCCCTCGGCCTGAAGCATCCTGGTTGAAGCAAACTTTATACGATGAACGAATATCTGATTTAGAGTTCAAGAAAAGCTTGATGATTAAAGGGAACACATTTTGGAGCATTCTAAACATTATGCCAGAATTATTAGTTTTATTCTAGAAAAGAGGCGATTGGTTTGCTCGGTTTTGGTTCATCTTTTCTTGAATATTGAGTACACAAGCACAGAATCGCCAGTCTGACAGACATGATGGCATATCTTTCCCGTTTCATGCTGGTTAATCCTTGTTTTCATAGGCCCTATTCGCACTGCATCTAGAAACCTGACAATGCTAATCTCTTAATGTTCTATCTTCAAAAGCGGCAAGGGTTTTTCAGGAAGTAGCTTAATTGGTAGAGTGCGAACAGCAAAATCTGAAATCTGACAAATTGCAACCTTTCGACTAATTGGTCAAAGATTCCGTTGTAGAGCTCTGGAGCATCACAATCTCTTGAAAATCTATTATAACTAGGGGGTAACTCGACGGAGATGCCAGAATTATGTTATCACCAATAAAAAAGCCATGGGTGCTATTTGAAATCATATCACGATTTAAAAAGGTACAATTTCTTAATGGCAACCTGATAACGTGTTAGATAACAATATAACATCTCAGAAAACTGCCTAATGCAAACAAGAAGTCTGACAAACTTTGTTAATCATGAAAAAGTTTTTTTAATTGGTGTGAGAGTATCAGGTTTGGCAAACATTATCATATTTTCAGTGCGAATATGGCCATAAAAAAGTGCTGTCCGGGGCTCTACGACGGAAGCTTTGAGGGATTAGTGAAAATCGGATCGTCTGGTGAAAAACAGATTTTACCGTTCGCACTGTACCAATTATACAGTTTCCTGAAAATCTTATGCCGCCTTTGAAGATGAAACAATAGGGACTCACTTTGTGAGGTTTGGACGCTGAAGTGCGAACTATCGCCAGGAGTTGTTAAAATTATCGGTTGACGTCACAAGTAACATGTTAACAATGTCGTTGTATAGGCTTTCACCGCAACTGTGAAAGTACAAGTGAAATTTCGTGTTTTATTGAAAATATTCTGCGATAAAAAGACAAAAAATTGTCAGGCATTTCATTTATAAGTAAAAAGAAGCTATAAAATCCTAGTTGCTGGTCTGCTAGGACGCTAATATCCACATATAATCTATCTATTTTTATGTCAGGATGTCTTCGAACCAGCATGCTTTGAAACATTGGAAGAACCTTTAAGCTTATGAAAAAAGGAATCGACTTTGTTTGAAAACTGATGCCGTTTCTCCAACGTCTTTATTTCTATAACTACAAATTAAATCGCAACGTCCGGGGGGGGGGAGTTGTTGAAGCAATAGCCTAAAGACAAACGAAATCCAGTGAAGACGGCGATAAAAAGCGATCCTGCAACCTGCTTTGGGTGCAGAAATAAGAATTCAAGAAAAAACGTTGGTTGATGTGATTGTGACTAAAAACAATTTCACTGAACTTGATTATCATTTTTTAATAGAGGTTGGGACACTAGGGAATAACCTAGTCTGGCACGAAAACCATCCCCCATCCAAGTAAAAAATGTTTGCAAAAGGAGATAATACGCGTCAATTAATATTCCTATGACATCTAAACAGCAACTCAATTTCTTCGACTAAGAAATCAAATTCTTTGACTAAGAGCTAAGAGCATATTACGTAACTTCAGATTTTTCGACTACCAGGTAACTTATTTGTTCCCGAAACCCTCCAAGCTCAGGCACCGCGGAGCGTTGAGAAAAGTGGGGGGTCTAAAAACGTGGGTGGGGGGCTAAAACCGTATAAAAAGGGGCTTTTCTGGTAGTTTGATACTTAATATTTGGCATTTTTCGCAAAAGCCCCCCAGCCCCCCTGCTCCGCGGTGCCTGGCTAAGTAGGAATGGCATATAATCCGCATAAGTACGACTTCAACCCGCCTTTAGTATTTCATATCACAATATAGTTTACGCGTTTGACACATTGAAAACAATCGTAAAATGTTACATTAATAATGAATAACTTGCAATTCCGTTTAGGACATCATAGGCATTTTATCGAATTAGGCCGATTAGGCCAGACAAAGCAGTCTGGGCAAAGACGCCTCAATCTGAAATGAAACTCTAGTTTCACGATACCTGATCTAATTTAAATTATAGCAAAAGCAGTGTATTTAATAGAAATTCCATATCAGTTTTTACTCCAGTCTGTTCTTTGTTCATAATTTCGTCACTATTGAGCCAACTCTGCAGCAGCGCTGGTTGGTGGCACAAACTCAGACGGCTGAAATTTTGCATTTGTTTCGAAATCAGTGTAATAAAACTCCGATTCAGAGTCCCAAACCATTGAAAAAATCAGCTATATGTCAAAATGCAAAACTAGCTCCTTTCGTATTCACAAAATAAACATTTGTCCGCAGCACTTTCATAAAGGTTTCTATAGAGAAACACAATACGTGCTGAGAACGTGTCACTTGTGACATCAAAGATGGTCCCCCTTTCGTGGTGATTTTCGCCTCGAGTTTCAAGTTGTCGGAACAATTGTTGCTTCTCAACTTAAAATGCCCGTATTTCAAAAACGGTATCTGTAGTTTAAAAAATGTAAAAGCAAAATTTGAATTAGTTGCTAAGTACAAAATTTTTAGAGATTGATCATTGAGATCATTCAGAAGAAGTTCTCCCTTATCTTCTAACTCTTTATTTTTTCTGATTCTTCCATATCAACCCAAAAAAATGTAAATTCTAGTTTTTTTGCTATTAACAGTTGACAAAGATGCGATTCGCTTGAGTAAAGACTTTCTCGCATTGAAAAGTTCCGAACAGAAAGTTTCTCCTCCGGAAGAGAAGGCACCGAACATCGGAATAATCTAAATGAAGAACCAAGATAATTCGTTCACCGCGAGCCTTATTAAACGCAATGCATAAGAAACGCGCAGCTGTTGAAGCAGTCATACGCAAGTTATGTTTTAACTTGATTTGACAAGCGACATTTTCATTGCTCCTCGCACTGTTGTGAGAAATTCTCTTCTTCGTGTAGTCTGGACAAAATTGAAGTCGAATTCCAATTAATAAGATATATTTTGAGGTCACAGAAAGTTAGAGAATAGCAAAGTCTTTCTTCAGTGGAATGGACAACAGTTACTGCTAGGGAGGAGCAAGTAGGAAGTGTGGGGTTTGAGACCCTTCCCCAGTTTTAACAAGAGCTCGTCGGCTATTCTGTGCTTGTCAGTTAATTTTCAGATTAGGATATTGACTTAGCCCGCTATTGCGAGATAATTTTCGTTGTTTATAAGATACAGCCACTTCCAACGTAAAAATGTACTCTGCAAGGTTTCACTATAAAAACTCACAGTATAGAATGAAATATTCTCGACCAGAGCCTGCCTGTGAAGCAAATTTCTAAAAACTGATGACAATAGAAAAATTAAACTTCTATAGCGATATTTAGAAATGAATTTAGAATAGCGTGAATTTAGAAATTAAAATGTGTTATAACTTTGGGCTAAAATCGACATAAAATTGTCTTTTTTATTTAACTACGAAGCTTGTGTGCGCACTGGCAACCTTGCATTTCCTTTCATGATGTACTGTAAAACTATATGGTTTTACAGATGAACGTAGACGAAAGAAGGACAACAAAATATATACAAAAGTTTTCTTTGATTATCAAACGACTGCGGTTTCAACGAAGCTTCCAATAACTAAACGACTTTCATTTAAAGGCAACTTTAAATGCGAATATAAGCGACTTCGACTGAACGATACGACTCGACTCAACTCCACGGCTTCACATAACGACTGAATTCACAAACAAGGGCACTGCATAAAAATCACATGACAACACACCTTAATTAGGATAACAAAATAATTACTTCAAACAACAAAGGACTGATGACAACAATAGTGGCGATGGAATGATGCAATAACACGGAATGTTGATGGCAAGGTGACAAACAACGGAACTATCAAGAACATCAAAAGAACAGGCAACTGAATATCACGAAACTAAATAAAACATAAAACTTATTGCATAACAGTACACTGGGGTCACCAAGACACTGGGGTTTTTATTGTCTTGTGCTTAGATAATGAGTAAATCAGAATATAAGGTAAACAAGTCATTAACATCAAATGTAGAACAACTCACCTTGTGTCAGTATTGAAACTTTAAATTTAAAGTGCACTGCTAACGTCACTTTCTTAGTTATAATTTTTTCATGAAAAAAAAGGCTTTAAGCAATTTGCTTTGCATTTCAACACTTTTCGTTCACGTTTCTTCAATAAAGTGACACTTCGTGGTCATCTTTCATGAATAATCAGATAATCTTTTACAAAATTGTTTTGAGGCATTGCTTCAAAGTTCTGCTGAATTTTTCCCCTTAAAACAGCAAACCAATTTTCTTTAAACCGAAAGTCGAAGGAATGGCGAATGCATTTCCCCGTCATACCCTATCGTTTCCAAGCCCCTTCGTATCATAATTCTCATTTTGAAATTGATTGGCTTAGGCCCGTGGTCACTGTGAGCCGCCATTTTGACCTACCGTTCCCATACTTTTGCGTCCCCAGTGTACATGTTCTTTTGCGAACAGTAAATCAAGCAGAAATGTTTTTATCGCTGCAACGTGTGTCAACTTGTATTCAAGTAGGCCAAAAGACTCTGTGGACCCCGTGGTATTATATTCACATTTCCCAAGGGCAAATTCGCGTCTTATCGTGTATATAAAAACTATTTGAACAATATACTGCTTGTTGTCAAGGGAGTTTGCTGCATCATGACTTTACCGGCAGGTGACGTGTTGCTGAACGGTTTTTAGCAGTGTTCAAGTCACATGAGTCATTCAATTGCTTACAGAACCCCAAAGCCATTGTTGGTGTGTTGAGCCTCGTTGGTTCAAAAACTCCATAAACAAGTGGTTTTAAAAAATGTCGTTCATGACAGTGTTAATACTGTTGACAGCGAGAAAATCTCGAGTTAAATGCTTTTCTTTTCAAAATGCTGCGATGAAGATTCACATGCATCCTTGCCTTGCATCTGTACTTTAAGTGGTAAGACGCTTTGTTTATCTCTCAGAAATTATGTTTCCTTCTTTTATGGCCCACATGGCAGCTCCAAATTATTCAAAATGGCTTTTAAGGTTTTGCTAAATAGAGCAAAGGTGCCCTTTAACATATAAAACTGCTTAGATTAGTTCCAGTATTCTACATTTTTTTCTTGAATGACTAAATTGCACAAACGTATAGTAAATGGTCTTCCTACTTATAGAAACTAAATATTTAGAGCTGTTCTGTATCTTTACTGAAAATGAATACCATAAATCCTCGAATTAGCCCCCTGGGGGCTTATTTGATTTTGATATTTTTGGACGGGGGCTTATTCGAGAGGGAAGCCTATACGAGGGGGGGGGGCTTATAAAATTATTGTAGACATTACGAAAACATTATTAAAAGACCTCATTTATTTTAATTGGAATTTCTTTATGAGGATTTAATTAATTACTACCAAAAGTACGAATTTATCGTGGTAATTCAACAAAACGCCATAGGCGACCTTAGATGGTAAAAACCGTCAAACTGAGGGGTACAATTCGAGAATATACGGTAGCAGTGGGGGCTTATTCGAGGGGGGGCTTATTGACAATTTGTTGTTCCAGGGTAGGGAATTATTCGAGGGGGGAGCTTTTTCGAGGAGGGGGCCAATTCTAGGATTTACGGTATGTTCTAATGCGAGTGCTTCTAAGCGGCGTTGTTGTGCGACTGTTGTATCTTGATGAATTTACCGGCTAAAAAGCTTGGCATATACACATAAAAGGGGATGCAAAGAATTTGTGATTGATTACTACGTAACTCTGAATTCTGCCAAAAGTTGATCTAAAATATTCGTGCTCAAGGTCAAGATGCTGGAAATTAGACACATGTTGAACCGTCGACCTTCCTTTATTTGTATTTTGGGTTATTAAAAAGACTGTATGTGTCTCTAAAAGCTTGAACATTTTGCGAAAGACTTTTGCAAACCATGGCAACTGGCACCAAAGCTTTTGTTTTCTTTGTTCTTTTTTCCAGAAATTCTAAAGCCGGGTGTCATTTTTAGTTTTTTTTTCTAAAGCCGGTTCACCAAAACAATAGGAGTGCACACCCCCGTCGTTTTGGTATCCAAGTACCCCCCCCCCGGGACGCATGCCTTAGGTATTTTTTAAGATAGGGCTTGGGCATTAGCTCCTTAGTGGGAAAAATAAACTTTCCTTGTCCATGCCCTGACCAGAATTTTAAGCTGCTGTGTAACCTGTTTCCATCAGGTTATTCGTAAAGTTTAGGGCTTTTTATGGGTTAGGTGAAGCAATTTGTACTGATGCACCAACAGCTAATCGGCGCTTCCTACGAAGAGGAAATGTATCCTCAAGACCTAATTTGATGAAGGGTGTGGCAATGTTTTCCGAGGGAGCATTTTTGTTTAAATTCAATAAATTCTTTTGTTTACATTTTCCTCCCAAAGTAAGAAAGTGAATTTCATTAATTCAGTCTTAGAACTTTCCGACTATAACTAGTGAAGCTTGTTGTCGTTTGTGAAAGGAAACGTCAAATTTACTGTTTTTTTGTTAATAGCTGTTTGTAAAAGAAGCCGAACCCCGTTTTTGAAATTATTATGCTCAGTTCAAGACATGTTCTTTGTGACCTCACTTTAGCTCCTTGCCTGAGAACAAAAGATCGTATTATGTTTAAAAGCTCAGGTGGACTTAAAAGCTCAGGTGGAAAAAAATAAATTTCATTTTATTTTATATCTAAATCAGTGGCAAATCTTTGCATGCTAATATTCCTAAAAGCATCTTAGTATTCCTTTCAATGATCTCAAATTACCAGCAATATATTTGAAGACGGCACAAAATAGCGAAAGTATCCATATAAATTTTCTGTTTACTTTTGGTCATTATCCGATGTTTAGCTATGCTACACGTGTCTAAATTTTGTGGTACCAAACACGTATTTAATCATCTTGTTCCATTACTTTGTCTTTGATCAATTCGTTTTCCCGATGTTTTCTCACAACAAGATCGCATTTAAAATTGTTGCACTTTGCTGCTATTTTTAATAACTCCCAACAGAATAGGATGGGTCAAACAAATCAAAGTTGTTGCACGTACAATGCCTGCCAAAAGTACTTGGAACACCCACCAATTTACGCTGCATTTCATATCTTTCATTCCTTTCGTGAAAAAAAATTGCCACTTCCGCCCCCTTCCCCCTCAAACAATGTTGATGATTTAGAGAAATATCATAAAAGAAGCGCAAAAGAAAGTGCTTCCTAAAATCCCAACCCGTTTGATAGTAAACCAACATTGTTCCGTGGGGGAGAGGGGGATGATTGGTTTTGACCTTGGAAATTGATGTCAGTGTTCCAAGACTTTTGGCAGGCATTGTACCTATTAGCTTTATCGTAGAGACATTTGTTTCTTCTCGCATTTCCTATAAAGTACACTGGCAATTTGTTTTTATTGTTTTTCATGTCATTAATTTACGAAATGCTATTTTCATTTATTTGGAAAATGCATGATATTCTAATTCCTTCTGCAAAAAGTATTTTTTACGACCATTATTGCCATTTAAGATTAAAGATCTACTGAATGCTTTTGCATTGGTAATAAACATTCTAGTGCTCATAGGTGAATGCTGATATTAGATGGAAGAAAGTTGTGATATTAGCCCTTTTTGTTACTGTTTAACTGTTATACTTGTGGTTGAAAGTCAAGGTTAAGCCTAACATGAAATAACGTTGGTTCTTCCAAATACAGGATGATAATCACAGCTTTAAACTTTTGACCTTGGCTTTAAATCTTTACTTTAGCGGTGGCAGCAGAACGTTACAGAGAGAAACGACGACCAGCCTTTTTTTATCTTCGTCAGTGTTAAATTACAACCTCTCTCTACTTTAAACTAAAAACTTATATTTTTACAAGATTAAACAAAAGATGGTGCAATAAATTTAGAATAAAGATTTTAAACAAAATTAACGTCCAATAAGAATAATGTTTTATTCGTCTTTCTTCGAGTTGCAGTTCGTGGTGCAATCTTTCGAGGTCGAATTATTTGATAACAAAAATTTGCTTTTATAAAGCTTTTATTAGATTAGTCCATGGAAGCGGAGCTGTATCCTTGGTTGCTTATTGGCTTTTTAAGGCACTTCAGGGCATTAATTTGCTTTGCGTCATTTTCACTACGTTATATAACGATCGAGGTTCAATGGTATACCTATTGTTTGGGGCTTCAATTTGCACGATTTTCTCAAAAGTCTGCGGAAACTGCTTTTGTCAAAATGACCCACTTAAACCCATTTCTTAGCGTTTTTCAGATTAGAAAATCATCAACGTAAATTTTCATGGTGATCTGAGCTTACAGATTGAAGTTGGTTTAAACATGTTTAAAGTAACTATGTATGCAAAGTAACCATGAGTGCAATTTTCAACTACGATTTGTTTATTTTTATTACCTCAACCACCGCAATTTATTTCAAAGTCTATTCTGGTGTTTTGTGTAATCAGATGAGCGAGCCGATTAACGCATTTTTCTAAACACAATGATAATAAACAACCTCGGGTATTTTACACCTCACACTTCATGACGTTTTAGGCAAATTTTCTGCAGTTCGATGGCTTTATTTCCTGTTGTCATACATCGAATACATCTTATCGACGACTTCTTCCAGATCTCATCGCTCTTTCCAAGGACGAAAACAGATCACTTACGATGAATCGGGACTAGATCCGATTCACAGATAATATTGTTATCCAGAAACCCACTACTCGCTGAATCCAAAAAATTAAAAAACCTTTTATCAAGCCGTTTAAAGGCTTTAATGGGCAGTTGATCCTGTCTCCACCGACTTTCATTAAAGTAATGAGAGATGCAGAAACTATAACTAACTTCAGTAATTCTCAATATATCTTTTTTCCTAAATTTTAACACCGAATAAAAACCTTTGCAACTGCTGTACCGTGGGTACAATAGTTTCTCGAGTTATTTAAAAAAAACCGCACCTAGCCAAATAAATTAAATATAATCACTATTTATAACTTGCTAGTTTACTGGCTCATTGGCAGAAATTGCAGGGGCTTGGGTGGCCATTCCAGTCCTAAAAATGTGAACCGTAAAGTTCAACTCGAGAGTTGGATAAATTTGGCATAGAGAATAGCAAAGGTTGCTCAAACATTCATCGGAAAATTCACTGTACTTTCCCCCACCACCGAAAAATTCTGCCACTGCATTGGTTATCCAATTCTTTTAAGCTATTGTAGAATGATTGCTCAATCTTATCTAGAGCTAACTTAAAACCAAATTTCCTAGCAGAAAAAATCCCACTTTTATACAATAAACAAAGTTTTATACAATAAACAATAAACATATAGAAGTGGTCATGATCAAGCCAACTAAACATTAAGCTATAATATAAGCCTCAACTTTTAGAACTATGATACAGTATATTTACAAACTTGTTGCTTTATATATTTACATTTACTCTCTAAGATTTCAAGAAAACACAAATTTATTGACTTAAGTAATATAGTGACAATCCATCCTGAAGTAGTGCGAGTTATTATTCCATTGTTTCTTATGCAAATTTCAACTTCACAAACAAAATGGTAAAATGTGGTACATAGTGTGCGAGGATGGCTCAGTTGTTAGAGGTGCTGACTTCAAACCCAAGGGTCCGTGGTTCGAGTCCCTGGCATGACCAAACTTTCACCCAGAATGGGGAGAGTCACCAGCTCTCTGTAATTCCAGGCGTAGGAATCACGAGGTGTGGTCACATCAAGAGGAAGGACCAGGACACTGCTCGATAAGCATAGCTTCTCAGTGTCCTGAAAACTATCTATAAACGGATGCTAGGTAACAACAAATACTAATGCAAATAGTGTAGCGTTTTTCCTTCAATGATTTTCTCCATCTATGATTCTAAGAAAAGGGTTATACTTCTTGACATCTTAGAAGGTACGCAAGGTTTTAATTTATAAGCACTTCTTTGAAAGTTAGATTGATTATGTACATACCGATAGGAAAGACGAAAGCCTGGCAATATATTGTGATGATACTGCAATTATATTTATTTGTCAAACTTTTTGTGGCTTAGCTGTTACATGTCTTTTCACGAGGGGGGCACTTTGCATACTGCCACTTGTTAATGGTGCGCTACCGAGGTCCTGACACGACCGTTCTCATAAAATACCCGCAAATAGTAAGGTTTTCAGAATATTTTACGAACATTTTGAAAACTTGGTGGTATTCTTCTAATTCTGTTTTTTATTTTTCATCTAAAAAGCAAGCCGATACCAAACAGATAAAGATGCTACTTCTTTTCGAGGAAATACGTTATAACTTATTTCATCAAAAATTTCATAGTCAAAGTTACAAGAGAGATTCCTTCATTGTTATTCCATTATCTTGGGTGTTGGGTGCACTCGTTGCCACAGCCTTCCTTGATGCACTTTTGTGACACATTGACCTGATGAAAGCTCTTTTGAAATCTTTTTTGCACCACACATAAATAGCTGGATCAAACAGTGACGAGCAACAGCGAAGCGCGAACAAGAGTTCAAGAATCTCTTCGTTTGGCCTGAAATCTTCCTTGTTATCCATAACCAGTCTTATGCACATTAGTGGTGACCAGCAGACGAAGATATTCACAAACATTGCAAAGAAAACCAAGACTGCTTTTCGCTGTGAGCGAGCTCCCTTATTTTTTGGCAGACCACGCAAAGTGTCTTCCTTGACAAAGCGTTTAAGAACAGTAAACATGGAGACAAGGCAGAAAATCATTATTAGGGATGGAACAAAAAATACCCCTATTAAAAGGGTAAGGGAATATGTTTTGTATATGTCGCTAATGTCTCCGGTCTCTTCCCCAACCAGTGAGGGATAGCTCCAAATCAATTGGATAATCGCAAGAAGAAAAGCAATCAACCATACACTGCCTATCAAACCTCTAATAACCGACTTTCTTGCCACTTGCGGATGAATGTAGGGATGACATAGAGAAATGTACCGCTCCAACGTCACCATAAGAATGTTGAGTGCTATCGCAAGGTTTACCAAATCAGTGATTACTGTTGAGGTGAAATACAGTATACGTAAGTTTCTACCGCGGTTAAAGAGAGCAGCGGAGCAAATAACGAGAGGAATCAAGAGGACTCCAGTGAGTGTATCAGCACAGGCCGTACTTGCTAGTAGCATATTGGTTGAGTTGCGTAAGGACCTCTTCTTTGAGTAGAGGATTATGACAACAAGGTTGTGCAGAATTATCATTATTGCCAAAGCAACCAGAAAGGTGTGATATCCAACTTCGTACTTTCCAACTGGCCTTTGAAAATCATATCTTGACGACTCATTAGCGACTGCAGTGGCAAAAGATTTTAAGTGATTAAGTCTTGTCATGTTTTCAACCATTTCTGAGCTATATGTCTATCCGCACCAGCAGATCTAGAAAGGAAACATGACGTTATAAGATTTATCTTAGTACAGTCGGCAGATCATTTGTTTAAGGTCCTCAGAAAGATCAAGGTCGTTTGCTTAAGGTCAAAGATTTCTTCAACAAATCATAGAGAAGAATATCTTGATTAATATTCATGCCCTTGTTCAAAATCAAATTTTTATGCTTATTTCGGTACCGTTAAAACAACATCGATATCTAGCTTTTCCATTAACTTGTTATTTTGCTTGCTTTGATATCTGCTTTACAGTCTTGGTCTGAATATAGACAATCTGCCAATTGTTCACAATCAAGACATAAAGCTTTACAAATGAATAGAAGCCTTGGATACAAAAATGCTTTCAGAAGGTACGTGATAGACATCAATTAACTAATATTTCTTAAAGCAATTAATGATTACATTGCAAAAGAGAAGTTGATATATTCGCACTTTTGCTTAACTTCTAAAGTTCCTTTGTCCATTAGCAGTTATCACAGTTAATTTTTGTTTCCATGTTGATTTTTTCGATTTAGGTTAAATATCAACCATTATATATCTAAGCATCTATTTATGCATCTCATTTGAAGTATAATATGCTAATACTGCAAACTAAAATGAAAAACAAATTGAAACTAAACAAAGTAAACTTGCTAATCATGTTTAAGGCGCAAAGTCATTATCTTTTCTTTTGCTGCAAGCCTTTTTCAATCAAAACGCTACGTCTTTCCTGTCTAAATAGATGTAGCAAAAATGACGCATACTTTTTAAGCCAGTCAGCCTCTAAACACGTTTGATCCTATGTTTCAATTGCCCTTTTTCTTTTCTGGCTTTGCGACAAGACTTCTACAATCATAAAAGCCTCTTTTGCCTTTACAGTTGGGAAATTATATCATATAGAGCAAATATCTAATAAAGTATTGGAAAACACCACACGTTCATTTTTCAAGCAGCTATGTTTCTCTCGTTAAAAATCCTGCCATACGAGGGAAAGTAAATTAATATTCAAAACATCAATAGTATTTGAAGATCAAAAATGTGTTTTCAACAAACCAACAATGTGTTTACAAAATTTAAGGAAACTCTAAGAAGGTAAAAGAGCTCGATCGCATCCGTTGCGCGATGTTAGCAAGCCAACCAGTTTTTTTCAATTTACTTTTTGCTATGTTGTCTTGGTAAGAAACCAAACCTGTTTCGATGCGATAGAAATAGCTTAATCGCACTTTGTTGAATTCTTTGTCAGAGATTTGCTAGTCACGAAGAAAGCCCTGTGGTTCAGAGGGGTCGATTCTAAAAATCTTAAATATCATAGTGTTGTGATAGTAATGTAAAATGACAAGTTTAATCAGGAATTTACTGTAAAAATATTCAACGCTCAAACAGTAATTGGTTCCAGCCAGCATGAATCAATAAACGATAAATATTCAAGACACAAATACATAAACATTTGCCAAGCTTGTTTCTTTGATTTCAGTAATTGGATGATGCTTCCAGATAAAAGTGGCGTCGATGATGGCAAAGGGCTTTGTTACATAGAATTTGCATAAAACCTCAAAAATCATCTCTTAATTCTGCACGTAAAAAACTTATGCAACAAACTGACGAATTATAGATGAATAAGAAAAGTTTCTAAAAAAATTAGATCGAGCGTCTGTAAAAACTATCACCAGAAGTTATAGGTATCAACCTGCTGTTTCAAAGATCATCATTGCTCTTTCTTTCAAAATCTATCAAAAAATATTTTTGATAATTGAGAACATTTAAAGACTTTCATTTTCAGCACATTTTCAAATTTGTGGCTTTAAAGCATGCAATTTAAACATAAGATGATGATAAACAACAAATGATCCAAAGCTTACAATCTATTAAAGCTGACTTGCACAAACTTGATCAAATGATGCTTGATTTCCCAAATTTGTGAAAGAACTTGTTCAAATGAATCCCTCTTTCTTGTGACCCAGACAAAAAAGCACGAGAAGAGTCAGCGCTGTTGCACTAAATATGACTCTAAATTATTCAGATTGCACCTGTTCCCTTAGGTGTACTCCAATGAAAGCTATTCTGTCAATCAACTGCTGATCTTGACCAATACCAGCTTCATATCCAGGTGGATAGACGTATAGAGCATTAACATACATTGTGCTGCACGAGGCAATAAGAATTGTTGTTGAATAAAAAATTGCAGATTCATTCATTTTTTGTGGGGACAAAAAAAAACAATGATCAGCAATGTTACACTTGCTAAATTTCTATCACTTTATCGTAAGATCCATTAATATTCTTTTCAAAATAGAATGTGCTCTTAATTTCACACTCTCCTATCTAAATTCTGGTACTGCCATCGTGGATCAAATAGCGGAAATATAGCATACTGAAGTACTAACAGGCAATCAAGCACATCCTTCTTCCTCTCACACTACTTCTGATCCACATTGGGTTGGGATACACAGTCCGATGGAGACTATCGGATAAAAGTTTTTCAGTATTGTTTCAGTATGTTACCTGGCGTGTTTGATTAGGTGCCTGGTTCCTGAAAAAACACAATTTGTATACAAAACCAGATATGTTGTCTGGTAAAAGAGATGATTTTGTAAACAGATATGACAGGAAAACCGTTAATTGCTACAAAGGCTTTCTATAAACGTATACCTATTTCTATTCGACATAGCTGTTTAGCAACTGGTAACTTTATTCGTCGCAGATGATTACATTTCAAAGTCAGTGCCAACTGTAAGGAAACCTTCCTTACCAGTAGCGTTGCGTTATCTATTGCATTTGTATAATCAGTTCACTATTTTTTAATGCTTTCCACTGTAATCAGAATTCTCAAACCAAGGAAGACATGATTTGCTGAATTATCAATGTGTGTGTCTGTAAGCATTTCCATCTGAGCAAGTGCTGTTAATCCTAAGGATCTGTTTCTCGACAGTGATGCGATGATCTTCAATCAGAATTGCTGGAGATATCAATAGCTGGCCATCTAGCTTGAAAATGTTTTTCGTCGGATACTCAGCTGGAATATAGTTTTAGTCGTACCCTTAACTGGAATATAGTTTTAGTCGTACCCTTAGCTGGAGTATGCTTTCCGTCCTACACTTAGCCGGAGTATGCTTTTCGTCCCACACTTAGCTGGAGTATGCTTTTTGTCGTACATTTAGTTTGGAGTGTGCTTTTTTGCAGACCAATAGGCTCTTTTTGTTACAGAGATATACGAGGGTCACTCCAAAATTATTGAGATATTCAGTAACCGCTTGAGATATCAGTTTGAAATTTTTTTGATGGCTTGTACCATCTATTTCACCCATGTTTTGTAATTTTTGTTAATTTCAAGCGCGGGAAAAAAATAAAAAAGGGTTTTGAATTTCAGCACCTTAGATGTTCTTATTTGTTAAAAATGGAGCTTGAAAGACGTGATTTTCGCGCAATGATTTATTATGATTTTAAAAGGGGGCTGAAACAAGAAGAGTGCCTAGCTCAACTTCTGCAGACATTTGGAGATAATGCACCTTCAAGGGCAACAGTTTTTCGATGGTTTGCTGAATTTAAGAGAGGGAGGGAGAGCCTTAAAGATGAGACCCACCCAGGGAGGCCCCCAACTGCTGTTGTGCCAGAAACAGTTGCCGCTGTGGAGAAGATGCTAAGGCAAGATGGTCGGATGACTTATTCTATGATGCAGGATAGCGTAAAGATTGGATCAGCAGCATTGCACACAATTTTGTATGAAAACTTGCAAGTTCGGAAAGTGGCTGCCCGCTGGGTGCCACATTGCTTGTCAGATGAGCAAAAAGAGCAGCGCGTCAATTGGTGCCAGTTTATGCTGCAAAAATTTAATGAAGGGAAGTCGAAACGGGTTTATGACATTGTGACAGGCGATGAAAGTTGGGTTTACCAATTTGACCCGGAGACAAAACGCCAATCCTCAATTTGAATCCTTCCAGGTGAAAACCCGCCGCAAAAATTTCGGCGATCCAGAAGCGTCGGCAAAAGGATGGCTGCGTCATTTTTCTCAAAGACGGGTCATGTCGCAACCATTCAAGTTGAAGACCGTCGTACAGTGAACGCGGATTGGTATGTTAACCACTGCATACCACAGGTTCTAGAAATTTGGCGAAATAAACGTCCAAGGACCGGCTTAAGAGGTCTACTTTGGCACCATGACAACGTTTCCGCTCACACAGATGCTTCGACCATCGACTTTTTGTCCGAAAATTCAGTTCAGTTGATGACCCACCCGCCTTATTCACCTGATTTGGCACCTTGTGACTTCTTTCTCTTTCCAGCGGTGAAAGAAAAAATTCGCGGAACCAAGTTTGATAGCGCTGATGATGCAGTTAGTGCCTTCGACGAGGCTGTTTCTAACCTGGCTGCGGAAAAATGGGCCCATTGTTTTGATATGTGGTTTTATCGTATGAGACTTTGTGTGGAAGCCAGTGGAGAGTATTTTGAGAAACTGTGAAAATTTGAGCACGATGCCTCTTGCGGTTTTTGAATATCTCAATAATTTTGGAGTGACCCTCGTATATGATAATAGAAAGAAACCTTCATTCAGGAAAAACAGTTTTCATGACTACAGTCGCATGCTAGATTTCTTTTCTCGCTCTTTCGTTGCATTTGATTGTCAATATAAAGAAAGAAACGTAAATCTAAGAGCTCATAGTTACTGGTTGCTAAGATTCACAAGATAATGTTTCAAATTATCCGTTCAACTACAATGATAAGACTTTTGTTCTTTTTTTGTACTGCAGATCAAATTTTATAATGTAAGACAAGGTATTACAGCATTTCTTGAAACCATAAAAGCATATAAGTTGCTCACCCCAACATTGTAGTTTTTGCCAAACCCAATAATTACTTTGACGGTGCCTATCATAATCATACCAGATTACGCCATTCTCCCCTCCTAGCCATCAATTGAGTTGAACTCTTTTAAAAACAATTACTGCATTTACTAAAGACGTTTAAATTTTTTTGTTGCTAACAGGGCTTGTGATGTCGAAGAATGAATTACATTGTACAGGTTTATCATACATCAAATTATTTCAACAGGATGTACAAGCAGGATCTGCAAGAGACTGTCCCTGATAACTATGTAAATGGTCTTTGTCTGGTTGTACTCTAAGTATTTCCAATTTGATAGGGGGAAAGAGTCATCAGCGTACTCATTTTATGAAAAATTGATGACAACAATTTTTCATTGCTGAGGGAATTTTGGGATAATCATTTATTCCATTGCAAATGATTCTAGGATCTGGAAGATTTCCAATCGTAAAATGTGCATTTTTAATCATTTTGTCTCTTAAAAATGCTGATAGTTGCATACAAATGAAATTGATATTTTAAAGGAGCAACCCTGGGTACCAGCGCCACATAAATTCGGAAGCGGAAATATAAAATAGGACTGGAAAAGTGGAAGAGCGTCTAGACGCGGCACTGAATGGCATTCTGTTTATGGGCTCAAAATTGTCTGGCACTTGTGCCCAGGTACCCTGGGTACCAGACTCACTATATATAAAATAATATTTTATTTTATATATAGCGAGTCTGGTACCAAGTGTAGTGCCCAGGGTAATGCGTATACAATTGATTTAAAAATCGAATTTTGTTTTCATCCTATATTTTGGCTATTTATATCAATATCTAAAATAGTTTTGTTGTGACGTCAGCTGTTTGATACCGATTATCAAACATCTTGTTCTAAATTAAAATTTTAGCTAAATTTTGTGCTTGTCGAGTCAATTTGTCTCAAAGTGGCATGTCACAATAACTTAACTTATCTTAAAACATCTTCTTTATCATTTATCCTTGCTTTTCTTATGGAATACTTTACCGCCTGGATATAATTTGAATCCAAATTCTTAATTCTCTTTGACTCCGTTCGATTACCATCCGTTCTGTTTACAGAAAACTTTTTAAATGCGCTTTTCTAAAGTTTTGTATTAACACCTTTGTCGGAATTATCTTTCAGTTGTTGCAGTGTAAAATATATAAAAAGAAAAATATAATCAATCTAGCAGCACTTAATAATTTCATGTAAGACGTTTTCCTTTCTTAAGAAAACAGCTGTCATATGTTTACTTTCAAGCCTATCATATTTCAAAATTTAGGATAGCATGAATACCTTAGGTCAGAGGTGGGCGACCTGCCAAAAACGACCCGTCACAAATTTTAGGGCCTGTTTATATGGAGAAAATCGTTCCACCAATATCAGAAAATACAGGAAAAACAGTCTGACCTCGAAAATAAGCCGAGACACAGTGGAGCCATTGCATTGCACACTTCTTTAGGGGCCTGTTTATGTAGAGAAAATTATCCCACCTTCCAGCTTATGAGCTGAGGTGTGAGATTCCACTTTTCTACAGAATCCTTTCTGTTTTTTGTCTTGCGTTTATGTGCAAAACAAGCCAGCCCGGTTAGATGAGATCCAACTGCATGAGAGGTGGGATCTCACTGAGGTAGGGTGATTTTTTCCATATAAACGCGGGAAGGTGGGATGAAGCAGGAAGATGGAATGAAATGTTCATATAAACGATATCAAATTCCGGCACACAGACTGGAAGGTGGATTGATTTTCTCCATCTACAGCTGGAAGTTGGGGGTAGAATCTGCATGTAAACATTCGATTTCATCCCACCTGCCAGATTTTGGGCTGAGAGGTGGGGCAAACTAGCTCATGTAAACAGGCCCCTCATCGTATCCCTCAGACTTTCAGCATTTAATATTAGAGGAACCAAAGAGTCTCATTGCAAAATATTCTCTATCATTGAAGTATTTCGTATTACTAGTAATGAAGTTAATTCCCAAACGAAAAGAATCAAAACCTCAATAGGCATTTGTTTTTGGAAGCAGCTTTTCTTGCAAATGAAGTTAACCAGCTTTAACTTTACCTTTCATCCTTCTCTAGTTGCTTTCGCCTGATTTTGAAAAGCTGGTTTGAAAGACGCACCAGAAGGAGAATAGCTTCACTGCTATTACAAGACAGACCTAAATTGCAGCACTAAGTTGCACTTCTGGGTTAATGTGCCTTGATAGTTATTCATTAAAAGATCTTTTCAAATTCTTCTCAGTCGTTAATGGCCCGACCCGCTCTTCAATGGAACGAAATGTGTAAATTTAACCCCCAGGTTGAAAAGATATTCCGTCCCTGCCGTAAGTTCTCGAATAAGCCCCAGGGGCTTTCTTTGCAAAAATACTTTTGGGTGGGAGGTTTGAGGGAGATCTTATTCAAAGGTGGGAGCATATATAGCAGCAGCCAAAAATATTACCAGTGTAAATTTTCTTCCAGTATTCGAGGCTGGTCAGTATGCATTATAAGCAGATATATTAGGAAAAACCTATTTCTATCCCGTCAATACCTCAGCAGATAGGGCCTTATTCGAGGGGGGGGGTTTATTCGAGGGGGGGTTTATTCGAGGGGGAGGTTTATTCGAGGGTGGAGGCTTATTCGAAGGTGGGGCTCATTTGTGGACTTACGGTAAGCGTGAAAATTGCACATCATGCACTTTTGTTTGGCACTGCTCAAAGTCTATAATACCGAATATTAGCCAAATAAAGAAAGGAGAGTCATACCCAAGTTATGCCATCGTGTATCTTCTGTTTGCGCAAAGTTAACAATTTGTTACGAACTTTTAGGTCATTTTGCGGGAAATTCGCCTGAATGACGTCTTTCCTAGTGATATCCGTGTGACTAGATTTTTCCTCGATGTACAGGGGACACGTTGTTGTCTCTTAAGGCGGATTTCCACGAGGCAAATTTCGCACCGAATTCGCTGCGAATTCGCTTCGAAATTGTCTTTGATTTTCACGAGACTGCGAATTCGCTGCGAAATTGTCTTTGATTTTCACGAGACTGCGAATTCGCTGCGAAATTATATAATAATAAGGCGCCCATTTTCAGAACTGCACGCATGGCGAATGTTCCAAGATTGTTTTCTTACAAATCAAGCAAATTTACCATGCTTTGAATGGTTATTAGATGCTGCGAAATATTTAGCCGAGAAAAAGTCGAATTCTTTTCTACTTTCTTGCGAATTCGCTGCGAAATCAAAAATCAAAACTACGCATGCCTTCATGCCTTCATCAGCGATTTCGCCGCGAATTCGCTGCGAAATTCGCCTCGTGGAAATCAGCCTTTACACCATTTCGTTATTTGCAACAGAATACTTTGAAGCAGAAAATGAAAGTCTATATTTCTTTTTCTACAGGGAAATGCAGAAAATTAGCAAAACAAAGCAAGGGAGTGGGAAAAAGCTTGATGATTGTTCACAAATTTCACAGACCTGGCTAAAGATGTTAATGGTACGATATATATTTGTATCTAACTTTATTGATATAATATATATGAAACTCGGAGTAGCAACGTAAAACCGCCCCATTTATGCAAAGATGGTATTCTACCAGGTAGGGGTAGCAACATTGCCTAATTTGAAGCAGTTCATATTAACTAAATTGTTCTCAAGCAAGAATGAAGGCTATAAAGATTTTAAAATGCACCCAGTTATTTTGAAATTAACGCTTCTTGCAAAGATGAAAGTTTCAAAGGCAAAACCCAGACGCCGTACTTGATATTTAAGCTTGTAATAATGCATTAACACGAAGATAAAAACGATTTGTTTCCAAACCATGAAATATACCTTCTTTTTGTCGCAAAAAAAGTTGTGTAGCAAATTAATTGTAGCAATGGCTATAAGCCTTGCCTTAACTTTCCCATGTCTTTTGGTTCCAGAAAATTAGTTTTGGCAACATAATGCCGGTTCACGGGGGGGGGGGGGGCGCTCAGCACATAGACACACGGGGGGTCAGTTTGATATTTTTGGGTCAAATGTTTACCCGAAGTGATATTTTTGAGTTAAATATTTATCAGAAATTATATTTTTGGGTCCTGCAGAAACAATAGATACAATTCTGATATTTCTAGGTATCAAATTTAGAAACACTGATATTTTTTAGTTTTTGTGAGATTTCCATATCTGAATCAAATGTATTGTTTATCGGCTGAGGTTTTTTTACCCATGTGACCATACTCTTCGGAAGTTTTAATGCTAACATGACACCATAATTGGTACCGCCATGGTTGCCGCCATTGGTACGTCCACTGGTACCGCAATGCCATTGCTGGTACCATGGGTACCACCAAAGTAACTGATCAAACTAACTGTAACGAAGACATGATTCTGCTGGTGAAGAAGTTTTTGCTGCTTCGGGCAGGGAAGGCATACACTGTCGTCACTTGATTTATACAAGAATCAATCGTTTCAAGAGGAGTGGTATTTATGGAAATCAAATTGTTTAGAGTCGTTCTGTTGGTCCTATTTACTGTTAAAGTCAGGAATATCACAGACATCGCGAGAAACCTGACATTCATATAGTTTTCACTCAGACTGGAGAGAGCAAAGGAAGTCATATTCAAAGGCCTAATTATAAAGAATAGAAAAAGTTTGCGGCCTCCGCCGAGAGAGAATCTTCGTTTTTTTGTACCAGGATAGTCGAGATAGAGGGGAGATGGAGTGTGCATGACAGAAAAAAGGGCTTGCTTAATTTTTTTTTCAGCAGTTCGTCATCCCGCCTTAACAGGAACTACCATACAATTTAGAGTTCCCGATCCCCCCTTCCCCCCTCTCCTTCTTTGTATCGCACCCTGCTTCACCAGGAAGAAAGAATTAAAAACAAAGGGAAACCATGTAACAATCGGATCAGGTGGATAACATCGCAGATATTCAAGAAAGTGTCAAAATCACATTAAAATAGATGCATTTACTGGTTGAATTGTAAGATAATTTTTGCTAGGACGATGAAAAAAGAATGAAGGTAGGAAAAAAACTATTGCCCGTATTTGCAGGAAAAAACTAAAATTAAGCCAAAAAATGACTTCAAGCCAAAAAGAATTCCTGAAGCCAAACAAGTTCGAAAAAAGGCAAATTTTTGGAATTTGGCCTAAAAAGGCCAATATACCAACTCTGTTCCCGATGTAAAGGACGCCTGCTTAAACAATGGTAATTACTGGGTGCTTTTGTACTCGGTGACTTAGATTGTATTGTATTGGCAAAATGTCAATCTCTGATATTCAAAACAAATTAATTCAAGACCCTATCTACCATGCATCAGACCTATCCATGTTGTGACAAAATATGTTTACCTTTTAAATAATTTGCATCAATTATGTTTCCCGTATCCGTATGTATTACAATTGTATATTCCTATTTGTATAAGCAAATTCTTTTTAGTTAATGATTTCAAAAATTTCAATCAATGAAAACATTTTCAAATATTAATTATTAATTATTTTAGAAAGAATTTTCGTGGTGCTCTTTTGACTTTTTAAATGTAAGACAGGAGGAACTTGAAAGGATCCGAACCCTCTTCCCCTTTTTTCCAAAATGTGGTAGTGAAATATGTTTCACTGCAATCTTGATTTCAACATATCCAGAAGGACGTTTCCCCCTTTTCCGAGGGTCTTTAGGGCGTGGCTTCACGAAATTTATCTTTGGGCAGGACCACCTGTTCTTGGTTAGCTTCGCCACTAGTTTCTCGTAGGCAATGGGAAATTGCTTGGATTATAACACTCTCTTTCTGTCTTCCCCTTTGCCTCCTTACTTGAAAATATCAACTATTTGTTAACATGCAAACTAAATAGAATTACAAACGAAACAAAAACCGATCAACTATGTGAACTTTACACTTAATTCTAACTGCAGCATCACTCAAAGCTTGACAAATTTCTTATCAGCTTCCCAATTTGTCGAAAACTGTGTCACAAGCTAACTAGTAATTAAAAGTGACGATATTGTTGAAGCTACCAGGTCATCGAAGTAGATAAAACAGGATAACATACCAGGTCAAATGCTGTTAAGTGTAAACAAAAAGACGCAATAGATTTGAAGTTATCTGATGTTAGTTATGTTAACAAACGATAAGACCAGTTAACAAGTTAATAACGATTAAGAACGGGAGTTTTCATTGTAGTAACCACTGGGATTTGAGTCAGGGTGTTGCTTTACTTGCAGAATTTCAATTCAGAATGAGCCTCCATTTGACTGAAATAATGCATTCTACAAGTCAATCTTTGTGGAATAGGGGAAGGGGGGGATTTGGGGGGAACTTTTGTTGCATTAAAGTGTTTTCGAATCATCAGCCATGTCAGTTGATCTTTTCTATCTACTAAGCTTGTTTAGAAACATCTCCCTGACACAAAGAAGAAAGTAATACAGTATTTCCTGTAAAGTTGCGACAAACCATTAAGAAATGGAATTCGCCTTCAACGTGAATTTGACAATTGGTTTGGCCAAAGTATAGCAGGGCCTGAACCTCGTCAGTTCGATATAGAGGTCATTGTAAATCTCGTATGAACATCGGAAATACTCTCCTATCAGAACTTACAACAAAACGAAATACCCAGAACCAAAAACAAAACATCTACTTGTAAATGTTATTATTTCTGTAAATTTCGTAATTTGGTCTTGTCGAAGACAAAACATTCAGTAACAAATTTATCAGTTGACCTATAATGCTCAGTGCATCTAGCTATCTAGAAAGATAAAGAGCCTAATGAAACTTTTTAGTTGTACTGTCCAGACAAAACATGAGATAGTGACTCCGTTTACAAGATATAAATGACTATGTTACTATTCAAGCTTTGTAGCTACTGTTGCTTTGCTGCTGTTTTGAAGTGTTATTGTTGATTGTGTATGTTGCCGTTTGTCTGTTTGTGATTTCTGCGTCAAGGCCTGTTCAAAATTCGGGGCATTTCCTCGCTATGCTTGCATGGCTTAGACACCTGGGGTTCGCAGGGATTTGCACTGATTGCAACAAAAAAATTTCTATAAAAAATATAATTATGAATGTGCAGTATTAAAATTTCTTAAAATAGGCCCTGACAGACAGAACTTGTTTTTAAGAAGGAATTTTTCTATATCTTTCAGTTTCAATCCTCAAATTATGCAAACAAAGCCAAATATTAAAAAAGATCCTCATGTTTTAAAATCAGAGATGACATCAAAGTACGTCACAGAATTGTAAGTTGATCTGATGAACGTATCGGTTCTTAATTTCTAAATTCAGAGACGACGCCATGAAATCCAATGGCTAAAAATTCATCTCCCAGACTAAAATTTAGCAAATTCTCAGAATAGACAATTTGACGATTCTCCGAAAAACATTGTTGATTTTTAGGAAAATTTGGAAAAGAAGGAATCAAGCTAAAACTCTAGTGACAGCTCTGGGGAAAGAAAGAAAGGCTGACCTTTGAATCACGAAGCTATCGTATTGATTAAGAGACTTTTACTTCCTGAACAGAAATGTCCGTCTTTTTTGTCTCGATTCGTTTAAGTAGGCCATGTTTACACATCCAAAATGCATATATTGCAATAATAATGAAAAGGGTCTACTGAATTGAGGCAAATAGTAGACAAATAATAGAAATAAACTTAAATAAGTCAATAAATAAATCGAAGTATGTAAATAATTTACTCTTTCTTTTATTGCATACTCTGTTTAGAAACTAACAAAAAAGATGGTCAAAAAGTTTTGATCTCTTAGAAAGTCCATCCCATCTTCAAAAATGCGGATTTATGGCTGCCAGTACATCGGTCGGGCAAATCTGGAAATTTTCTTTATGTCACACTTTATTTGCCCTAGCGTGGCTTTTGAATTTATCGTATTTTCCCCCATCTTTTTTCAATCTCCTCCCAGTTGGGAAAACAAAACAGAAACGAGGCAAGCAACATCAAGACCAATTTGCATCACGACACAGAATAGGAAATAGGAAATAGAATATTTTTACCTGATTCCTATTCTGTGATCAAGAATATTCCTATTCCTATTCATAGAATATCCTATTCTGTGTACATTTCTGTCTTTCGTCCACTGATCAGCGCCTTCGTCTCGACCTCGACGGCGAATTATTGATTGTATTGATTGACAGCGAAAGTATAGACGAAAATTTAAGTGTGTTTGATGCAAGAAGGAAATGAACACAGGGCAGGCCCTCCCACTTTTTGCAAAACAAGAGACCTTCTTTTAAAATTATTTGTTATGATAGCTAAATTTTTCCTTCAACTAAAAAAATTCAAATATCTGTAACAAGTAACAGAAAGTTTTAAGCCAATAGTTCAAGCGGGAATTGTAGAAAATCTATCAAGGAATTGTGATCAAGATATGAATTACAAAATACTTTTTGAATCTCTGAACAATATCCATGATTGATAGGTGTACTTGTAAAATATTTCCAATAAGTTAACTTTTCTTTGCACAAGCTTGAGGGATTTTGTTATGGTGAATTCAGAGATACTTACTTTGTGCTTGGGTGTCTAAAAATGTTGAAATTTTTTGCGGAGCAACAGAAAGTCAAAAATCAAACTCAGAAAATGCAACTGAAGCTCTTTTTGTTGAAACATTGTAGTGTGCATAGCTGTTTCATATTCCGAATTTTCCAAGCTGTGACTTGTTGTTCCACTGTGATAAAATTGAGACTCTGCTTCAATCTCTTTTTTAAATTGCTCTCTTAATAGCTAGGTGATTTAGAAAGTAAAGACTATTTTTCTTTTATAGAAAAGACAAGCCTTACAAATGCTTGCTTTTTGGAAACAAATGTTTATAGCCAACACCAGAAAACTAGAGGTATATTTTTTTGACTTTCAAAAACAGCCTGAGTCTGAAGGCCTAATCTTCATACTCCCCTTCCCCTAATGAAAATGAAGTTTCGCCCCTTTGTACAACATTTGGTAACTAAACATCTGGTTGGTCATCTTTCTTGTTGTGGACTGAGGTCAGAACCTAATTCTTCTCACTGTTATGCTCCCGCGGGTCTGGCGTCCTTGGGCTTCCCCACGCTCAATGTTGAATGGTGGGTGATGAGTGACATCGTTGTTTTCGTGATTTTTTAAAATCGACGACCTTCGATTCCTCCAGTTTCATTGTTCGGTTTGATAGCTCCAAAATTCTAACTCCATTCAAACTTTAATCCTATGATCAACATGAATGCTGAAAATTTCCAAACTTATAATTATTTCAAAAAACGTGTTTTTTTGCGATTTCATTTGCAGTGAAATGAATGAAAAATCTTTAATGTATCAAGCGCCACAAAATAATTCAAATCACAATCTTTATAAATAACTTCCTGCTGCCTTCACGACTAATCTAGAGTTTAAAATTTCAGGTACTTCCACAATCCACAAACTGTTATTAGAAATCACCTTCAAAAAAAGCCAAACAGCTTTGTTCAGTTCTCAGGCAGGGGTAGCCTGGGGGGCTTAGCACCCTCACATTTTTGCTAAACTGGATTCAGGTCGTGGCAAAAAATATTTGATATTCAGTTGATGGCATTAAACACGATGGGTGGAAAAATACCATTAAATATTGCCAATTTGTCTGCAGCAACCCCCTCTCCCCCCACTCTAAAATTTGCCCCGGCGTCACTGGTTCTGGAGATAAATGATGTTCTATTCAACTTTGAATTGAATTCTTTAAAATGTCACAGATAGATAGGATAGACCTTAAACAAGAGTACCTTGCTTTAGAAAGTCGTTTGAAAGGCTGAGAAACTGCTTAGAGGACCTGCACAGTGATGAACGGTGTTTTTTTGCAGAAGCAGCTAGTAGAGAGAATTTCTATCTTCTGCTTCTAAATACCCTGTCGCAAACAATTCCTTTATTTCGATACTCTGTCCCAGAGTTTTGATGTAGTTCACAATACCATGTCCTAAAATCTTAATCGGAGAAGTATACCTTGTTCTGCGGCACATCCCGTCAGGTCAAATTTGGGAGTTAGACAGGGAAATTATTACAGCAATCTAACTAAGTGCTTAATCTTCTCACAAGTAATTTTGATTATTCAGCATATAAAGGGTACTTTTAGACTTTGAAACATTTTTGTAACTTCCCAGGGGGCTAGTAAATGATGACGTCATCAGTGTGGTTGTTTAACGATATTCATTTTTAGGTGAAAATTCCATCACAAAACCAAATAGCCTTAAATTTCTCAATAAATTTTAGCTATTCAGAACATACGACGTACATCAAGTTTTTTAATTTTTTTACCAATGTAGGGGGGGGGGGGGGGGGGCTAAATGATGACGTTATCAGTATTTTAGTCTTAAGATATTCTCAGGCAAACATTTATCACAAACAAAAATGTATATATTTTCAGGCAAACATTCATCGCTGCCTCCGCGACACTTATTTCCAACATATTGTAAGTGATAACAAAAACAAAAAATTAGCATCAAAATAGTTGTTCCAAAGATACCTCATGAAGAACATGGATGGAAGTATGAACAAGAGTATACGATTTCACCAATTTGGTTCACCGGATCACAGTTACAATGAGTGGCCTTGACTAGGGGAAGGAAAGAGTTTCGTACTAAAGGAATCTGCTGGAAAGGAAACTCGAGAAATGGAAAGACTTGAAGATGAAACTGGGTACAATGCCGACAATGAGAATGGTCTAAACGAAAACGATGATGTCTTGAATAATGATGTCTTTCACCTGATGTCTCCGACGCTAACGATAATTAGAGAGGTTGAGAGGTTTCTGATTTACGTCGTCGGATGGCTCGTGTGGCGAATGGCTGCCATTGAAAGATAAAGCATGTGAAAGATAAGTGTAATCTTCTTAATTTGATTTTTTTAATCTTTAAAAAATGCTCATTACGCGCAGGGGCGGATCTAAGCAACAATTATTGGGGGGTTGTTAGACACTAATTTTGGTGCCACACCCTTCAGGTCACTGGTAAATTATGGAAACGCCCATTTTTAAAATTCCGTGTTTAACTTCAAGGTAAAGACCATAAGAAGCAGAGGAGAAACTCTTTGCTAACCACACCCTTAAGAATTAAGGAAAAATCCTCATTTTGCACAAGCGTTTGGAAAAGCTATGGTTTTTTTACGTGGCGATTTCGCTTTATACAACGTCATATCTTGCTTTTTGTGGCTGACCCCATTCTACAACTGCCTATTTCCTTGACAATTCATCTAACGCTTACATTCTGAATTGTGTCAGGCAAGGATGTACTACGTGTAAAAACTGATTCTCCGCAATTTTAATCAAATATCTAAAAATAACAAACAGGATTCAAATGTTTTAAACTAATTCCGTTCGCCTTGGAGCAAAATCCCCGACAAGAATTTCAGAATCCAATTTTTTTCAAGGATTGAAGCGCTTTAGCATTTTAGTTTCTATCTTATCGGGATTATCTAAAGAACATGAAAGACTTTTCTATTTAAATCCTATAACGTGGGACAAATTGTTGAACATTCTGTAGAGTTATAAATGAGGGTCCCTGTGCGAGCGAAGCGAGCAGAAAATTTTTGCGACGACGCCCTTCAGATTAGCTTGAAATACATTTCAGAATATTTCTTACAGTCGTTTGCAGTCTTTAAAAACGTTTTAATATTGTCTGAAATATAGAGTTCCCTTTAAGGTACTAATTCTATTGCAGATTTGTACTATTCTCAGACATTTCTGAGCGGCCGCTCCCCTACCCTGGATGCCAGAGCCTTTAGCAATTCCTTCCCCCGTTCTTCATCCTTTGGCTCTCTGAGGCTCTGGCACCCAGGGTACCGCTCCCCTTGCCTCCCCCCGCTACGCTACTGATAAGAAGATAAATGCTGATATTAAGGAGATAAATCAAGTAAAATCTTGGCGTTAATTTGTTACTGCTGACTACCAAAAAATGGCTTTTGCCGAAGGAGACAGAAATATTGGGGGATGTCGCACCCCCTTCTCCCCCCCCCCGCTAAGTCCGTCCCTGATTACGCGAGAACCTCACATGCAAAAAATATAAGTGGATGGACGATTAGAATTTAGAAAATTGCATTATTACCCCCTGGAAATGACGTCATCAATCATCAAAACTGATTTTTTCTAATAAAAATGCACATCAATAAAATTGATAAAATTTCAGTCAACATAAATGACGAAAATTAGCCCCTTAATATATACATTTTTGTTTGTGATGAATGTTTGCCTGATAATATCTAAGACTAAAATACTGATGACGTCATCATTTACGACCCCCTACATTGGTAAAAAAATTAAAAGGCTTGATGTACGTCGCATGTTCTAAATAGCTAAAATTTATAGAGAAATTTAAGGCTATTTGGTTTTGTGATTGATTTTTCACCTAAAAATGGATATCGTTAATGGTGACTTCATCATTTACTAGCTTCCCTGGGAAGTTACAAAAAAGTCAAATATGCTAAATACCCTTTATATGCTAAATAATCAAAATTACTTGAGAGATTTAAGGTTAGGTACTTGGTTAGATTTTTGTAATAATCTCCCTGTTTAAGTGCCTCGGAGTGAGGAGCAACATAAATCGCCTTTTTTTTGAATTCTGGCTAAAGCAACATAGGAATTACTTTTACCAATGTACCAATGCTCCGCCGAACCCCAATGTAACTACAGAGAACGCAATTGCAAACTCTTGGTTGCGTAAATGCATTTTTAATACCAAATAATCATATCACAAAAAATACTGTTCCAAGATATCACCCTTCCTTCAACATATTCTCAGTTCCAAGATATTACCCTTTCTTTACCCTGGGTGCCAGAGCCTCAGAGAGTCAAAGGATGAAGAACGGGGGAAGGAATTCTCCTTCGCATTTACTTTCCCCCGTTCTCCAACTTTTGACTCTCTGAAGCTCTGGCACTCAGGGTACCCTTTCTTTAACAATTCAGTTTTAACACAAAATCGACAGCTTAAGAGTCCCCCTCCCTGGCGCTGCCTTTGCGATTACATTTTTTTAGATACTTTTTTCTAGATTTTGAATCAATCAATTGAATCGAAATTCCCTTCTCATTCGCTTATCGTAAATCTTTGATAAGAGTGGCAAAATTTCTGCGAGTGGTTAGCAATGTATCTATTTGTCGAAATTATGAGCACGAAGAGCTCAACCAATATCATTTAGGGCTTTGTAGGTTGTTACAAGCAAAAAATACGTTTTTATGCTTTTGGCATACGTAAGATTAACAAGCGTGCCTTGAAAAGCTTTCTTACACTTATGCGCAATTTTCCACACGCTAATAAGTTTATTCCTGGGTAGACGAGTCTTTTAGTTTCCTACTGTTTAAGGCTATTATTTCATCCATTTATCTGAGCCAACGAGTAAATCCATCATTTCCACATACGCATTTGAGTGAATGTTTATGGAAAAAATTGCATCTCATGGCGCTTACAGCATTTAATCAAACTGTATCACTAATCCAACTATATTTTTTTAACAACAATTTCTCCGTAGAAATTTTATTAACAGTGAAATGGATTATCATATACACACTTAATGATAACAAAGTAAGCGCAAATTGTAGCGTGAAAGTTAAAGGAAATTAGTTGCTGAAACTAACTTTTATGGGTTTTGCGTTTTTGTGTGAATCCAAGAGCATCTTTTTGCAAAAAACCAATTATAGGTTAATCTGCAAAAGTGGACTAAAGCATCTTTTGAGCTCCTCATAACAATAATTTCAATTTATAAAGTTTTCTTTAATCTTTAAGAATTTTAAAAGACTTGCTTGAAAAATATGGCTAAGTATGTCAAATACCTTACATCCTTGAAGTTTCGCTAATTGGAAGTACTTCTGGCTCAAATATAAATTATCGCCAAACATCCAGACCTATTATCAGTGAAACTAATTGTATATCGGTGAAAAATAATTTTCCCCGCAAATCAATTTCCTTTTGGCAAATAATTGTTCTTAGTGTAGTGTAGTAACGTATGTATTAATATAAAGTGTTTAGGACCGTCATGTGACGACCACTGCATTCGGAAAAAATACAAGGTATACACCCTTTCTTTAAAAACAATTTTATAAGAAAAAGAGCCTCCAAATTGGTCAAAATCTTAGAACAAATTAAGAACAAGCTGAGGCTGAGCTACTATAAAATGCAATTTTCAACAACGTTTTATCTCAAAAACGAGGATATTTAGCCATGTGTGGGTGCTTTTCTGGCGATTATTCAATTTTTTCGGCAAATGAAGTTAGTCTGAACACCTCCTTAGACAAAAAAAGCTAGCAATCACACTGCTTACACCCTATCAATTTAAGAGCAAATTAAGAACAATTCAACCTCAGATTTTCGAAAACTATAAAAAAATCATCCAGAACCTAAATTTATTGGTTGTTATAAAAAAGAGTGTACTGCGGATACAAGACGCTATAGTAAGTTATAAGGCTGAAATGTTCAATCGTCTGCATCTTTGAGATTTCCATTTTCTGGCGCCTCATAGCCGTTAGCTTGCTTGTTATGGCAATTTATTTGCAATATTTTGAAAAAGAAAGTTGACTATGACCAACCATGACCAACAAAGAAAAAGAAAAACTTCCCAATCAATTCTAAGGTCCCCTCCCCCCCTCCAATTTGTCCATCCTCGCCACAGATTTTATTGGAGATGTGAAAATAACGTAATTGATTTTAACTGTTCATGTGCCTATGATGCAGATTTTTGAAAGCCAGAACCTCCGAATAAATATCTCACCAACAATTTAGTATGGTGGCTCATAGCTGCTGCCACCATTAAATATTGTACGAATGTGAATGTGAAATATGCAAAAAGATTTGCAAAAAGTGATGGAAATGATAAAACCCTATTAGATCACTTCTATCTTTTTTTAAAAGTTGACACTGACACACAACTTCCAAGTGAAATACAACTTCCATTGGAATTAGAATAGAGTATGAAAAATTTAGCTTCATGTTTCCTGGGGAAAAATGCATTCTTACTCCCTACTATTTACAGCCCTGGACTTGCCTGCGGCCCTTTGACCTAGGCAGGCGATATCTGATATTCAAGAGTTTTGCGATCAAATCACTTTAGGTAATCTTAGCACTGTTTCACATGTCTTGCCGTGCCGTACCGTGCTGCACTGTACCGCATCGCGCATTACCGTGCCGTGCCGTCAAATGAACTTTGGTTAAACTGTTGTTTATGTTCTCTTATCTTATCTTGATTTTAACTGTTGTGGAAATCCTTGCATCATGAACCTGGTTTAGAGGGAGCCTTATGAAAATCTCACAAAATTTGAAAAATTAATTCTAAAAACTATTTGAAAATATGTGACAACATATAACAATAGCAGCCTATCTTCAGCTGTAGTTGCAAAGATATTGATTGTTACTGTCAAGCAATACATTCCTGAATATGTTGCGGTAGGACACCACTGGAATTAGTACCAGGCTGACTGAGACGCGGGCCTCTTGCCGCAGAGCACGCGACGGGCGAACCGAGAGCAAATTTGGTTCCATCCTAGTCGCGCTATTCCCAACTAGTTGAAAATAGGGGAGATTATGTCAGTGCATAGTGCAATCGTATTGGACAAATGATTGCGCGATTGGTGACAAATGATTTCCATTAAACGTATTCAACGCTAATTGTGCAGTCCTGATGTCTCACAAGACACGGCGAATTAGTATATTAGCCGCAAAAATAGCAACTTAATAGCAAACCAATCAATAAGAATTTGCATTCCACCTAGAGGTACTGTGCTAGACATGCGGTTACGCTGCGAGTTTTAGAGACAGGTTCCGTATTAGACGCTCTGTGTAATAAACAAAGCTTAAGAAAAATATTCTTACTTTTGCTCGATTTCGGTTCTGACTCCTCAGGGACACTCTTCTTGCAATCAAGCCGATGGTTTAGTGTAGAGTAACCGAAGATTTTGTTATTTAGTTGTAGATCGCTTGAGTAGCCAAGGTCATGTTTATTGCTTAAATGGTCCAAGACAGAAATGACTAGCAGAGAAGAAACCTTCTGGTTAGAATTTGATTAAAGGTTAAATTACCTTGTATTTATATGTTTATGCTGTATGTATTCAACAATAAGAGAATGAGTGGCGATGTTAATGGAAATTAGGGATGACCATGAAAGCATACAACGAGACTGGCTTAAACTGGCAGGATTACTCTCCTTTTAGCATTTAATATTACTAAGTGACGAAATGAATCGCCTTTGGGGTTTTGACCGCAATTGGTTTACCTATTGTTATTTATTCAGAATCCTAGCTCTTAAGAGAACAATTTTAGCTGTCGGAATTAAGCCACCAGTTTCTATGTTGTCTGATCCGAAACTCTGAAAAAAGAATTTAAAACCAAGTTATTCGCTCCTGTTAGCAACGTACAAACCCTAATCAGGTTTACTGTTTGGCAATCCACTGATTCAATTTGTGCCTAAATTCAGTTCAGCAAGTAACACATTCCATATCAATGTTGAAGTCTAAAATTGAAACACATTTGTCGCTCATTGCTGATTTATAGTCTGGTGTTATGAAAACATGTCTTTGGCATATTAGATTTTTGTGGCCTTTAAACGAAGCTAATTCTCATTGACAGTAAACGAATTTTGACTTAATTTTTATTTATTTTCATGACGTCATTGAACTATATTTTGACAATCTTTTTAAATTTTGATGACGCAGAACAAGATCTTAAATAACATAAAACAGTCTAGGTATCATGAAACATTCGAACCCAACCAATACTTGCTGAGATTTGGCAAATTGAACTCATTTATTTTCTCTATAAAATCATTGAAGTTTGTTCTTTGTTCGAAACTCTTACAATGTGTAATAGAGCTTCAAGAAGTTGAAGAAAAAAAGTACCGGGGAAAAATTTTGAGCAGGAGAAATGGAATAAAATTGAAAAAATTAGACATTGGATCCTCTGTTCAACAAATTCCTTTCAAAATCTTCTTTTTTAGAATCCCATTTCTTTCTCAATTCCCCTTTCAAGCACTTACTTTCTTTGACTCACTAAATCTCCAGTACACAGAACTCTAAACTTAAATGAGCCAGGTCACAAGTACAGTTCTTCTTTAGTAAATTGTAGCTCTTTCAATAAATATTTGTCAATAAATTTGGATGATTTTACTAAAATTGCACATTAAGAAGGGTTTTGTAGTGCTCTTTTACTCATTTTAGAATGGTACGGTCAATATTTAAAGATACTGAAAATGTACTTTTTCACGTAATGAATCTTTAAATTCATGCATTCACAATCATCTATCTATTCAAGATGCCAGTGAATAGCCAGTGAATACCAGAACTTTGTGGCTAAGGTTGGGGCCTGTTCATATGGAGAAAATCATCTCACCTTTCAGCCTGTGAGCTGAGAGGTGAAACCCCACCCTTCTATAGAACCCTTTGTGTTTTTCTTTTTGCGTTAATATAAAAAACAAGACAGCCCGGTTAAGTGAGATCCAACTGCATGAAAGGCTGGATCTCACTGAGGTAGAATGATTTTTTTCCATATAAACGCAGGAAGGTGGGATGAAGCTGGACGATTTTTATATAAACGCGATCTAGTTTCGTCCCACTTGTCAGCACACAGGCTGGAAGGTTGGATGATTTTCTCCATGTACAGCTGGAAGGTGGTATATGATTTGCATGTAAACATTCGATGATTTCATCCCACCTGCCAGATAATGGGCTGAGAGGTGGGACAAATTTGCTCATGTAAACAGACCATTAGTTTGTTTATGTAAGGAAATGGAAAATTTAGGGAAAGGCTCGAAACGAGAGTGCTTGGAAGCGAAGGTTAGCGCGGCATTCTTGAGAGAAAAGCAGGGGCGTTGTGGCTCCTAGAAAAGGGCCGAGAGAGAAAATTATCATTAGGAGGCCCGCTCCTTTGTTTGAAATCTCTAATACAGCTACAGGTCGCCGAAAATTGTACCTACCTGGAAACAATGCGCCAAAATTACAAAGATGCTAGTTTTTATTCTTTTTAAATGTTCATTTGCTGTGTTTGTTGGGGTGTTTCCCCTTTTTTCTTACCATAGTTTCTTTAAGATTGCAAATAATGTGAAACAAATCCAATGCTGTAGTGCACAGTTGATACAAACAAAGCAAATTGAGAGAGCACTTACATGCACTGCTAGGTAAGCGATTTGAAATTTTTTTGCGGCCACGCCCTCTAAATTAGCTTGAAACACATTTTAGAATGTTTTTTATAGAAGCATACCACGTTTTGCATTTTTTAGGCATATTTTGTTGCCTTTCGTTAAAATTCAGTTCTTAAATTGGAATTCCTTGCTAAAAGGGGACCAATAGACCTCGAGGTCCAGTGGCAGCTTACCCCTACTTGTCCCCCTCTCGGCGGCCCTGTTCATATTCAACGCATCTCTTTCACAGAGGCCTCTTTCTATATGTTGACCTCCTCTAACTGTGAACTATGAACTTGAGTCTATATGGAAGTGAGGCGTTTTCTCAACAAGGATTTTGTTTATATTGAATAATTTTCTAGGTTTCACAAACTCACTTGAAAGGGGCCCACCGGGAAATTTCCCGGTGTCCCACCTGGCCACAACGCCTCTGAAGAAAAGTCATGTTATGAGCTACCTCGAAGTAATAAGAAATTTTACATAAAATTATTTGATAGTCTCAGCATGAATTCTTAAAAAATGAATATTTGACGTAATTGTACAGCAAATTTATATTTGGCTTTAGATTTTCTTGTTCAACAGATTCAGAATCTTTCCTTCTATTATGTCGCAACATGTCCGCATCGTTGGCTTAGAATAATCTTGTTTTCAATTTTCGTGGAATATAAATAATATCTTGTTGTAATCAAGAAAGAAATTGTGTAATAGAGCTCTCATTTTACTACCCTTTCGTAAACCAGTATTTTCAAAATAGCGAAATCATTTTCAATATCTCAGACTTGGACTTTTTTAAAATCAGAAATTACAATTTCTGATGGCAGGTCCATAATTATTCAAAGTGCCATCTCAAAAAAAGGATTCAGATACGTCGCCATTTTATCACAAGAGTTTCTTTTCCTAATCCGTGAAGAATTGCCCCTTGAGCTTTTACACTCTTTGGCTAACTGGTCGACAAATTTCAAATTTGCAAGTACCCAAATGGTTGGCTCACCAACTTCGCCTGTAAATTGGACCTGAAAACCCCTCTTGAGAACAAAGCTAGGTTACAAAAATGGAAGCATTTTTCCTAACCTATCTGCATCTTTTTGAAAAGTTTCCGTGCAACTTAAAAACATCCATATCTGGCTAGGTCAGGTTCCTTCGATGCATACAGAAACAGATCCACATGGAGCAAATATATTGATAACATGTTGTTTCTATACACCAACCACCTGCACCATCGAATCATTTTTCTTATAACGCATGTAAATTTACCCTGGAATAAGACAGCAGACAGCAAACTTTGATTTTGAGATTTTTTATCAGATTTGCCTTTCTTTGCTCTGCACATGCACAATTCTTTCCTAGGTGTATACTCTTCTTGACAAATAAGTGCACAGCTGCAAGGTTAGAGCGCTAATTTGATAGAAAAAGGTTACTTTCATCAAGTGAAATTGTGATGATCAATTTTCTTGGCTTGCTTATCTTCTACTCTGGAACACGTCATAGTTTGGCACTACACAAACACAGTTCAACTTTTTCTCAATTGCAAATCCCAAGCATGGGTCATGTCAACCTCAAAGAAATTATCTTGCACGCTTTCCAAATGATTATTATCAACACATTCTGCAAGCAGGATTATTCTATTCTTGCATAGGCAAACATTATAGATGCTCTAATGCCATACCCTTTCCACAAAGCAAAACATTATTCTGGCTGTCTTTGAGAAGCAGCAATTTTTATAGACAAGTATATTAAACTCTTCAGCTTGATTAGATGTTTAATTAGAAAATAATGCATCAATTTCTGTGTTGCAATGGTTGCTTTGCGTGTCAAAAAAAGCTTAATGCTGTTTTATATATTAGATGGAGATTCTCTAATGCTGTTCTATATATTAGATGGAGAAATAAATTTTGCCACCGAGGTAGAGCTACCCAAGATTGGAAACGGCAACTTGATAAAAGAAACCTTTTTAAAAGTTCCAAAGGCTGGAAATGATAATTTGAAAAGATTACCCAAGACTTAGGTAGCTTTCCTGATAACATACCAAAACTTGGAGACTTTGTAAAATACACCTTCAATGCAAAAAACCTCAAAAAGCTGTTAAATTTATGTCGAAAATTTAACAAATGTAATCTATATCTTGAGTATTCTAAAGGAACAAAACTAGAGAATAAAACACTTGATGGTGGTCAACAGGTACACCCCCATCTGACTATAACATGCTGACGGTCTGAAAATGCATATTTATGCTGAACTTAATGAACTTAATCAGTGGGTCCGTTTGGTTAACACTGTATTTGTTGTTTCCAAATTTCTGATTGCTTGTTTTTGGCTTGTAGAATTTTATCTAAATCTTTCTGCCTATACGATTTTTTAACATTGAAAATTTGTTGGCATTACTTACAGGCTAATAACAAGTGCAGAAATTGCTGCATTCTGAGAACTACTATAAAAATTACGATGAGCCTGATCCAAATAGCAACTCTCAATACTTGCTATATTATGAAAAGTTTATAGTTGTATTATTTGAAAGATCTTTAATTACATTTGCTTGCCGTGTCAATTGGATCTATAATAAATATAAACTTTAACTTGAATCTTTATTCTGAATGCAGACGTTGGTAGATTTCCTATCCAAAACCAAGGATGGATAGAATCTTGGTATAAATAAAGAGTTGGCATTTATTTATAAGCCATAACTGAGAGTTGATAGGAATTCATGACCCAAAACTGGGGTTTGCAAGTCCCAATCCCCCTGTCTTGGGTAGCTTCACACAGGGAGGGTATTTTGCCAGGAAATAAAAATTGAACATACACGTCATGGGTTTAAATGATGCGCCTTAATCAAATCTAATTGCAAAGGTAAATCACCTTGCAAGAAGCAGCCAACGAAGAATTCAGAAATTGTGACTTTGAGAACTTGTTTCTTTTAAAGCATTAAACATGCTGGCAAAGCATCTTGATTTGGTAAGAATACTTTTTCTTTTTGTTGCGGAAAATAGCAGTTAATGTTGCTAGCTCAAATAATGTTAAAAATCCAGCAATCATTTTTATCACCTCTTACCTGGTTTCCGTGGAAATGTACGGCTAAATCGAAATGTATTCTTGACAGAAATGTGAGCTGCATAAAGGAAAATTTACCTGTTAAATGTGTACTGATTGTGTGCAGGAACCTGTTTTATTCAATATTTGTAAAACCTACCAGAATTCTTCTTTTATATTGGGATGTTTGGAATCGTTTGCATACTAGATCCGGTGTTTGCCAAAAAGCGGGGTCTGAATGATTCGAAGTAACAATCCTGTTCCATTGTATTGAAAAAAGTTTAAATTTTCGTGCTATATTAAGCATGCATACTAGATATAACTAGGTTTCATAAAAGAACTGATGAAGTTACAAAATTTGAATGAAAGCTTTTCACTGTTTACTGATGATTTAGCAGACAAACAGCTCGGAAGGTGCTTTGCTAAGGAAGGTTTAAGGCTTTTTTTAACTTTTCGATAAGCAAAATCGTGGTTGAGACTCCTAAACTTCATTTCACACCTAGTCAGTTCATGGCAAGTTGCAAAAGCTGGATAAAACCGTTTGTGAAAAATCGCTTTATCAAAACTATTTTTGTTTATCAGTGTTTGTTCATGCATTATACATAACATCGTGTAATTGTGCTTCTCTCAATTTGTTTGATGAGAAGGAATAAGATTTGATTGCATCAAATATTGGTAAGTATTGATTGCATCAAACGGTTATTCATTTTTACCAAAGTTAAGATGCTGGCAAACGAGAGCATAAAGAAATTGCTGGGGATGACAAAGATTGACACCTGGTATGCTAGCTAGAATATATCTCTTAGAGAAAATGTGTAGAAAACTATTTTCAAAATCTTTGCATTGCTCTTTGGTGAAATTTTGTGTACGGTTAAGACAAGTCAGCTATTTCTTATAATCTGGCAATAGCTACATACTTATCGAAGCTACCATATAACATTGATATTCTCAAAAAACAGCTTTTTGATGAAAGCTTGATATGACTTGTGAATGTGTGCAACCATACATACAGGGCCGTTGAAACCGGGGGATTTGGGGAATGGGACCCCCCAATAATTGTCAAAATGTATAATTATTAATAAAAGTGTACTGAGTGAGAAGGAATACAATGGGCAGCCGCCCCATGCTCCCCCCCCCTCGTATTTCCTTCCGATGGCACTGTGATGTAATGTAGCGTGTCAATTAGGGTTTCCTCTAACGCAAATATATATCATCATAAAATTTTATATTTAATTTACAAAAATATCAGAGATATTTGATTTCATCCATGAGGCAGTTTGAAAAGATTAGATTAGTTTCAACGGACGAGGGACATTTAAAGAGCCAATTCAGACTTCTGGCTGTACAAATGCAAAGATGATCTTCATAGATTACATGTATTCATCAATTGCTTTCTTAAATTTTGTGTTGCTTAAGTTGGTGATTATGGTCGATACCACTTTGAAAGTTATTGTGTTTCCTATTGGCTTGCCAACATCAATAGACCTAAGCCGACCCGTGTGGTCCCATGCAACTAATGTGGAATTCAAAGATATCAAAATCGTCTGAAAATCGAGTGACACTTACAGCTTACAGACATGCTATCAGTTCTGTGGGGCATTTTGCAGAATTATCATTTCTTTGAAGAAAATCCTGAAACAAGAAAAAGTAATATTTGTTATCCTTTTGAATTGTTGATGACTAATAATAAAGCTTCGAATAATAGTGTCACCCGTAGGGGAAAGCTCCTTGCTCTTCGCTTCGAATTTCCTAGGCTCTTGTTGTTCCTTGATGAAGTGAGAGAATCAAGGGCGCAGGAGCCACTGGGTAGAGGGGCAAGTAGGAGGCAGCATGGGGAACGCAAAGTGTCCTTGTCAAGAAATTGATTTCGAGCAATGTTAATTGATAATATAATCTAGGTATTAAATGTCTCTTGATACCTCTCTACCTATCTACGAAAGTCAATGATGTTGACAGCTGAAATCAATTTGCAAAGCAATTTGAACAAAAATTGATGATCGTTGATCATTCCAACAATGTTGACTTGAATATGTTCGAGATATCAGTCAAAGGATTGAAAATCTCTTTACTTGAAGACATTTTATTCAAGACGTTTTTTGGATATATCTTTATACGCTGCATGGAAAGCCGGAAAATCCTATATGAAGATAATTTGGCTCTAAAGCTTGACTTATATTTAGTTTACTATAATGGGCCCCAAAACACTACTTTCAATAAGGGCCCCCAACTGCTTCGTTATGGCATCTACCTAAACGTCTATCTAAGGCTCTTGACTATTTTGCCTTGCTTACTTTACAGTCATGCGCTTGAAGATGCAACCAGGAAGATAGTAGAATAAAGTTTGTTCCTTTAGAAGAATTGAGTCGGATAACAAGCTGGAGTGCAAATTCAGTAGGGATTTTGAAATGACAAACTCAGAAGTGATTATACAATAATGCTGATGTTCTTGATAATTACAATGATGCTGAAACAATCTTTGTGACAAAAATTGCATCAAAATTGTCAAGTAATAAGCCCAGAGGACCTGTACTTTATTTAAAGAACAAAATCATTCAACTTTCAATACTCGAAGACGAAATTTTACAAAAGTTTAATGGCATCAATTTTTCTCTACCCAACTCATTTTTCTTTTGTGCCTATCCCTGTTCACCAAGGAACGCTTCATTATATGAATTTTTCCAGAATAAGGACATCAGGGAAATTTTACGGAAATATGTTAAAAGATTCTCAAGCAATCAGTAAAAAATGTTAAGGAGACTTTTTCTTGTTACACCATCATGTAAAGGGATAAATATTTACACAAGTGATTTTATGCATACGATGCAAAGGTCATCTGGGGAGAAATCTGGTCTATTTTTGATTGCAGTTTTATTAGAAAAATGAAAATTTTTGACGGCATTAGAATTGATGACAAGATTTAGAGAAAAATTGCGGAAAACCCAAATACGGCAATCAACTACATACAAAAATAAAGAGAGATTAAAACTGCGCTTTTTTCTTCAATCTTTCATGTCCATTGTACTTATTTTCCATTTTACGAAATCGGCTCCGATAAAGTTATCATTGAGCTTGAACTTGAGAAAGCTGCACAAAATCTCACATTAATTACTTTTATCTCATCAACGTGCGCGGTGAAACTTACTCAAAAACTTTAAATTATTGATAAATTTCGGAAACATTAGAATTTTCAAATGCACAATAAAAACCTTTATAGATTAGTAGCAAGAGTGTTCTTATGCAATCATTGCAATGCATAAGTTGAAATCTCTTTGAAGATATCAACTGACGAGAGCAGGAATTGAAATTGTCGGCATCTGCAATTGAAAGAAATAAGTTTCGCAGCCTATTTGTGTGATCTATTCTTTTCTCATGCTGACAAGTCAACTTTAATTAAGAATCAATCAGTTGATGTCGTTCTTAGCTTTGCGGGAAAGTATGTAATATCTTTTTTTTGTTTAAACAACATACGCCGAAGAGTATCTGTCACCCTTATGTTTTCTAAATACAGAGATATCTTTTATTTTGTTCCTCTATTCCTATTTTAAAGATAAAATCTCAAATGAGATGTTTTTTTTTAATTTTTATATAAAGAAGCTGGTAAATTTAGCAAGAATGTGCATGAAACAAAGGAATGAGAAAAAAAGGCAATGGTAATTAAGGCAGCATATGAGCAGAAAGTTTATTTGGAGTAAGCAAATAAGTTCCTGAGAGAACAAAAAAGCCAGGGAGAAGTAAATTAAGCAAGCAAGTACGTATTACTCGCTTACGATGGTCATGAATGTATAATTAGCAAATGGCTCTTTTGCACAGTTCCTTCTCAGTCTCACCAATGTTCCTTTCGCGTTCCTTTTGCTCCGCATCTGGATATAAGTTTTCTGCCTACCAGTGGCTATTATCCGACATTTGCACTCTGGGCATTTTCGGACGAAATAATTGTTAGAGGTACTTTAGTATATTATGATTCCGTGCTCATAAATATTTTTCACAGAAAGAGTGAATCTCTGTAATGGCTTTGTTACCAAATTGATTCATTAGCAACTCATTTATTCTCCCATTCAAGTGCTTTCTTTGTTGCTTAACACCCTACAAAAGTCTTGTTGGGAAATCTACAAAAACTAGACTTTGCTTGTATTTAATAGAAAGCATTACTTTATCCTTCTTTACAATTTTGCAACAAAATTTAGTCCGTTGGTTATTCAAAATAGGATCTCCTTTGCCGAGCAGGTTGAAAATTGCTCCCACAAATTTTTTTTGCAGACTGTTGAGACAAGATGAACTGATCGGGTAGTAAATGTGAGACTATTTGCAGCCCACCCTTAAAGTGTACGTTTAGCTGTATATCAACTCCTTCTTTAAGTAATGCTGATCAATCAATTTGTTTTTACAACTAATAAAGTAGTTTTCTGCATGAACAATTGATGCAGATTGTTATGAATTTGCTCCTGGTTGTGTTCTGCTATTGATCCAGTATATATCATTTCATTGCAGATTTGTGTAAAGGATGAACAATAGTGTTACCGATAATTATTCTTGAAGTCTGTAAGAGATTATTCTGAGAAAAATTCTAACTTAAGTTGGATGTAAGAAATTCCCTTGACTTGGAACGCTTATTTTGATAAGAGATTGATTTTGTTGAATTACAAAAGGACTTGTCACGTTATTGTTGTATTATACCTTGTAACTGGTTTTTTTCTACTTTGGCTCAAACCAGTCACAACAAAAACAATAGTTTCATAGCAATTTCAAATAGTCAACAACATTGAGCATTAAATATATGGAAAATTAAAATGCTGTCACATTCCTAAAATACCCACAACCAAAGCTATTCTCAAAAGCACACTGAAAAAACATGAACAAATTAGAAACATACTTGGAGTTACCTTTTCGCTTTTTCATTTATTTTCTAAGAACATCATAATAGTATTGAGCATCGACCTGTAACATTTGCCAAATCTTTGCAGCTTTGCTTTACATTGCGTTGATGTCACTTTATCGCAATCAACTTTTGATGAAGTTTCCTTCAACTTTCCTGTTTAGCCATGGACAAACATGCATTTCTTTGCATATTTCCTAGTACCCAATCACTGAAATAAGCACTTGTGTAAAGAGTATTTGAAGAAGCAGGTCAGAATCCAGATATGGAAAGTGAAAAAAGAAAGGCAACAGACACATCTTTCTGATTTGTCTGTTTCGATCAACAGTTGGGCAATTTTCTATCATTATTCTGACATTTCATACGTTGAATGTTGTCAGAAGAAATTTGGTTTAGAACCGAAACTCACTTTGACGGAAAGAGCTCAGGCCTGGTTCAAACGTCGCGCTTCTCATGTGCCGAACCTAACTCGAGAAATAAGTACATGAGGGGCGCGACGTTTGAATCAATTTGGTACGGCAGATTGAGTTAGGAGCGGCAGACTAGCTTGGATCGGCAGAGCTTGCCGAGCTGCACGACTCCAGCACGGCACGGTTTCAAGCGTCGAACTTGTCACGTACCGAACTCAATGCACAATTATATTTAATTTATTTTCCTTCCAAGAATTCATTTCTTTCTTGGAGGGCGCATGTGTCAAACAAATATTTGAGATTGCGCGCCTTAACCAAGATACTTCATGTAACAATCCTAAAACTCATTTGGCGCGACATAATTAAATTCGACGTTTGAAACGAGAGTCGCGCTAAACATGCTCAAGTGTCGCTCAAAACAGAGTTAGGTTCGGCACATGAGAAGTGCGACGTTTGAACCAGACCTTAGAATAATTTACTATTATTTATTACATTTACAGCCACTAAATTGGATAACTCGAACTTTTTCGCCAATGATTATTTCCAAATTAATACATTAACAAATGCTAAATGATAAAGAGTTGAGCGATTGTAACTTAATTTGTTCGCTGTTTGCGTGCATATTTAATATTTTGGTGTCATTTAAACATTAAAACTAACCATCCTTTTCATCTGGTGTCATGGCATCGAATGTCGTAGACGGATCATGGTGGTGCATCTTACCGAGGGGCAATCCATGAAAATCTTTTACACCTTCGGTGGAAATCTGTTTGTTTTATCTTAAAATCTCTGGAAATCCTCTTGTTTTCGTGAAAATTTCGTGTGGTTATTTTTAAGAGTGAATTGCTCCTCGCATCCTCCTATATTTTTCTATCTCTGTGCAATCTAGCCACGTTGTTTTTAATCTCTAACGCCCAAGTTCTTCCTTCATCACGATAAATAAAATTAAAAGGAGAAACCCTTTCCCACAGGCCCATTTAGCTCTGTTAAAAAATAATGTCATTAAAAAGGCCGGCGTCAGTTGCGCAGATAAGCTATGTGATCCAAATTTAAAAGTTATAAATATAGATTTTCATGCTCGGTCACACTCTGTTGCTCGGCGGTATCAGCAGCAACAACAACAGCGACAACAATGACAACAACGACAGCAAACTCGAATTTCAAAAAGCAGCAACGAGGATAGTTTGATAGTTTAGTCATGGTTCTCCTTTGTCTTTTACTGGCTTTAATCATTGGATTCTCCGAGCCAAGGTCCTTTACGATTGATTACCAGAACAACTGCTTTCTTAAAGATGGCCAGCCATTCCGGTATATATCTGGTGGCATGCATTATTTCCGGGTTCCGGAGTTCTACTGGGAAGATAGATTAAAGAAAATAAAGGCTGCTGGACTGAATGCAATACAAACGTAATATTCACTTTTATTTTCTAAACGTTTACATTTATCTCTCCCGCATTATGCAATAGCTTGAATATACTCCAGCCTGAACAAACCCTGCCAGCCTAGCTTGAACCCGCTCATGCTGGCAGGGTTTGTGTCAGGATCAGTATGTGCATTATCAACGAATCCACACTACTGCATCAGTGCGTACACTTTTCCTGGTTAAATCATGGGCTTTATTAACTGGATATATACATATTTCACTTTTACATTCAAACAGCCAAGCTTTCTTAAAAATGGGCTCAAATGTAAGATTGATTTAAGAATATGTAAAATCAGGCATGCAATTGCAGCCGCTATGCTGAGACCTGTCAGTTTTGAAAATGAGGAAGGGAAAATGTTTGGTCATCATAAGCGGATCTTAAACGATCCAGAACGAATCCAGACTCCCACACAACCAAAAGTAGGAACAACTTTTCTTTTGCCACACCCTTGTGTTCTTCGAAAAGGTCTTTTTTGAGCAGGGAATGCAGAAGTGGATGTGTGGTTGTGGGGGGCTTTATTTTTTGCCATTCTATTCAGTTTTATTTGAGAAAGAATTTATAACAGTACATAATCATGAAATAATTCAATCTGGTGCACTTGGGCTGTGCAAATGATTGCAAAAGTGCACAGCACTTTTGACCAGGAATGCAGTGGAAGGAATGCGGGCGTATGAGCAAGCAGAGCATTGTAGTGTAACTGCTACCCTAAATATCACTCTCTAGAAAAAGTTACTCTGCTATGACTGCCCTGGTTGCAATCTGTTATATAGTGAAACGATGTGTCATAGTCACAAAAAACTAACCTGAAGCTTTTGTAGGCTTGCCAATAATTTTAACATCACTTAACCTGTGTGGATTTGCTGTTATCTAGTCACTGTTATCGTGTGAACATGCCTTGTTAGGAATAAGGGATGTTGCTAGGATTTGGAATATAATTGAAAAATTTAAATAAACCAAGAAGTTTATTGCAAAATGTGTGAGAATTCTGCTTTGATGCCTGTGAGCATAAGAAAGGACTGAAATACAAGTGTCTCTCGCAAAATGCCTGTGACTTGGTAGGTCTACATATGCCAGTGGCAGTAGCAAAGTGAGGAAAGAAAGGAAGGGGCAGTCTACCTTTCAAGTTTTATATTTTAAAGCCCATTGTTCAAGTGAGTCAGAAAACTCATTCACAACAATTGTCAGGCAACAATTTCTCTCATTTGCTTCATGTTCTTCACACATAAAACAAGGTTATTGAAGCCATTGCATATATCATAAAGACCTTAATTATTTTATAGGACAGCAGCCCTCTAGCTGCCCCATTACTTAGGAGCATAACCAGGGGCGATATAGAACAAAAGTTGACAGTCGCACATAAACACTACCCAGCAGGCTGTCTAGGGGGCCTCCCTCATGGTCAAGGGTAGAGACATGATAAGGGCCCAACCTCCCCTCTGGGACTGGGGCCCTGAAACGTTCAAATTGTTCAGCCAAACATTTTTCCCTTTTAAAAAGTTTTCCAAATTTTCCAGCAAATCCAAACACGCAATTGAGACAAAATATCTTGAGATTCAGAAGTGCACACTTGCCATGCACCTCCTCTGTTTAGATAGAGAAAATTGGGATTCTTCTCCTTCACAACTTTCAACCTCATCCACTTTCTTCCGATTCCAGCAGTTGTGCGGCACAGTAATCTAACATAGTGTGTAAAGACTTTTTGTGCCGCACAAATATGTGAAAACTTGAATTTTGATTGGTGAGATTTGGTAAAATATTTGCATAACAAAGAGCCCTGCATATTTGTGCAGCACGGACCACATGTTTAAAAATCATACTGTTTATGGTCTAGGCTGGTCTTTGAATTTCTTCAATATTGAATTAAATGGTGTGGCATTGTGTCTGAGATCGACCAAGGTTCGGTCCTGTGTTTATTGTGTAAAGAGAGGTAAATGTATTATCTGTAAGGAGGGAAATGAAAGATTCTGGTAAGAATGATTGCTTTATTTCAATGATTGAAGACTAAAACTAAATTCTGAAAATCTGACGGTCTTCCGTGCGACCTGTGCGACACCCTGAATCTGCCCCTGAGCATAACAACCGAACTATAATCACAGCTCCAAGTCAAAGCAAGTAAGATCTTTTCAATCTGCCTCCTTATCGTATGCTAAGCACAGAATTTGATCATCAATTAACTGTTGTGTTTATTTGAGACATAATAAAAAAGACAAGAAAAAGTTTTGAAGATGCCAAATTGCATGAAAAGCAAGAAAGCTCCACACTGTCATATATATATAACAGATCCAGATTTTGTCTATGATCATGCTTTATTTTCAGGCAAATTTGATCAAGCTCAAACCCTTCTCCATAGTGTGGAGGTGGCAGCGGAAGCAATTTAATCACATGCTAATTCTAAGAAAACCGAATTTATGATGTATAACCAAGAGAACAAGAAACTTCCTACACAGAAAGGAAATCAATTGAAACTATTAGAAGATTTCATGTAGCTTGGAAAATAGATAAAATCATGCAAAAAGGAAATGGATACCTGAACTGGACAAGCTTGAAATGTTTTGAATAAAATGATAAAGTCTAGAAGACAAACCTTTAGATTAATGCAAAGATTAGTTTTTTCGAGCTACTATGGAAGTTGTGCTACTGTATGGGGGCGTTGACAAACCTGGCGTTGACAAAGAAAGTGAGCCACCGGCTTGATGGAAATAATTTGAATATGCTCAGAGCAGTACTTTGAATGTCTTGAAAAATGTCTTAAACCCTGGCCAAACCAGTGCAACATTTTGTCAAACAAACCCCAACATTTTTGGCGACTTTTTGAGATTGTTGAACATTGTTGGATGCAGGGGTGGCCAAACCAAGGCAACTTTTCATCGAACATCTGTCGATTTATCATCAACAGCATCCAAAAAACCTAACCTCATGCATTTATTGAGCATGGCTATGGGACTTGATTAAAAACAAAACAATTTGAAACTTGGTTTATAGCGATGAAGAGAGTAAAAGTATGGTTAAGAGATGCAAGAGTATGTAGAAAGTAGATAAAGAGAAGACACGAAAGGGGGTTATTTGAGAACATAATCTTTCACTTTCTGCTGTGTCTGATGGAAGCTGCCGCGTTTCATAAAACTGATATTTCCTTTGATGATAAGTTTCTGTCTTTTGTAAGTCGCATTCACAGCTTCCTGAACATACCGCGCTTGCGCGAACGTGATTTTGTTGGACAGGGTGCCCAAACCATCCCAACATTGTCCAACATCAACCAACATTTTGATCAACGTCAAACTTCGTCCAGCATCACCCAACATATAACATTTTTAATAACGATCAATGTAAGTGATTTGTACCAGGAAAATTCTTTTTAAATAAATAGCGACGCTTCGAGCATAGCCCGTTATCAAGTAAAATTGAAAAGCGATGATAGAACTAAAAAACGTTAAAGGAATATGGAATTCGACAAATGGAATAGGAAGACGGATATAAGAGCATGGAAAAGAAATATGTATATAGAAAGAGCTAATGATAATGTTATGTAGAACTGCTGTAAAACTGGTAATACATTTTTTTAAAAGTTCAAATTGCTAGGAGCCAAATTTAAGAAACCTTTTACAAGAAAGGGAGATGATTTTAAATGAACTTTACACGAAGTTAGAAAATTCAGCTGAAGACCCTAAAAAATTCTGAAAACTAATCAAAAGCAACGTTAGTTATAACTTCTTATGCAAGGGATGGGTTAGAGATAAGCCCTCGCTCTTGCTATGAGCCTTTAAACAATCTTCCAAGAAAAGGTTTAGATCTTAAATTTCATCCTTGCCCGAAATTATGTCAAGCATTATGATTCGATTGTGCTGTTGGTGATGCAAACATCCCTAAAATGAATGATCCAATAAAGACAGCTGTGGTTGAACAATAGAAAGCAAGAGCAAAGCTTGTGGTATATATGGCATATTGAATGTGGTTGTTATGTTATGGAACGATAGGATCATTGCTTTCCTAATGAACTGTGTGGCCAGAGTTTTTTTGCGTGCATTTAAGATGCCCGAGGTGAAGGAATAATCGTATCAATTTTAAGAAAGGTTGCAGAAACGATCCTTATAATTATAGGGGATTTTCTCTTCTCTCAAATTTTAGTGAAATTTCACAGGTGTGCTAAACAAGAGAATCATTTGATTTTCCAGACAGAGAACGCTCATTGGTGGGTACCAGGGCGGATTCCGTGAAAACATGGCAATAGCTGATAATCTTTTTCTACTGAAAGCATTAGCTAACAAACAGCTCTTACGAAAAAGGGGCAATTGTACTGTTTGTTTGTGGCCTTTCCAAAGCGTTTGTTACTGTGAACCACTGGATACCTGACCTATGTTTTGGTCGTATCTAGATTCCATAGAAAAACTTTAACGAGTGCTTAGAGATATCTATGCAGACATGTTTTCTTGTGATAAGACTGCAAAATGAGTTAGAAAATCGCTCCAGTGTGACACAGGTGTTTGATAAGGTTCCATGTTGAGCGCGAGGTTGTTTCGGCTGTGTGTTAACGAGTTAGATTAAATGCTGGGCAGGAAGGGTTGTGGGGAGTTTATTTTAACCGAACTTAAATTTTTGTTGTATGCAGATAGTGTTGTGCTTTTTGGAAACACAGATTGTTACCTACAGTGCAAAACTAATGTACTTGAAATGTTTCGCGATACATGGGGCATGGCAGTAAACTTAGAAAGAAAAATTATTGTGTTCCGTAATGATGAAAAATTTGTACCCAGAAAGAAATTTCACCATTAGCAAGGCCCGGTAGAAAAGTTACTTACAATTAATATCTGGAAAGAAATGAAAAGAAAAGAAAATATTTAAAGAAAGAAGAACAGCTTTAAAATACACAGAATAGCTGAGAAAAGGCACTGGGTTAACAAATCAAAAACTGCTGAATGGAAGGTAATAGATAATAGAGGAGAATCAAAAGATAATAGAGGAGAATGGCAGGAAATATGGAAGGAAGTTCGACAAAACCTTTGAATAAATAGTTAACTTACTAGAGCAAGTTGAAAATTTGCTTTTACCACAGTTTGACAGACTTCAGTAGATGAACAGCCTAGATATATGCAGTTTTCAATAGCTGGATTTGCGAGTTGAGCTATAACAAGCGAACGAACTGAACACATGGTTTTGTTCCACAGTCGTGTTTTGAAAGTCGGCTGAAAAAATGAAGCGATGGTGTGAATTGGTTAAATTTTAAGATTGGATGAAAAGCAAGGGCAAGTTGGTAGGAAATGTTTATAAAGAGAAAGATGAAGTTCGTAGAGCTTATTTTTAGGGCTTATTTGACTGGCTAGAAAATCTGTTGGTCGAAGGGACCATTGATGATAGTAAGAAAGCAGGGTAAAGACAGACGAATTCGACAATAGATGTGATGGAGTAGCCCGATTTGGGCATTCTGGGTGAGGAAAGCAGAAATTTCAAGTAGCAGATCAAGTTCTTTAGATGACATTGACAACCAGCGTAATATTGTACCTGAACTTTGAACTCAAACTTGAACTGAAAACCTAGAGCACTAGAACCCTAAACTGGAAGCCAAAATGAAGGCAGACACCATAGTGGTATAATGTAATAATACAGCAATTCAAAGTATGACTTCTTTTAAAAATACTCCAAAAATTTTTGTACTAGCTTTTTTTAACTATACTTTTGAAATGTATACAGTAATTCACATTGTTCGTGCATGATTACGTAAATTTTAAAAACTTTTAAGTGGTTTCACCGTAAAAATCGTTCCAGAGAAAATCCGCAGTCCCCATCACAGTTTATTTCTTGATTAATGGGATTCATGGTACTATTCCAAATATGGGACCACGTTTCTGGCGCAACCGGTATATTTGTGAATTGTGTTCAGTTTTCGAAATTTTTTTTGCCATTTTGTGACATGAAATTCAATTTTATCAGCCATTTTGTTATAGAGCCCCAATCAATTCTGTGTCCAAGGCCGCAACAGCTATGCATTCCTTATGTTAATTATGAAAATTTATTCATGTTCATTTCCTTTTCACTTTAGTTATGTGGCATGGAATGTTCACGAGCCCACACAGGGGAAGTATGTATTTGAAGGAATGTATGATGTAGAGAGCTTCATCAAGTTAGCTAAGGAACAAGGATTACTGGTCATTGTAAGGGCAGGTAAAATGCCTTTTCTGTTTAATAAAAATTGATGTAATTGTAAAATTGTTTTGCGTGATAACTTGAACATTATACCTAAACCTCTTTTTGTATTCACTCTTTTGATTAATGGTTGTTGCATGATTATTTGCTATGATTATTGCAACCTATGCTCGATATCTTTCGTCATAATTTATTCAACCTGCTTCGGTATGCCATTAGGAATTTTCCATTGGCAGATAGGAAAAAAGGTTTCAATATATATAAATTGTGACCACTGTGTTTAGCTGTGGATAAACTGCAAAACCCTATTTTCTACAAATTATAGTATAAACTTACATGTTATATTGTATTTTATTTGGCAAACTTTTAATATACCCAATTCGTTTGTAACACAACTCTGTATTTGCCATTCGCACGAAGTCTTCAAACATTGCTTTTTGGTTTCTTTAAGGTCCTTACATCTGTGCCGAATGGGAGTTTGTAAGTTTTGCATTCATTGTGATTCTTTTGTTACAAGATTGTTGATAGTAGTGTCAGAAGTCGAGCTTTTTGAGTGGAGTAACCTTTTTCTTTTCCACTTCCCCGGTGTAGACATGCGATTTCTCAGATTAGATTCCAGGTCATATTGAGTTTTGAAGGGTGAGATCAAAATGGATTATGCTTGTTTAGAAAATAATGAATATCGCAAGTGTGCAAGGCCGTCGCTAGCCATCGAGGGGGGTTTCCAAGTTCCGTTTGCCAACAAAGTGGGTAAACCATCTTTTATTTTCTGACAAAATTGAAATTTGCTGACTAAGCACCTTCTAGATAACAAAAACTCCTTATTTTTGCAACAGAATTGTTCAAGACATGTGTGACATCCCCATTCCTACGATAGCGACGCCCCTAAGTGTATAAATAATTTCATTGTTTCATTAAGAAGACGCTAATTAGATTTTTCTTTATTTTGAGACAAATATCATTAAAACAGTTTCGCGAGCGTTCATTGTCCAATTTCTACTACCAATAAAGAATATCAATTTATCATCTGGTAACCTTTTGTAATCTAGAAGCCTTTGCATTTACATGACCATACCTTCAAATTCCATCTGCTGTTTAATTCACTTTTATCTAAGATTGTTTTCAAATACAATTTGTCTTGGAAGACATTTTGTGAATGGATATTCAAGGCTTAGTTGTATTGATACGGTAGAATAATGTATCAAACTTTTCTTTGACGGTATTTAACTCGGATAAAAAGCCGACATCTATTTTTGCATTCCGTCCGTGGTATTAACGCTGGGGATTTGATAAGTGTTGCGTTCAAAGTTTTGATTTAAGCTCGGATGCAACATAGATATCCTTTAACATAACGAACAATCCTTTTCATATTTCAGCTGTTGCTTCGTGCTTATTTCTGTTCCCTAGTTCCTTTAGGAGCTGAGAATATCCTTCATTAGATTATACCATGGTTCTTGTTCTGTTGCCAACCATTACCACCGCAATCTGCCTGTTTTTGACCATTTTTGGTTTATAAAATGCAGTAAGGTGTAGCAACATTTTAGACTGTACTATAATTATTAGGACTAGGTAAATCCGTCAATCGTTTACCTAAGCTACTGCTAATTTTCATAAAAATAGAATCTCAACAATGCCGTACTTTTTAATATCAACAAGAGTATGTGTAAACTATCAGCTCACCTTATTTTGCAATAAGTGTATTATTCACATCTTTTTGTTACGTTGATAATTAGAATCAGCAAACACGGTTTCCCAGCTAAATTATTCATCGTTTGGAAACCGTGAAGTTTTAGGATTTAATCTTTAAAAATCGACAAAATATTGACCACAAAATACCGTTACTAGTACAACATTTTAAATATAAGATACCGTTACTCACCTACCTCATAAATTTTCAAACTGTATCTCATAGATAGTCACGATAAGATTTTTCTCGGCCCTGATATTGTTTTTTTTTTAATTTCTCGATGCATGAAGAAAAAAAGCTGATTATGTGCCTCATAATTGCGATCAAATGAATTGTATGTTTTTTTTTAAATTTCCAAGTACAATTTATATAGTTAACAATACCTACTAACCTTAAGAGGCTGTTTTTAAAGAATATAATTAGGAATAGTTGGCTGCTTTCTTCGCTTTTTTGTCGCTTTACAAGGCATATTTTTACAGCTGTCTGCTGCTGGATGCGATATTGTAGTTTGAATGCTCGTATTGCCAAGTTTTTGGTCACGGTCTCCTTCCATTTTGCCATAAAACAGAGCCTGCTTGCAGAATTGATGTTCCTGTGTGTAGCCTGATGTTCCAATAGAAGCTTTTTTTGCTCGTGATAATAACAAAGTAATTTTCAAGGAGGTTTGACTAAAATTGAGAACATTTTTCTTTTGAAGGGAGGATTTCCGGCCTGGTTGTTGAAAAACAAATCAATCATACTACGTTCTTCTAAAGATGAAAGTAAGTATGCGAATATTTGTTTCATATGCGACTTTGCCAGTGAAAAACCTTGTGGCTATTTTAACGAAATATATAACTATTTGCTGTCTTTCCTCTGTCATCCAGGATGTAACTTACCCTGAATATCCACAGTTTTCTCTTACTCGTATCGTAAATACCAATATGCGGTTGTGGAACGGACAGAAGTGCGAAATGAAATTGTCAGAAATAGAGCATTTATCAACATAATGTTGTTGCTTTTGAATGAGGACAGAAGACGTTATCTAAAGATCTCTTCGACGGCGGTAGTCTTCTGGAATCCCCTTTTCCTTGATTCTCCCATAAAATATTGTCAACTTGCTTTATTTGAATCCAGAGTATAACTTTCACAGTCTACCCAGAAGCGTGAGAGTATATAAGCTGAACTAGAATCCACTTAAAGAAATCACTCATGCAAGTACGGTGAAACCTACTCAGAAACGTAGCTAGTTTCAGGAGAAGATCAAAATGTTCGCCTGTGAACTTTAAGGCTGTAACTGTTTGCTTGAAAACTGAGCGTAATTGATGCCATTTAAATTACTGTTGGGTCTATTAGAAGCGGACAATGTATTTTTCAAACAATTTAGATAAAAAGGATAATTTGTACGTCAATAACCGAGAAGAGTGGCTGGCTTTACATTATTTGGTCATGTTTAAGACTTTATGCCATACATTTTTTTCCACAGAAATTCTGAACTGACTTTGATATATTTGATTTTTCTGTGAGTATCTAAATCTTGTCAGTCTGTAAGAGTCGGCACCATCACTAGCTCAAATGATATGCTGCAAATCTGCACTTTGCCTGGTTTATACCAAGAACATGTTTTATTTTAAAAGGAAAAAGATAGTTTCAAATGTAGCTTGAGTGTTGTAAGCTGCCTCAACTGTTTAGAGATTTACGAATTTCATTGAGGTCGGAATTTTAATTACAGGTTACCCTGTTCGGAGCTTCGTTACCAAAATCAGCTGTTTGTGTAGATTTTATTGTCATTTTCTAAATCTCGCAAATTAATCTTTTATTTTGATAGATTATTTGGGTGCAGTTGATTCGTGGCTTAGTGTACTGCTGCCAAAATTAAAGCCACTTTTGTATGAAAACGGAGGACCGATAATATCAGTTCAGGTGATCTTTTCCTCTTTTTGATTACCATTCAGCTGTTCTTTGCATCAATAGATCTAACAAAATGAGATCTCTGCCAACGGATATAAATCCTGTATTTAAGAGCTATTGAATAATTCAATGGATGTCCACGTATGCATTATTTTGGCTTGCTTGTAAGATTTTGTCAAGCCTTTATTCCCGGCAATACGCCCACCCTCTAGTTATACCCATTTTGGGAACAATAACATTTTTCAATTGCAAAATATAGGAACAGTACCCTCAACCCTTGAAAAATGTTGGTTGAGAAGCCTATAAACTAAAATTCTCGATAGACGGAAAGGCTCGTAACCTGCTTTTAGTCCACATTGTTTCAAATGGGAGGTAGAAATATGTGGAATGTTCACGTAGTGCTCAGCAGGACTTTTAGCAGACATTTACAATAAAGTCTAGTTTTGCAGTTATTCGCTTTTATCAAGATATTTTTATGCAACTTCCCCTAGCGAACTTCCACTGTGGTATCTTCTTGCACGCATACCTTTAACAATTTACTCCATGAAAATATTTTGCAACATTTTCCCGCCATACTTAAAAAGAAGAATTTTACTCTAGACATTGCTTCGAACAAAAAATTTGTGATACTAGTAGTTAAAGTTAACTGCTTAAGTGAAATTATGAAGCTAGTTTTTGGAACATCGTGATGGGTTGCCAAGACATTTGTTTACCACCTATTCCAGAAGAGACTGTGTTTGGTGGGAAAGCTTCAGCTGCAATCCATAGCAGAGCGTGGTTATTTTCGCTTGAGATAATTAAATTAACGGTGACTTCAACCATTGCCACATTTAAAGCTAACAGGATAAAGTCTTTTTTCAGACCATTCTAGTTAATTTGCATTTATTTGGTTGTCTTTACACGCAGTGAAGAGATCCCATTAGCGATAGAAGTTGAATGATAGCCCGTCTATAGATATAACAGACATTGCACCAAAGGCAGAAATTGTGGATTATTATTAAATGTCTTTGAATATTTTTAAATGCTGTTGAAGCTAATTACAGAATTCTAAATTGTATTTGGTGAATGATTTAGCTTCTCATTCGGAATAAATTCTAAAAACAGAAAGTCGTCTTACAAGAATAATAGAGCCATCATATGAAAGTAATACAGGCTAAATATCAGCCAGTTTTCGTTTTTTTGAGCTTTTTACCGAAAAATTTATCAAATAAGAAAACATTTTTACCGAAACTATTTTGCATACTATAGCTTTGTGCAAATTTACACTGCAGCTTATTTTGTCATCTTGAGCTGAGACTAACTTCTTTTCGACTGTTGTCTTTTGTTCGTACATTAAGCAAAAACAATCTATATTTGCTCGACAAAATGGTGATTGAATGAATCGTTAACAATGTTTCGTACGGAGACCAAACGGTTTCCAGTTGTGTCCTTGTAAAATGCCAGCTAGAGAATAGTCGCATCTGTGGTTTCACCGCCGCTATATCCAAATAACGTCTTAAGTTGTGCCCTTCAAGTGACCAGCCGCTCAATTTTCCATTAAACGTGAAAGGTCGGGCACTTATTTCTAGGTCAATGCCTCAATCCGATCACCAGAAAATGCAGCACCAAGAGAAAATCATACTATTAGAATGTTTTCCCTCCTTAAGATAAAAAACTTAAATGCAACAGGCTAAGAACTGTTCAGAGTCTTACGGTATACGGTTTAATTTCAGGTTGAAAATGAGTATGGGAGCTATTTTACTTGTGACAGCTCTTATATGGAGCATCTCAAGAATTCTTTCAGAAAGTATCTTGGCAACAATGTAATTTTGTTTACAACCGATGGATATAGCGACAAAATGCTCCAATGTGGTGGCATACCAGAACTTTATCGGACAGTCGATTTCGGAGCTGGCGATCCAACTGAACCATTTAAGCAACAGCGCAAATTCCAACAAAAGGGTCCACTGGTAAAATTTATTATTTGTCCTTCCTTCATTCATCTACGCAAAATCACGTAATTTTTTAGCCTTTTACAAGTCGTTTCCTAATTTTCATCCTCGATTTTCATGTGCTATTAGGAATCTTAGTTCCAAAGCTTTTTATTCTTAGGCTTGCTTCTTCCTACAAGACTAGTTTTTGCTCAACCTCTTGCTTCGTGCTGTATTTAATGCAATCGTGTTGTGCCAAATATTTTTGTGCTTCACTTCATAACTACGTCTTTTCTCTAACTATAAATAAGAAGTCCCTTCTTATTCATTTTTCAGGCTTTTTTGCTCCTAGTTACTTTCGCCAGTGATTTTCCTTTGTTGCGTGCCTGAAAATATATTTCCTTGTATCTATGTCTTCTTTCCTTGTATCTGTGTCTTCTGCCGTTCTGCGCTATATTGTTATGGCTGAATATTGGGCTATTAAATTTTCTCTTCAAATTTGCTCCTTCATTATTTCATTTATACTGAATTCATTTTGAACTTGTTTGCTTTGTTCCTGAATTTTTTTCCTTGAAATAAAAATATTAAACATAGCAGCTTCTCAATTCGCAATTTTTGTCCGCTAGACCTGGTACAGTAAATGAATTTTCACACGATGGATGACAAAAAAAGCAATTACCTTCATGTGTCCAGATGTTTTTTTATGAACCTAGAGTCAATCCGTAGTAGGCTGGGAAGAAAACATGAATAGTTACTGCTGTGAAATACTTTTTCAGTTATCTCATTTTCTTTTTTCTTGATGAAATATGTCACTACTGTTCCATGCTTTTAACTAATTCAGGGCTCAGCTCAGTATGCTCTATATCCATACATTGGAATCTTGACATCTGGGTCCTCGGATGTGCAATATTTGACCTTTATGATTCTTTTTTAAAAATGTGTAAATAGTCATTTTTGTTTATGTTGCAATCAAAATTTTGTTGAGGTGCTACAGCGAGATTTTGATAAAAGTGTCTTTAGTATCGAATTTTGATAATTTATTTTCAATCAAGACAGCTATTGCTTGAGAAAAATTTAAATCGATTAAGAACCAATAGAATATTCATATAAACATATGTGAAATTATTGGGTTGATACTTGGCAATAGGAATAAAATGTTTTAACTTTGATTCTTAAATGGCGTTTTTTATCTTACGTATACAGTAAAGTATTAATGAGTAAAACGAGACGTTATGCCATATGGCACACAGTAAAAAACATAATATTCTCTTGCTTCCATTCTGATCATAAGACATTAGTTCACTTGTCTGTGACTGTCTTCATTTTTGCAGGTTAATTCTGAATATTACACAGGATGGCTAGATCACTGGGGCTCACCGCATCAACGGAGAAATGCCACGACAATAGCAAGCTATTTAGATCGTATTCTGGCAATGAATGCCTCAGTGAATATGTAAGTTGCTATCAATGAGAATAACAAGATGAAATAATACTATAACAGAAGTAACAAAATAAAGTAATAAAGTAATACCGACTGATAATAGGTTAATCTACTGCTTTTGGAGCCACAACAGGCTCTAGCATCCCAGCTTTTGGCACGCAATCAGCATCTACAACATTAGCTGGTAGTGTACCCAGCAAATAGCTTGGAGATTTATATCTTTAGCCGCAGAAGAACTAGACGAACTGTTAAGTGACGAGATTTTCCTGTCGTGTATGGTGTAGTTTCAGAGACTAACTGAAAGTCATGTCATCTGAGCAATGACTACTGACTCACTTGTTTTCATGAATCATTCTTCTGATGGCATTAAAGTTAAAGAAAAATGCTGATGCTTTCACAGGTAGAAAGACAGATTCGACCGTCAATTGAAAAGGATGCTACAATTTTGATAATGTAGCTTTCTGTTTTTCCACCCTGTAAATATTCGATGAAGCAATGAAGCATTTCCATAGTTTTTAAGAACGTTTGATCATATTGCTGGGATTATTGACCTATCGAGACTTTCACGTAAGATTACCCAAGTTTAAACCTTCGCCTTTTCAACCGTCAAACTTTTCAAGCCGATAAAAATTCTTCCTTGAATCCTCACACCAAAAGAGTTTATTGTATTTTGTGAGCTAATTCCTTTGATACTTTTTGACTTTTTGCAATGCTTTTAAGAATAGGAGATTACAGGGTATTATGTTGTGATGCAGTTTAAACTTTTCAAACAGCTGCAAACTCTTTTGCCTCAAGCTAAAATATTTTTAAGAATACCAACAAATGTCAGGAATATTTTACTTTTTACTGGGAACGTTTATCAAAGGTGGGTCTAAAAGCCTCTTGCTTTTTAAAAGCCACTTTTTTCGCGGGAAATTTTAATTTTTGATTAGGTAGCTTTCAAGGAATCGATATCCGATTGAATTTAACAACAGCATATATTAAAGAAAATAACCATGGACTCTCTAGATATCAAAATTTTCAGTAAACGAGTGACAGCTTTTGTTGATAATAATGTTAAAAAGCAATCACAATATCTAGTGCAAGTTAAAAAACGCAGATACTTGGATAGCATTAAATGAAGTGACAAGGATAGCATTAAAGGATCGAAATACCTTCTTTCCGTGTTGTGCCTCTAAGAAATTTGTGGTTCATAATATTGTTTATACTGTTTTCTTCAATAGTTGCCATTTTAGATAGAGGTGTAAATATTTTATTAGGAAATCTTAGCTCTGCATTACTTTTACGTGAAATTACTTTTTATTTTTTGCTTGAACATGTTTAAGTTGCTTATTGATTCAACAACCATGAACAAAATTTTGGGCCGTAGATATGATAACCTTTTTTGTCCTGAGTTAGTATGGCTTTGGGTTCTAATGGCGTTGCACCATTGCATTATTCTTTATGTAATTTTATCTTGCCACTCTTCTGATAATTTCTTAAGACACCTGTTTCTGTTTTTCAGGTACATGTTCGAAGGTGGTACAAACTTTGGCTTTATGAATGGCGCCAATTCTGCCAATAAGCATCTTTTGCCTGTTCCAACAAGCTATGATTATGATGCTCCTCTTGACGAATCGGGCAATTACACAGCAAAATACTTTGAGATTCGCAAAGTCGTTTGCAAATACACAAAAGCTCCTCCGGGTCCTCTTCCGACGCCAATTCCAAAGCTTTCTTTCGGGAAAATAAAGATCGATAAAGTGAGTTTCTTTCAACGGAGTCTTTGTTTACTGATGTAGCTGCCCGGTTTTCTTTGAAGTTTATTCCTAAGTATTTTCTTTGTTAGAATTGTGCCTGGAAAAATAATTTCACTCTCTGCCTTTACCTTGAAGCTTTATTTACGCTTTCAAAAAAGAATGCACAGACTTCTGTATCGTTTATGTCATTTTTTGGACTAGACAGGCATGCCGGAGCCAGGAAGAGAGGGGTTTGGGGGGTTTGTTGCTCCCCCTTATCTTTTTGCTGAATTTATTTTATTTTTGTTATATAAAATTTAAGTTTATTTTATTTCATTTTTTTATTTTATGTATTATATTTTTTATTAATTTATTTTGTTTTATTTATTATTTTATTAAATTTTTGTTTTTATTCAATTTAATTTATTTTAATTTTTAAGTTTCATTTTATTTTATATCATTTTTTTTTATTCAATTTTTTTTAATTGATTTAATTCGTTTTGTTTTTGATGTTTCATTTTATTTTATTTATTCTATTTTATTCAACTCTATTTTGAATATTTTATTTTATTTTAAATATTTTATTTATTTTATTCTATTTTATTTCATTCAAATTATTGATTTTATTTTGAATTTCTCGTACAGCCGTCTGATTCTGACTTGGTTTTCAGATTACAACGAAAGTATAACTTGCACATCTATTTAATACAAAATTAAACACTTGGCATTATGAAGGAATCGAAATCAAATTCATTGAAACCCTGTCCTTATTTTGCCTATGTTAAGACCTCTATCTCCCATATTTTTTTGAAATATGTAGCTAATGAAAATTGCAAATTTGTGTAATGATGCACTTATTAAGTCATACTTTTTCAGGTGTGGGAAGTTATTTTTTCCTTTTTTTTCTAATTCAGAAAAGGTAGTTGTATTCCTTGCGTAGTTAGATTTTATTGCATCTTTGTAAAAGTGACACTTAAGCTTTTAGCTTTAAAATAACCTTAAAATATCTCTACTTCAAATATCCCTGTTCCATAAAACTATCGTAAGGCCAATTGGTAATCATTCTTCGTCATAGCTGATGTCACTGTATTCCATGTTGGCAGCTCTTTATCCTGGTGGTCCTTTAAGCACCAGTCAATATCCAAAGACGATGGAGGAGATAGGGCAGAACTATGGCTTTCTGATGTATCGTACATTCCTAACGGCGGTTGACGGAAGAAAATTGACAATAAATGGCCTGCGTGACAGAGCAGTTGTTTTAATTGATGAGGTAGGTTAACAAGGTTGATTTATGTTTCTCTTGTGGTGTACGGAATAAGATATAAGAATTATCTGAATTGCTCCAAATCCATAAGGCAGCTTGAAGGCTAGGTGATTGAAAATGAAACAATCAGGAAAGATTACACGCCTGGCTATAGACTTTCTTTTGGAGGATGGTAAGAGGAAAGGAGATTTCCAGTTCACTTTGCGATTTTTTAGTGAATTAGAAAATGTGCCGTAAACAAAGATAATTCTTATTGCCAATACCATGTCTTGTTTTCAAGTTATTATCCATAAAAGCAGGATTTGACTGCGACTTTGCCTGAAAAATCAATTTTATCGTATTGAGTACCCAAAAAGCAAGAAGTTAGTTTCTAATTATGATTTGGTTGAAGAAAGAAATTTCTACGATGCAGGCCTTACCTTGCTCTCTTGTATATTCACTAAAAAATTGTCCTGGATGCTTTTTCTCTGGTCAAGCCCAGGTAAAAGTAATATATATATCAAGACTATGGACACTTCTCATCACCGAGCAAAAGCTTTCATCTAACAGATATCCGTTACATAGAAGTTTTCCTGCATTGACAGAGAAGGAATCACCGTTTTAATTGCTATTTTATAATGTTGGCATGTCCTATGAATAATGTTGACCAAAGTATCGAATTAGCCTGCGTGCAAACTTTTCTTTCCGTTGCGAAGGAGAGCCAGGACGGAACTGTTCCGTATTGGTTCTCCTTCGCAACGGAAAGTAAAGTCTGCACACAGGCTATATCGAATGTGCTGTATATGTATATATGTATATATCGAAGTCGTACAAACATTGCAAATAGCTGTTTTATTGGGTGGTTTTCTAATGATAGATCTTCCTACTGTCACACTTAATTGTAGTTATTTTATTACAATGACATGCTTTGCAGATGTAAAGATAATATCCTACCCATTTTATACTTTAAGTGGTCTCTTACTAGCTCTGGAGAAATCTGTTTATCAATCAAAAGTTGACAAAATGAATTTATTGTTTTAGAAAGTGCAAGGTAGACTCGATCGTAACAACAACACCAACAGTATTATAGTGGATAGAGGTTCTGTTTTGGATATTTTGGTATGTATTTATCTAACTGTGATTGACAATCACACCAGCTCTTTCCCTGTCGTGAGGGGAGTTCGTCTGCATATCGGTTTTATATAAAACAGAAATCATTGTGCATTGTAACATACTATAACACATCAAAGTAAAATAGGCAACAGAAAATTGACAGACAGGCAGATAGACAGAGCGTTAGAAAGAACATAAAGTTATTTTTTAGCAACAGAGACATGATATGAAAGATATGTGAGGAATGGCTTTCAACATTCTGGCAAAGTCTGTAATCATATTCTTATTCATGAACCGATTTATTCTATTTCTCTTTATCAATTCTCTAAATCCCAAATGCTAATCTCTAAAGAGACTGAGTGAATATTATCCTGCAAGATGCATGTCTCTAAATCAATACGGTTGTAATGATTGATGATATTATCGTTTTATTTTGGCAAAAACATTATCCATCTGTGCTTTTTTATGCTGCAGAGCAACCAGTATGAGGCTGAAGTTCTTTTAATGAGTTACTGTATTGGGATGTAAATTAAGAATCGAAAATTTCATTGACTCTCACTATGAACGACTTGTAACTGACTTGTCGTCTAAAACTTTTGTAGTTCATGTGCTTTGTTTATAAGTTTGTTTAAAAAATTAACGAATGAAATTAAAGCATGAGATATAGAAATATGAAATGTTCAATGTGTCTCAGACTAGAAACTTAGACTTCCCCTACCTCGAGACATCTTGTTAAAGAGAATTGGAATTCAAGTCAGATATTATCGTCTACTCTTCAATAACCCGTAGCTGAAATATGTCAACGTGAAAAAACTTGTTTGAATTCTCGTTATAATGTACAGTAAAAGGCACAGAAAAATGTATTTTTATTGTTTACGTCCTAAAATGAAAGTTTAAGCAACGTTTCATCAGAGTGATCTTTTGAAAAAACAGAAAATATTTTCGTATTCTTAGCACAAAACTTTACCGAGTTCTATTTGTTTACAGGTATCTTTTAAAAGCATATTTATGAAAGAACTGAGATTCTAAAATTAGGGTCCTGTGGAGCTCCAGCTTTGTTAGTGCTCCATTTATATGTTTAGCCACCAAGCCATTACGATATTTTTAATCAGAATGAATGCATTGCATTGGTTAGAGGATTTTCCCAGAAACTCGACGTCAGCATAGTTCATCTGTCATAGACCCAAATGGCTGAATCTGATCTGGTGCCTTATTTTTGCTCGTGCTTTGATTCGAGTCAAATTTTCAATATCAATTAAGGATTTGACACCGAGAAAGGTAACGGAAACTATTGTTACTGCATTTGCAATTTTTGATGTCAAAGTACCACTTCTTCAGCATCGAAATTTTGACAAGGCCAGGGCGACTAGAAACCATTAGAATGAAAACCGATCTTTATCAGGATCCTAAACTGTCCCGTATAAACACTGCTTTGCTGGCTTCATTTTCGACCAGAAAATATACGCCTCTTTCTCCAGTATGAATGGTGTCTTTACTAGATGGATCGAATCTGTTTTTATCACTCAATTGTTATCGAATGCCCTCTTCTGAGCTATTTCAACAAAAATACTTTCTGGTTTCATTTAGATTCTACTAATTTGATATTGAATTTTCTTCAGGTTGAGAATCAAGGTAGAATCAATTATGGACCTTTGAATGACCCCAAGGTACAGTAAAACTTTCTTTAGAGCTTGATAGAAATTTAAATTTTTCCTTGATATATTTATCAATATTTACAACTGCAGCTGTGGCAGCCGTCTACCTATCATAAAGGAGGAAGTGTGCATTGGAAAAAAATTTCTTCAAGAGTTTGTTTTGTCGTTAGATTGAAGAATATTTACCCTGTACAAATTTTTTCTCAGTCCCGACTTTCGGTGTTAAACTGATAATAATATCCAAAAGGCCTGGTGATCTAAGGACATTATTTCCATTTCTCATAGCTCACTGCATCTCTTTCTTATGGTTAATCCTTATATCATAAATATCGAGTACTGTAAGACATGAATTATTACACTAATATCGTGACGCTGCAGAAGCTAATTAACAGTGTCAAACCATTTTTAAAATTATCTTTAGGGTATTGTTGGCAATGTCACTCTTGATGGTAAAACGTTGCAAAACTGGGGCATGTTTCCAATTACATTTGACGAAAAGCAGCTCACAATTTTAAGCAACTTAGATGGATATTACGATGATGAAACCGACCCCCCATTGCTGGCTAGAGCAACATTTCAAGCTTCAAGTAATACTGCAGACACGTTTCTTGGTGTCGATAATTGGTCAAAGGTATGTTATTTTGAATTATGTCATGATTTTTCTCAAGACTAGTTCATATTCAAGCGAAACATCTTGTCTTTCTGTGGGAATTTTTCATACAGGCTTCGCAGGCTGTAGATTAATTTAACTGGAAAATTTGTAATGCTAATTCTTTAATGCTGTTTTTCGCACGGTAGTATTTGATTATTAATTTACTAACTAATGCTTTGTTTGTGCGTGAACTTGTTTATCGATTTCAATGGCTTATCAGATAGACATAAAGTAGACATATAAAGCTTGTGCATTGAGCTTCTCACGGTAGTTCCGAGTAGCTTTTTGGCGTTATTGTAAAATAAGAGATTGCAGAATATTACTATATGATGTTAAGGTGAACTGCCAATAAAGTAGATATTCAATTTACTCAACACCTCACTTGAATGATAAATGATGGTCAACACAATCACGAAACACAAAGGACAGCAGCTTTTAAAAACAAGCTTTCCTTTCGTATAGAAATCTTCTGAACGAACGACTTTAGAAATATCATTGTACCAAAAGCTTAAGGATCTTAATCTGGTATCCGAATGATTCTAAAACTAGAAATACAAAAGAAATATTTAGAAAAGAAGAAGATAAAAGCATTGGGTGCAAAAAGAGCTCACAAGAAAACACATATTGCATTTACTAATGCACCTATTAAATTTACTGAAATGAAAATTACCGTTAACCGGTCTGTCATAAAGTCTTCGATACCGTTTAGGCAGAGCAGTACACGCTATTGGTTGTGTTGAACAGGCCGGTTCTCAGTAACTACTCCGAATTTCACGCTTATTTCGATAATAAGGCAACTGGTGATCGTATCAAGTTACCTGTTGATCACATTACCTGGAAACGCGGAGAAAAAACCGTCCAGTTATATACCTTAAAAGCATCTATTCCATTCACGTATGTAAAAGTAAGGTCAGCATGAAAGTTTATTTAGTTGCCAAGGTTATTGTTAGGTTTTAAAAATATTTCATGGCTAGGTATCATGATGACTCAGCAGGTCAGCAATTTAATTCACCTCTTTTCCTGTATCGTAGTTATAAACTTTTAGGATTTGGCGTTATATTGTGTTGCATCTAGCTGGTTCTAACACGGGCTGTTGTGCATTATATCTATATCACATATTACGCTTTTGGTGTATAGAACAGGACCTTTCTAAGTTGCTATGAGTTTCACGCTTATTGTGATCATCGGGCAACTTGATACGATCGTCAGGTAACATAGAACCGTCCCGTTATATTCACCGGCCACGTGTGTACAGCCCTGCCATTACGACATGAAGCTCTTTATGGCAGACCGATTAACAGCTATTTTTCATATAACCTATGTTCGATGTTGTGTGTCAGTAAACTGACACATTATACGTAGCAATATATCGTACAAATTTCGTTTTCAATTTTAAGCTACAGGTTTTTTGGCTTTTTTCACGGCATCTTAATCGAGCAAACGTTAAAGTGTATACACTCATTTTTTATAAGAAACAAAGGTCGATGCTGAGTACTCCAGTTCCTTAATGTTCTGGAAATTTCAATACTCATTGTTTCTTAAGAGTTTCATAATTGTGATGTCATGAATGATGTTATGAAATGTTCGTGACCTTTTTTATCACGTCAAGAGATTCGCTTCCGTTCTGATGCTGTATTTAGATATGGGAAGTATATTTTTGTCCCTTGTGTCTTAAGTTCTAGGCCAACAGAGCAATCATATGCTTTGATTTTACGAAATTTCGTTGTTCTCAGTTTTATCATGATTTAATAGTTTCAAAACTTTTTTTGCTCCGAGTACTGAAGTTTCTTAATTTTTTCTGAATGTCCAGTACTTGTTTCTTATAGCCAGTTTCTTATAAAAAAATGAGTATAGAGTATATTGCTATTGTGAGTATAGAGTATATTGCTTTGTACAGAAATTAAAGGAAAAATTGTGGTTGTGATTCACGCATTCACGCACAATTTTTTTAATTTTCACGCATTCACGCGCTGCAAAATTGAATTTTCACGCGAGCAATAAATGTGATGTCAGCCCCATTGCTCATCAGAGCTCTGCTTGAAGGACTACAACACTACTTTCAAACTTTGAGTACTAATTTGAGATTTAACTATTATTGGTTCATTACGCACCAAATTGAGGCAATTTTTTAAATTATCATTCAAAAATTCATCCACGAATTCACGGATTCACGGAAAAGCCTTTTCACGACATAACGAAAGGAAAACTCATGTTTCACATTTCACGTACGAATATCAATTCACGAAATCACGCATAGAAAATCGAGATTTCACGATTTCACGCACGAAAATATGGCCAATAACGCATTATGCAAAAATATGGGCGAGGGGGGGGGCATTAAGGAAACAGATTCAATTCCAGCGATTTAAAAGGGAAAGTGTATTTGCACATGTGGCTGTATCTCAGCCAATTTCGAACAAATATAACTGATTTTACAGGCCCAGAGATTTTCTGTGATGCCCTTTCTGGTTATGTGGCACAAATACAAACATTCTAAAATTGAATTATTATGACGTTAGCACTTCCGTTGATGTTAGAGATGTTATGATTTCGAGAATCAAAGTCAAATCATTTGCCCAGGGATTAAAACATCAGAAATAAATAGTAACCAGGAATTTGCCTGGTTTTTTTTAAAGATTCATCACCATTGGTTGGCTCAAGTCATTCAAATCCATTGGAGATCGTTCCTCGATTTTTCGAGTTCTTACCGTACTTTGAAACTTATTACTCACTGAAATTTAGTCAAGTTTCAGACGGTTTCACTTATTTCTAGAATTATACCCTGTAATCTGATACTGACTATTGCTTCTACCCAGGGACAGGCTTGGCTGAATGGACACAACCTTGGACGATATTGGCCAGCAGTGGGCCCACAGAAGACGTTGTTTATCCCTTCCAAATACCTGGAGTCACTCCCCAATAACAATACTTTAATACTTTTTGAAATTGATGAGAGTCCTTGCAAAAGTCTAGCTTCTTGCTTTGTGGATTTAACTGATAAGCAAAACATTGGCTAGGAAATGCAGCTGGACAAATTCAAATCGAGCCACTTGGGTTGGTGCAAAATTTCATTTTGATATGTAATTTAATCAATCTTATTTCTGTTGAGTTTTTTGTACTTTCGCGATTTACTGTGTACTTTCGCGATACCAGTTGTTATATTTTTCGTTAATTTTAATATCGAAAGATTACAGAATTACAGCCATTGTTTGCATATATAAATAAAAAAGGGCAGTGTGTTCTAATCTTGAATAATTGCCATTTCCCAAAATATCGACATTTGTTTTTCAGGAATATTTTTTGTTATTGATATGTTTCAATAGTCAATTCAAGATAAAAGAACTTTTATTAGTTGGTTATAACTGCTTGACCTCTAAAACCTTCAGCTTTCATTGTCGTATTTTTCAGAATATTTGAAAATCTTTTGTTCAAGAATTCTTTTGTTAGAAAATTTCATTCGTGCTGGTAGTCGAGGATGAATTCCTCTTGCGCGATTTCTAAACATGTCGAAATCCTATAAAAGGTTTTCTTTCATTGTCATTAGTATTCCTGCATTCGGCTTCTTCATAGACGATTCGCCTTTCCAACTACCCTTGCTTTCAGTGCTTCTTAAGGAAATGAAAAATTATAGTGGCAATGTTTCTTCCCTCTTTATCATTTGTTAGAGGATTAGTGGCTTTGCTTGTAATGCTTCTGATATTTGAAGTAAGAGATTCGCGGACACCTCATGCAGTCAGTCAACCATAGGCAAGTTTTGATCCCATATCAAGGCTCGTGAGTCTAGCTAGACTTAGTGGGGACCGCAAACTGGCCTGAAGTCATTACGCTGTCATTGGAAAAAGCTTTATGTGGTGCTGTAGAAAGAAGAGACTAAAGGCCGATTTCCACTAGGCGAATTCTTTCGCGCGAATCGAATAAATTTTCGTAGCGATAGAGTAGGACCGTGATCTACTCTCTGCGAATCGAATTTTTTCGCTGCGAAATCTGAGAACATGACACCACGCATGCTCACATTGGCAAAAATTTGATTCGCGCGAAAGAAATCGCCTAGTGGAAATCAGCCTTAATGCATGGGCTTCGAACAGCGAAAAGTAGTGTTGCAATTGATGTTAATACCGCATTACCCTGCCCTGCAAGTAGATTTGCAACACCCTTATTTATAGTCAATGAAAAACTACTTAAGGACAATTACACTTTTAAAACACTTCTTATGATTCTATTCCATGCACATTAATACAAACTAAATGTTGCCTTTGTTTTTATTTTACGCCTTAACTTAAACTAACTTAAAACGTGACTAATTAAGTAATTTATTCGATTTGTTTTGTCGCAAAATTTAAAAATTGTCTTGTTTGGTGAGGATTTCTTCAGCTTCTTAGCATTTTAGACGCTTTTGCTTGAGTAATGTCGTGAAAATATTGTACTTTTTGTACAGGTCCTGCGATTTGCGTCATATGAAATGAGCTTTCACTTTTTTCATTACGCACCTGCTTCTTAAACAGCCAGCCTCGGTATCAAAGGCAACCGTCACATTTGCTTTGGATCGCATTACTTATGCTTGTTAAACGCTCTTTGCACATGATTTTGCTCCGGACCTTTAACTCAGCGCCTTATTTGCAGTTAGCAGGTTTCAGTTTTCTCTATATCTGTCATTTTTGCTTGAAAAACAGTTTTTGTTGCTTCTTTTCTCTCTGAAACGCACCAGATGCTAAAGTGTTGCTAATGCAATTGCCTGCGTAATACATATAAGTCTATGGTAGTGCTTTGTATCTGAGAGATGCCTGGACAATACAAAGAAAGGGATACCTTCTTATCCCGGTCTGTTATTACAGAATAGCGTTATTTTCTCTTCATTGGCTTATTATACAGATGCGAAACTTTATTAAAGTGCAGAAGTGATGCTATTTTAGATTCAACATTTATAGTATGATGTGACCACGTGATATTTGACAGGCTGGTCCGTTGGCAGAACTTTCTTATGAAGGCAAGCTGATAAACGGCTGAGTCAAGAGAGCCAGCTTATCTATCCGAGCCACTTTACCCCATATTAACAGGTCCTAACTTTGTTGAAAATAAACACAATTATTTCAAACCGCGGATAAAGTAGGCACTCCTGGGGTGTTTGGTCCATACAAAATTTCGCTGGCAGTTTAAGTGGCTAGTCCTTAGCATGCTCAGTTTCAACTAATTTTTTTAGCAAATTTCCTTCCACAATGGAAAAGTTGAATTACATTTGACGTGTCGTAGCCTTTAAACTCCAGGCATGGTAATTGGTTTGTTCAGGCATCATCATGGCCCAAATTTCTAAATGTTCTAACATTTGTCGCAGAAGCATTATAAGAAAATTCATTTGGTAAGATAGTGATACGTTTTCAACAAAATGCTGATGAAACGACCAAATGTTGATGAAATTACATTCAAACTATGTAATAAAGGAGAGGTAAAAGGGAAATAAAATTAAAATAAAACTCGGAAGGGAATTTATCAGAACAACAGGCATTGCTCATCTTTATTTTTTAAACAACAATGTGCATTTCATGTTGACATTGTTAGGTAACTTAGAAAATCCTTGACAGATCTTTTTGGAGACCTGAAAACTCAGGGAAAAATGAATGCAATCTAGTACTCTGTTCCAGGAAGTGAAATGCCCTTCTTTGGCTTGCATATTTTTGCATGAAGACTAAGAAATTAGTAGGTATCTCCCTACTACACACTCTCGTTTTTCTGCGCATCAGTCACATTGCATGATGGGCTATGCACATAAAGCAGAAGCCAGCAAAGGTGAACTTTCTACTATCATGCGATTCGATTGACGAATTGTTAATCCACACGATAAAATAAAGTCACAAACTGGTTAGCTTTTAGGTTTTGACTTAGCAATCAATCTTAATACAGGTACAAACACAGGCGATAGAAATCATTTAAGTCACATTGCTTCAAATTTCCTTTCATTTGCATGCTCATCTTCCTCTTGTGAAATGATATACTGACTAGAGAGAGATATCTTATCTTTTTTATCGCTTCTTAATTACTCATTTAACCTTCAAGATACTAAGCCTTGAAGTAATCTGCAATGAGCTTTCTGATTATCCAGATAGTTCTAAACCAAAATTCCCACGTATTCTTAAGGAGATATCTTTGTTTAACTAGAACAAGCAAGGAAGTCTGATGTGAATCCCTTTTCCAATCTCGTTTTCTATCTTTCATGTTTGTTTCTCAAATTTCACCTATGACCTTTGATAAGGTTTTTCCCGATTTTCCATAAAAAGCAGCATCGCCAACTTTATTGAAAACCACACTTCATATAGGTCCAGAGACTTTTCGTTTCTTTTTGTTCCTAATTAAAGCCGGTAACTTGTGTTTTTCAGTTTTGTTTTCCTCGTTGTATCATCTCAGATGGATATTATTCTCTCCTAGTGCAAGAACTCGATAATGGTAATAAACAATCAAGCAAGCTCCTCTTGAATTTTGGAGCCATCGTAGGTTTGTATAAACATGAGGGCTAGATGCAAAGTCTGCTGTTGTTTAATTTTTCACAGTTTCCTTTCCCTAAACAAAATTTGAAAGTGCTCTACTGACCTTAAATTTCTTTGTCAAAGACTCTACAAAGAGTCCTTCTGTTGGCTAGTGTTGTTTGCAGAACAACAATAGAAAAGCAAATTGATGACATCATGAAAATATATCTTGAGAATTTTTAAATTTTAACAATGACCAGAAAAACATGTTGAAATACTTCTGAATGTGCAAAATCTGTTAATCAGATTCAAATTTCTTGAGATTCGGTGAAGGAAAAGCCTAGGTTTTTCTCATGATTTATTTCTGTTTTTGCCCGGTTCATTAGTTATATTACCAAGGCCAAATTACACTGTTTTTGTTATGAAAGAACCTGTGCTCGTGTGGCTATATCTCAGGCAGTCTGTGACAGATCTAATTACGTTTACACATTTGGAGGTATTTTGTGCTGCTCTTTCAGTTTAATTTTCGAAATCTAAAAGATATGAATAGTTTTATGACTTCATTATTTTGCCATTAATTTTCTTGAGAATGCAAGGCAAAAATGGATCCCCACATCTCAAGCGCCTAGCAATGCAAAATCTAGTCTTTCCTTGAGTCACTAATAGTCACAGAGGACCACTGGTCGTGGAAGCTGCAACCAGTACTATAAAATATGTTGTCATCGCATCCAATCACATCGAATAGCATGTCCCATCCCATGCCCATCGAACGTTTGACGTCTGATGCTAACAGAAATGTGCAAACTGGACATGCAAATTTACTAAGAAAAAATCAGCATTTTGCTGGAATTGCTATTTGAAGCCTAATCAGAAGGCACAGGGAAGGAGCTAACGAATAGCAGCATATGCATGGACGATTCCCCTAACGAATAGCAGCATACGCCGTCGTTATATAACTTGATTTACACTCAAAGCTAGGAAACAGAATGAGTTTCTTCCGGTTGTCTTCTTCTACCCTCTCCTAAATGGGTGACTTTGTTTTTTTCTTTTCTTGCTGTTGTTGGTGAAAGATGGCGTTTTTATGTCAAGGAAAAGGAATGGAAAGTTTCACGCCTTTAGGTTAATGTTGAGTTATCAAAACATTGCATTTTCAAAAGATTCCATGCTGCAAAACATTTTCAAATACTTTGCATTTATCGATGTTGTGTAGACAAAGAAATGGTTGCGCTGTTGCTTGGAAGCCTGCTTTATTTAGATGGGAAGTCCACATTAACATTTTGTTCATATGTAACTTTCACAGGTAATCAAATAAACGCAGCATGAAATTTATGTCTAAATCATGAGTCATTGATCATAAATTTATAAACTTCATAAATGTAATTAGCTGCACACAAAAGAATCGCTGAACATGTCTAACCAAACAAGGCGGCCACAAACTACTATCTTTATCTACGATCCATGATCATTGTTTTTTCGATTTGTAGTACGTTTTTCCTACGACAACAAGAGGTTATAACTGTAACCTTAAAAGTTAAGTTTTACTCGCGATACGCAGGCACTGCGGAGCGTTGAGAAAAGTGGGGGGTCTAAAAAAGTGGGGGGGGGGCTGAAACCATATAAAAAGAGGCTTTTCTGGTAGTTTGATACTTAATATTTGGCATTTTTTGCAAAAAGTGGGAGGGCTAAAGCTCCCCCAGCCCCCCCCCCCCTGATCCGTGGTGCCTGATACGTACAAGTCGCCGAAATCTTTCAAAAATAACATGTTGACTGAAATGTTTTCGGAAGAACCAAGAAAATAAAACTTCGTCAAATCAGAAGCAAGGCCGATAAGATTTATTTGTTTGTCAAAGTCTTGAGGCAGTGTCACTTTATCAGATTTTGGTTAGTAAGAACTATTGTGTGTTGCCCCTCTTTCAGAATGTAGCTTACAACGAATCGCAACAAATCCTTTAAAATGACACAATAGATAGATCCACTGAAAAGCTGATACCATTCCTTGAAAACGTTGTTGTTACTGAAAACAAGCAAAAGCATTGCCAGAATTGATCCTTTGCTTTGGGTGGGATGTCCTCGGTAACTGCTGAAACGTACCAAATCGTCGCTATCCATATTTCACCGGACATATTTGATAAAAAAATAGAAAGTTTTAGTTTTACCATAGCCATTTTGATATTTAGGACTGAATTACTTTATAAGAAGCATAGACTTTGAAGTCGCTAGATTATGTCAAGGTCCCCCGTGTCCGTGCAACGGATATGGCAATGGGGTATCACGGGGCATACCCCTAGAACTAGAACTCAGGAAGGCTCAATGGTTGCGAAAAGTAATGACGAAACGACAATCTTCATTTGTGTCCTGATTCGACTATCCACGACGATGTCAATTTGCAAATTAAAAAAAGAACCAAAAATTTTCATGACCATGGCTTGTAAACATTGTAACTACGAAAATGATGTTTGTGATCAATTTTTGGGTACAGAGTGGTAAACTTGTACCCAATGATGTTCAATGAAAAGGAATCTTAAAAGGGGATACTTAAGTAAAAGGAATTTGAGAAATGAACAAGATAGGTTACTACTTGCAATTTTTTACAATAACAGTTGATGACAGCTTCTCTACAATAAAACTAAATCCTAACTACGTATTTGATAGTTTTAAACCTAAATGCATTGTCTTATTCCGGTGACAATCATTGCATGATTTAAGCAGAAAAATTCTTAAAACAACTACTTACGCAACGCATCATAAACAACAGCGTACCAGTTATCTCTAATCAAAGTTACTGTCCCATTCCCCCCTGTCCCACCTCAAACACGAGACAAAACTGAATATTTTCGATATGTTAGTTATTTTATCTACAGTGAAGTGAACTATCCGGAAGTGCTTCTTTATTATAGATTTTTATTTAAAGTGTAGAAACTTTAGCAAGTGTGAGCTCTTTCAGAGCCAAGTGCAAGTTCACTGGTACTCAAGGACTAAAATGATGCTAAAGAATTTTTACCTTTAGATCATACCGAACCAGTAACTTTGCATATTATCAAAGAGTGTTACATCTATCTTAAGACTGTATTTGGCATTTTTCTGATGACTGCCAGCGTCGTATGAAGTTAAAATCTGTTCAAAGTGCTACACAGAAAGTTCTAAACAGCACCTTGGGAAATTTAAAAAATGCACCATCGTATTTCTATTCACAACAGTAAAGAAATTCGTTTACAGCTACTTATCGATCTAACTTAAATAATGTTTTTAGGTGTCTTTTCATAGAACTTTTCATATCTCTGTTGAGCAGTGTATACAAAATAGGATCGATCGCAGCGTTTAGAAATGACAGCAACATGAAAACGTCATGGATATAATTGTATTTGGGTCTTGATATGATGTCAATCTTCGCGCTGTTCAAATAGATGTAAAAAATTGCAACAGGAGACCAGCAAATAAGAAACAGGCCAACGAGAATGCTAACAGTTTTAGCTGCTTTCAGATCATTTGATAATGTTGTACGAATTCTTGTTATTCTCCTTTGTCGGCTTGTCGACCTACTTGTTACCGAGAGCTTCGTCGTTGTTAGAGTCGAAGTACGAGCCCGAGCATTGATCATGGTCTCCTGATCGATTTTGGAGACTTCAACATCGGAAACTGGAGGTGGTTGTACACTGGGCTCGTGTTGGGCGGTTATTTTTCGACGGTGCTTTCGGGCTATAGAGTAAATCTTTAAATACGATAGCAAAATCATCACACCCGGTACGTAAAATAATGTTGGGGTGACAATGAAGTAGCTGCTGCGCGGAATGCCAGGGCCGCAGTTTTTCATTATGTCTTTCCATTCAGTAATCATGCCAAAGACTGCGTTGGACGTTAACGTAACGCACACCGTCCAAACGGTTGCGATAATAACAGCGACAATTTTCGCATTCATGCGCCGCGCGTAAATAAATGGGTACGAGACGGCGAACATCCTGTCTACGCTGACTACCGCGAGGCTTGTTATTGAGGCACCAGATGTAAGCAAAAATAGAAATTTTCGCACAAGGCAAAGCTTCTCGTCCTCATTGCTGCTCTGTGTTGAATTTTTGATGAACTGCTGCACGTATAGAGGTATCATCACTGCCCCTGCAATCAAATCAGCTGTTGCCAAGCTGAGCAAAAGGGAGTTTGTCGGGGTTCGTAATTGTGAGGTTTTCAGAACCGTGAAAAACAGTAATACGTTACCGATAACTGTTGCAAGTGAAATAACAGAGCATAAGACTGCATATAAAATAATGTACCCTTCGCTGTTTGTATTCCATGCATCCTGTCCTCCAGTGCTGTTTGTGAAGTTATCTCTAAAAATCATCATATTTGCTTCTGATGCCAGGTCACTTCATTATAAACTAGTATTAAATCTCGCTTTTACACCCTCGATGATGATTACAAAGATCAATTCATAATTTTGCGATTCTCAACTGAAAAATCATCTCAACTTTCTCAATCTCAACTTGTACTTTTTCAACGATGCAAAAGAATGTCTAGTTATCGTGCCAGGTAAAATACGAAGTACATGTTCAATACAATCCTTTGTTCAAGTTTCTTTTCTGGCCTCTCAGTTTATAGCTCATTTTCCAAATCAAAAGGGTCTCGATAAAACCGGTAAAAAGTTTCGTCTGAATGGCGGTCAACGCAGCTAGCTCTGTGCTAAAACAGAGAATGAGCTTCTTGTGTTGCTAATAAGGACCAGTCGTATAAGCTTCACAACCATTCATGCAGATTGTGCTTTATTCTTTCGGGAGTGGATGAAGATACTCAGATTTCCAATGCGTCTTTGAATTATTCTACTCATTTTGTTTATAAGTGACGTTGACGCTCTCTTTTTGTTTGTTGAAAAGTAAACACGAGCTTACAATAGTGGTCTTGACTTGTTTGCCGATTTGTGTACGTTTATCATAAACTTCCTCGTCTCGACTACTTTGCTCCGATACAAGATCAGCTTGGCCTTATCATTGTCGCATGCCTCCCGGCTGAAACCACCTTACTCGCTCTGCAGTAGGCTTTTTCATACGATTGTCTACGAAACTACCCGCTTTTATAGCACCGAGCCAATATCAGTTTTACACAAAAAGTGATTAATTTTTAAACGTTATCAAGATGAATACTTCATGGGGCCTCCAGCTGAATAAAATTCTTGTTAAATTTTGAGCCATATGACCGGTCCTCTTTCGATAAATATGTTTCCTTGTCAATTCACATACCAATATCTCCTTGGGCGCTTTGTCCTAGAAAATGTATATTGATGGTTTAAATGACTTATTACCTTGGTTCTCCAATTGTGTTAAGCCTTTTGCTATTACTCAAACAAAATGAAGCAAAATTAGCTCCCCCTGATTCCCTGTTGATAAATTAATCGAAAAACACCAAATTTGATATAGCTTTTCATCTATCTTGTGGCAATCACACTTCTCTTTCATTGTAGTTCACTGATTCTCATGCGGCTTGCAGCCTGTAAGACATTCTCGCACCATCTCACATGTTTCGTGCCCATAGCAATGAGAATATGAACAAATTCTATTCCGCTTGCCTGTTATCAATCACACATTTGCAATTTTGCTCTAAAACATCATTCGTCGCAGAAGGATTGGATGTCCTCCTTTCTTGAAAACAGCATCTACTGGCTAGCATTTGAGTTAAATAATGACAATTTTATATGCAAATAGGCAGATTTTTTAATGTTCATGCACTCGGGCTGGTTTTTAATTCCTTGTTTGTTTTATCTCTTTGATAGATAGGAAAACAAAGCAAGAAGGATTAAGCATGGCGAATTCTTTGTCTTTGAATTTGCTTTACCCTGATATTCAATATCTGTCTGCTTGCTCAAAAACTGGCCTCCCATTCGCATATCCTAACCTTTTCTCAGTGGTGACCCCACAGGTTCCACTCGCTTTTGACGATGTACCGAAAAAGGCCTATGGTGCCGAAATTTGTTTTTCACTTTTGTCTCTGAAATAATTGCTGCTGTTATGTTCCCTCAAATATTTGAGGTTTGATTAAACACGAGGAAGCAATCAATGAACACGGAAAATTTCTTTGAATAAAAGTGTAACGCTGTGATAAACTGCGAGCTTTCGAGTAAATACCCTTTTAGGATCTGGCAAGTAATATTTTATTGTTGAATATCCGAGGTTCGGGCTAAAGGTCTTCTATCAAGTCCTTGAAATTAAAGAGAGTCAGTGACAAGCTCGAGAAATGCGTTTCCTCCTCATTTTCACTGCATGAAGTCTCATTACAGACACCAATTCTAGAATTTGTATTTGCTGCCATCATTTTGTCACCCGGTGGAATTCTGGCAAAAAATCATCGAGTCTTTAGCAAGAACCAAAAGCGGACAACAGTGACTTTAGAAAACTTTAAAATGTAATGAAATTATCTAAGAAAACATCAAGCCAATACAATGGAAATTTTATATAGTATTTTACTTTGAAATAAATTCGGCAAACCAGCAGCAAGAAGTACTAATAAGTTCAATTTTTCAAGGGGAGGGGGTTTAAAAGAAACAATGCCAACAATGCTGCTTAAAAGTAGAAACGTAATTGTCAAATTACTAAAGAAAGAAGAGTAAAGTACATCACTGTATTAGTTAGCGCATGAAAAGTAAAACGCTCTACCGATAGTGGGAATCAAAAATCCACTCTCCTCCTTTGCAGTTCCATTTTCGGTAGATGTCTAAATCATTTGATTCCAAGAGGACCCATAATAAATGCTTTTGCTTCCCTAACTGATTTCTGTATCTCCAATGTGACAATTAAAAGCTGTTTGTGATCCTTCCCTCATGATTTTGCTTTGATACTAACTTCTAAAAGTAACTGATGATCCTTTCCTTCATTCAGGCATGCATCTCAAATAAAAGGGGATTCTTCTAAAGCATATAACGGCGAAGTCTGAAATTACAAAGAAAAGGTGGAAAATTATGGTAACATGCCTGCTAGTATGTCTCTCTTTTCATTTTCTCAATCACTATAGTGGCAAAACTGCTCTTTATCAAAAAGACGACGAGTCACTAAATCAAACGGTGCTTGTTAAAAGATGCTACATCAGTTGACATCACATATTGAAAGTGCATTCTCTAACTTTTTTAGTTTTGTAGGGACTTTGCAGCTAAATCATTTGAAACTTGTACGTTACTTTGTCGTCTTTCGAAATATTAGATCATACATCTTTAAGGCATTAACGAGGAAAGGACTTACGGTGTATTTATATCTATTAATAGGCTCTCAGAAATTTGTGGTAGGTCATGTTGATTAAATGTGGAGACAGGCATTTAAGAGTTATTGGTCTTTCTGTTCTAGAGGGAGCTCAAAAGAGAAAGGGGCCTTTGAAGGGGGCTCAAAAGAGAGGGAGCTCAAAAGAGAAGGGGGCTTATTGGAGAGGGTAGCAATAATTCAATGTTTTCTATGAAGAAATTTATTAAAATCTCGTGGTTCAGCAAACAGAGTTGTAAAGTGTGACGTCACATAAACGTCACCATAACATTAAAGAACACCATGAAATACTCTCATATATTCAAAATCAGTTAAATTTCTCAAAAATCTGGTGAGCTATGGCCAAGTTTGCTAACAGATTACTGTTATTTTTCTCAGTTCATAAAGTTATAGGCTTTATAGGATAAGCACAAGCTCATTTAGTCATATCTCAGCCAATTCGTTATACCATTTAGTCATACCGAGGTTTCATGATCCTCTTTTTGGTTTTTCGTAAAACTTCAGGAGGGGCAACAGTATGAAATTTGCCGACTGTTACATGGTAAATGGTGTGGCTCATGGTAAATGGTGTCGCTCATGGTAAATGGTGTGGCTCATGGTAAATGGTGGGGCTCATGGTAAATGGTGTGGCTCATGGTAAATGGTCTGGGTCATGGTAAATGGTGTGGCTCAAATTAGCTTTTTACTATCCCCAAAATGTGCTGTGCTGACTTTCATGGTCCAGCAAAAGCTGAACCTTCCTCTGACTGCCCTCCTCCTCAGCTAAACCTTCCTCAAACTTGATGTCAACTTAAAATAATGAGGTAACTCAAAATGAACTTTCTTTGAGAATTTTGAAGCCGTTCTAATACATGATATTAAATCTAAAATTTTCAAAGCTGTTTTGTAACCTGTTTCAAAATAATTTTTTTATACAAAAACGTATAAAATAATTTTTATAAGAATATCTTTATTTGCAAAACCATCAAGTGGGTTATCATACGATATAACTAGCAGGGTTCAAAGGAAGGCTTATCATAATCAGCAAAACGAAACGAAACGAAACGAAATACTGCAAAATACTGCGAAATACTAAAAAATATGGTTAAAAATAACAACAAAGTACGCCAAAATTCTCAAACCATATCATAATGTTATAATAAGCCCAAAGGAATCAGTAAAAGCCTCTTCACATTAAGGAGACGTTTTACAAATACTTGATGAGTTATCCCTTACTTCATTTAAGTTTTCGTTTTTATTTGAATTGTTTCAATCCCAGCCTCTTTTCTGACATGTTTCCAAAAGAATCTATTTTTGCAAATAGTTATAAACCTTCAACGTGTCACGAGGCAAGCTGTAAACATTTTTGCTTTTATTTTATTTTTTTCCTCAACTTTGTTTTCAATTGAGAGAAGCTATAGCCCCTTGAATCGTTGCTGACCAATCTTGTTCATCTTTAGTTTTTAGAAAGACCCTTTAGCACTGGCTGTTTTAGCAATTATATTTGAAAGGCTCTATACAGATTAGGGCCTTACACAGTCCTGTTTCATGCATGTACATCGATTCACAATTAACTCTCTCTTTTTCCCCTTTCTCGTTGTTTTTGGTAGCTTTTTAACAGAAGAAATACTAGACAGAGTTAAGCCATTTTGCGTTAAAATTCTGGATTCTCTGACAATATATTTGACCTATTCTCCATATCGATTCTACTTTACTTTCTGTGGACAGGGGCGTAACTTGGCCAATAGGTTTGGGGGGGTGAAAAGGGTTTCTGTCCTGCAAAACTGAGTGGTGCCCTGCAAAACTGAGTGGTGCCCTGCAGACCTCGTAGCAACGGTTTGTCTATAGGTTACTAGTGAAAGCTTTATCAGTGTACACTGGTCTTTACCAAGGACAAACTTCTAAGCAATAAAAACAAACTTGAAACTTCATTGCCTATGAAATATCTATTTCTCTAAGTGAGCGTAATTTTTTATTTATTCATTTCATTTAATGTTGGTTACTAGCTAATAAACAGCTAATGGTACATGATGTAGACAGCGCAACGAAATTTAGCCCAGGGGGACTAAGAATCAAGTTTAGTGAGGTAGGAGGACCCACCATGGTTGGGTCCGACGTGAAGAAAATTTTTGAAATTATACCTTGTAAAAGGGCTAAAAGCATCATTCAGACAAAAATTTAGCAAAATACTATTGTGCTAAAAGAACTGATTGTTTATTGAAAATATTATTGTTTATTGGGAAAAATAGGGAGGGGGAATATCATGCTGAAACTCTAGTATTAAACGTTGGGGAAGGAAAGAAACGGCAACCTTTCGTTTCAGATTGCACATAGTTGTGAATGACAGAGGAAGATGTTGTTTTGATTTGGGAATTTTTTTTCCTGAACAGAAATGTGCAGTTTCTTGTATCGAGAAGGCCATGTTTACACATCGAAAATTAAAACATTGCAATGATACAGAAAATGATTTACTGAATTAATGCAAATAAAAGAAAAATGATAAAAATATACGTAAAAAAGTTAGCAATTAGATGAAACAAAATTGGTATCTCAACGATTTATTATGTTTTTTAGTTCATGCACTTTTAAAAAGTAATAAATAAAATGATAAAAAATTATTTTCTTGACCAAAGTGGGGGCTTTCAGCTCTCTATTCCCCCCAGTGCCGCCGTACCTGTCATGAAAATAATTTACAACTTAAATTAATTTGCATGGACTCAATCTTGCCCTCATAAACATATGCATCCATCATTGCATCCATTGGCTATGACTTTCGGTAAGAAATGCTTTCGCTTTGCAAATAACGGAGCTTTTCCTTACATACCTGTTTCGTTCTCTAAAATGCAATGTTAGGAAGGGAGGTTCATAAAAATTATAATATTTCCATTTCAAAATCCCTAAACGGCCCTTTACGAACTTCAGAGGTGGCGTTTCTGCGTGGCAATAAAGCTCTTCTTGGCGCCCTGCGAAATCTTTGATTGCCCTGCGAAATCGACTATTTTTTGGATTGGGGGGTGTCACACCCCCCATGCACCTCATTGATGGGATCCATTAAAAAACATGATGGGTTGATGGGTTTATGTGCCGGCCCAATGAGGTGGCCGACACTGATCTTTTTTATAGATCAGTGCGTGGCCGAGCCGAAAAGTGTTAACAACAACAACACCAGACAATGATATAAAAGCGCCGAAGGCGTTTACTTCCGCCATTTTGAATAGTGGCAAAAAGGAACTTGCTCCATACCGAGCCCTTATAAATTTGGTAAAAGTGAAGATTGATTTCGTTCACTTCTCTTTCGAATATCGATGTGAAATTTGGTGAGTGGCCTTATATTGCACTTAAATTTATGAATTGATGTTAATATTGGAAAAATAAGCCACCGTTCACAAAATCCAAGCATTTACAGTCGCGGTGCTTGCTGTGGTGTTTTCTGTCTCGTCGAAATTCCAGAAAATAATGATTGATCTGTTTTAAAACGGATCCAGCAACAATGTTTAGCCACTCAATGCATAAATTTCTTAACACATTTCTACAAAGATGTGATTTAGTTACTTTTTCTTTGTTTGTTTACAGAAACTGCTATGAAATATCTAGGCCAAACTCTAGAAAAAGCCGAAAATAGGTCATAATTCAATGCTTGGAAATTAATAACAGAATCTAAATTTGGTAACCAATTTTTGATTTTATATAATCATTGATATTTTTAAACTATTTCAAAACCACACTCAGGGGCGGTCTGGCGTCAAAATCGCAGGGTGGCTAGAAAACTCAAGGGCCCGGTTTAGGGCATGGGGGGGATTGAGCCACACCCACTGAAAATGTGGCTTAGAAAACGATTGATTCAATAAAAATTGATTTTAAAGTAATACGCTAAACAGCAGCAGTATATCGACTTTAATTCGTAAATTCGGACCCAATTGGATCCATACCTTTCCTCTCGTGTAAACAGGCTTTAAAATCCCATGTAGAGTTAAGAATCAAGATCAAAACTTATTTAAATTCTCAGAATTTCAACTTTTTTCGAAGAAGTGCAAATGAATCAGCAAATTGGCCAATGACTTGCTCGTAATCAAGTGGAAAGCTTTCTCTTCTTTTGAAATTATCAGTAGCGCTGAGTAATCTTTCAAAGGAAACTTAGGTGGATCTAAGTGTCAAAGGAACCTTTATACGCGTTGTAGAGGGAAGGGTATGCTGCTAAGTGCATGTTGTATTCACTAATTTTTTTATAAAAACCAGTACTCGGGCAGAGTCAGCCCGGGCCGAGTCAGCCCGGGCCGAGTCAGCCCAGATCAACCTTGGCTAAGTAACTTTGTGTTCGCACTACAGAAAATATTATTTGGGTTCACTCTACTCTCTACCCAAGCTGAAGCAAGGTTCGATAGTATAGTGTAGACAAGACATTTGACATTCATGACAGGGACATACATAAATGATATCACCTATAATCTATAGATTTTTAGGCCCCCTGCCCCCCTGTGTCACCACCTCTCTGAACCCCTCTATTATATTGCCAATGACGTCACTTCTCACACTCCCCCCCCCCAGCCCTTCGATATACATTCATTTGAAAAGGAGAGCAAAGCAAAAAAGCATAATTTCTTTTTTATCAAAAAAAATTGCAGATCTAATGTTGCGAAAATTATATATGGGTGAATTTCAAAGATATGGGTGAACACGTTTCAAAGATATGGGTGAATTTTTTAGGCAGCTACTGCGATCGGAGAAAAATAATTCACAGCGCTGACTTACAGCTAAAATTTAACTGTACACAAGAGAGGAAAGGATTGAATGGTGTAACCTGTTGTTTAGAATGCATTGAGCATGTCGTGTCTACGCAAAATTGAACTGATAGAATGACTGATAATACATTTAGAAAATTACAATATGAGAACCAGGAAAAAAATGTTCAAAATACCTCGGAAAAGTGGAACAAAATTCACTTGAACTCTTCGTCCGACGCTTAATAATGAAAGCAAGTGAGATTATTTCCAATCGAAAGCCCGGTTTACACTATAAAAAGCTACCCGGGTTTAACCTGTGTTGAGTTCACCCAGGTTAAACTCTGTTCAATTTGTATTCTATTTGTATCCTTTCTCTTCCTGCTTTCTCCAATTGTTTCTACTGATTTCCTTCTCATTTCTTCAGCGATCTCTCACTGCTCTGCAGGATACACAAAATTTTGGCCTTTCTACCTGCATAAAATTATCCAGTTTTTCTCCACCCATCGCTTCTCGGCCTACCAGGACACTTCGAAATTTCCTGGTACGCCCTTGCTTCGAGTTATATTTTTCAAAAAACTTGAAAACTTTCGAAAGGCAATTATTGATATTCGCACAGAACTAAAATTGATTACAACCATCAATTGACCTCTCGAAAGAACGTTTGCATAAAAAGTTCGCCGTGGTTATGGTTTCGGCGTCATAGATTTTACAGCTTAGTTAGCTTCACCATTAAATTTAGAAAAACTGTATCAATGATGTATCAAGTTTTTTGCCAATTCCCCAAAATTGTACAATTTATTGAACAGTTTTCCGATATCTTCAAAAACGCCCAAGACCTATGATTAACCAAAACTTATGACTAACGCAAATTAGTTTCTTTACTTATTGCTAATGCGAATTATTTCAAATGCCTGATATCGAATGGCTGAGAGGGTTCTCACTTTTGAAGAATTAACTGAGTACAATCCTATGTTCTTTCCATTCAGAATGGTTGTATCTGGATAAGATTATCGATGCATTGGCAGTTGGGTATGGGAACGTTCACATATTAGCTAATCAAAGATGGAGGGAGGGGGTTAACACACATTTTTACGGTCATAATGATCAATAAATGATGCAAATTAGATGATAATTTAGAAGGAAGAGGATTTTTCCAATGTTGCCTTTATTTTGTTATGTAATTTGTGCATGGTCCTTTCTTGAATGATAATGCTCTTTCCAGGGCCAATTTTAGTGTGCAGTATTACACACTTTGTTCAGTACTAATTTAAAAACGTACAGTATTGATTCCCAAAATGTGCAGTATTGAATTTTGGGATTTGTGAAAATGTCTTTTTGCGGCTATCCCAGATTCCTGCTTTGTTCACAAAATGTGAATTTTCCTCGTCACTTCGATATAGAGTTCGTGTATTGTAATTCTCGTATAACCATCGGAAAGACTCACTTATGAAAACTTAAAACAAATCGAAATTCCCAGAACCAAAAAGCAAAACATTTCCTGTAAATGTCAGCATTGCTGTAAATTTCGTAATTTGATCTTGTCGAAGATAAAACATTCATCATAATCATTTATCAGTTGCCTTATCATGCTCTGGGCATCTAGCAGAAGCTCACTTAACTTAACTAAAAAAAAGATAAAGAGCCTAAAAAAACTTTTTTGTTTTACTGTCCAGACAAAACATGAGATAGTGACTCCGTTTACAAGAGATAAATGACTATGTTTCTATTCAGGTTTTGTAGCTTCTGTTTGTTTTGTTGCTGTTTTGAAATGTTATTATTGATTGTGTATATTATCGTCTATCTGTTTGTGATTTCTCCGTCATGGCCTATACACGTTTTCAAAATTCGGGCCATTTCCTCGCTACACTTGCATGGCTAAGATACCTGGGGTTTGCCGGGGTTTGCACTGATTGCAACAACAAAATTTCCTATAGAAAAATATGAATTTAAATGTGCAGTATAGCAAATTTCTTAAAAATGTGCAGTGTGGAAAATTTCTTAAAATTGGCCCTGGCTTATTCCTTGGTTTTATAAGCACATGTTCAATGCCTGACCATAATTAAGCATAATTGTACGGGCATCATACTAGGCTAGTAGGAGCTAAAGCCCCTCTTTATTTTTTCAAAGAAACGCTTTAAAACTTTCAAAAATTCGTAAATTACCGTGTGATGAGAATGAAGTCATTATTTTGCTAAGTTTCAGAAGATGGCGTGTTTAATCGAAAATAATCTCGTCTCCTACGCTGGAAAGAGAAGTTGCTTTCTCTGTAAAATCTTAGAAGATAGGGTTGCGCTAACTGAAAAATGGCTCTAGGCTTTGGGCTTTAGTCTAACTTTCAAAATCTGCAAACCACTTTACATCATTTGACACCTAAATATTTTGCCACCCTTTCAGAGTTTCAAATACAGTCAGGAGCCCCCCCCCCCAAAAAAAAATTCATTGAGCCCCTCCGTCGACACTTCAATTTTTGAAAAATTTTAAGCAATGTCGCAACTTTCATAACTTCAACTTCGTGATTTTTTAAGTTTTTTTTCATTGTTTGATTTTTTTCAGTTTTTCTTTTCATTTTTTGAACTGGAATTTCCACAGCGGAAATGGTGTTATATTAGATCTTTGTTGGTGGTTCACTCACTGTTGGCACTCTGACATTACAGCCCCCCCAGCATTTCTTTTCTGGCGCCATCCCTGGGGACAAGCCCCCGTTTTGCTTGCAATATAATTCCCCATTCCGTCATACATTGCAAGAGATTTTAAGAATGAATTATGACATAAATATACTAATTTGATAACGGGCTATGCTCGAAACGTCGTTTATTAATTCGTTAATTTTTTAAAGTATAATTCCTTGTTTAATTGAATTATGACATAGTTTGCAGTAAACTGATTCCCAGCTACACAAATTTGCGACACACTTTGCTTACCCGACATCTGTCCTGGCCGTGTGCAAATTTTTGAGCCATTCGATTAGTTCCTTTGGTACAAAATAGCTTTTTCGTACCTGTATGTAGAGGAGTTGTAAGTCCGTAGAAAACGGAATTTTACTGATCGCACTTGCAAGGTACACTCGTAAACCACAGTGAAATCCGGGTCAAGTCACTTGAAGCTTTAAGATGAATAAGCCTGTTTGAATAAACACAGTTATACATTGGATACATGGATGTGCCATGCGATATTGTAAATGAGACATGCGACCACAACCGCAAAGCAACGATAATCGGCTTAAAGGGTCAAGAGATTTTCAGATCTCAACTAGTAGTTTTGATAAAAAAGTTATGGAAACTTCCGTTTACATGGAATTTTTTGCATTTTCAAAACTTCTGCTAGTTTCAAACATGGTTATAATTGTGTGCCTTAAACGTTAGGCTCTAGAGAGTGGAGAATTCAAAAATTGGTGCGTCCAAAGGACGTTTAACTTAACCTTAAAGTTTAATAAAAAGCACAAGCTGTGCGAAAAGATGCAGAAAAAAATGGTGCCTTTTTCAATTCCCAACCTTATTCCGCATGCGCAGTAGAAAAGTTAACCGGGCTCAACCCTCTTTCGCGTTAACAATACATTATTACAAACCAATGAGTCAGCCCGGGCCGAGTCAGCCCGGGCCGAGTCAGCCCGGGCCGAGTCAGCCCGGGCCGAGTCAGCCCGGGCCGAGTCAGCCCGGGCCGAGTCAGCCCGGGCCGAGTCAGTAAAACATTTTGAGCTATAAATCTATAAAAAGACTTAAAATGAGAATTTTCAGACAAAAAGCATGTTAAAGAGTTTTGAACAAACAATATTTGTAGAACAGAACCACTGACCGTTAACATTATAGCAACATTATCATTATTTCACACCATTCCACATCAGCCAATCCGACACCACCATGGCCTTTTTTAAATATGTAAATTTTTAGCCCGTTAACTTTTGCTCTGATGAAGCCCTGTATGCCGGGGCGAAATATTAGCCTTTACTGATTTACGTGTTTTTATTGTTGTTTATTCTCGGCGTATTGCGGTGTTTCATATTTGCTACATTTTTATCGACTTTTCCCCGCCAGAGCTCCTTGGAGCCCGTCGAGCA